AGCAGACTACCAGAGAGGCCTGAACAAAAGGGATGTTCTGCATGACATCAAAGGTAAAGAGCTCTGTAAGAGTCACAAAGGTAAAGTCACTGTAAGAGTAAAACTGAACTCTTGGGAAAAGCTGCATTGTCAATTTGTCAACAGCACAAAAATTAGCAATTTGAGACAAAAGGAGGGCACTTAGACATGGAGTTTTCAGGGACAGTACTGGACTTCAAATTCAGCAGGTAAAAAGGCATGGGATGGTGGAATTATGATGTCAAAAGTTCAACTGTTAAAATACTTTAAACTGAAGAAAAAAAAATTTGAAAATGTGGTCTCTCTATTTTGCTAGGTTACTTTAAATCTCTAAAGAAAAAAATCTCAAAATGTTTCGGCACTGTTGTTTTAGTTCCAGGGATTTTTCTATCCTGAATGAACATCAGTTTCTGCTATTAGTTTTCACAGTTTTTGCCGCATGACCTAAAGAGAAAGTAAGTACTAATATCCCAGATGGTAGAATTTTTTGTTATCCCACATTCCCATATCCACAGATCCATTATTTATTTTTCTATGTATGTTCAGAGAAGCCTAGACTCATGAGAGAAACAAGTAAAATACTTGTACAAAATTACTATATTTTCTATTAACACAAAACCTTCAAATATAGAAAAATAGAACTGTAGTCCACCAAAGAGACAAATATTCTAGGGCATATAATCATATTTTTCAGCTCCAACTGGAGATGTTAGTTTTGTTGGGTCTTTTATACTCCACTGCAAATTGAATTAATAATATCTGACCCAGAAATACTACCATTCATGTACTAATTTTACCTCCATGTTCAGCATAAACTCGTAGGATTTTAAGTTAAAAAAATTATGACATTTCTAAATGAGGAAGAATGAGGAAGAAATATGGGTTTTTTCATAAAATGCACATATATTTCCTAGTAAGATCAGCCATTACAAAAAAAAACCAATTCCATAGGATAAAAACCAAATTGCAGTAAAGCAGTGCAATAATGTTAAGTAACATTATTCCAAATTTTTAAAACCTAAGTTAATTAAATGTCACAATAATGTTTCCATTATGTTATACTTAACAATTTCCTCAACTTTTTGACATCATGTGTCTTTCTTCAGAACTGAAGAGCAAAATTATTTCCTATGTTCTTCAAAGAAACATGGGAGATCCATTTGTACCTGAAACATTCAAAATCCTTCCTACAATGTTTCAGGCAGCAACACACTGCAACAGAGCCTTTCATCTGTTTCTGCAAGGCATCCTTTTCAGGTGACAGCATTACAAAACAAATAGGAACACATGACCTGTAGCAATCATAAGCATCAGCAATTTTAGGTAAAACCATTTCCCAAACTTAGTTTGTCCCCCTTTTTCTCTGTGACATTAAGAGCAAAGGATAACTGCCCAAGAGATCACCCTATACTGCAGTTTTTGAATGCACAGTGCCAGAATAACAAATCTTAACAATTTTAATGGTTCTTGCCCCAGAATTTTGATAAATGGAAGCCAACAGACAATGAAAGACCATTACCTCATTGAATATGCAAATATTTCAGAAGCTCTTATTGTTTTAGAGCAATGCCAACTGCTCATATGGTGGCAGAAAAACTAATTCTCATTATAATACTTAACTGCTACAGAATTATCTATTATAAGATATTGTTAAAATGCAACACAAAAATCTGAATTTAGTAACAAACCACAAAAAAAATAACAAGAAAACTGTGCAAGCATTTCAGTGAATATAGAATAAATACTTTTGTAAGAAACCAGAAACTTGTAAAGGTATTTGGTAGAATTTATAATACCAAATTGTAGTCAATCAGTGTTCACACTTTCCCCTCACCCCCCAATGTCTAGGTAAATAAAAAAACTAAACACTTTTGCATATTATGTATGTTTTATTACACAATGTCTTGAAGAACTACTGGTATTTTTTTACATCTGTCTGTGGTTTTTACATGGAGTTTAGTTCTGAGGCAGATTTTTTACTTTTTTTCTTGTTATTAAAATAAAAATATTGAATAATGAAACAAATAATTTATAGTCAAAATAAAAACCAAAATAAACTGTTATTTCACATGTTTAAGGATACCAAAAGTTACACAAAATAAGTATTAAAAATTATGGTAAAACAAATGATAAATGAAAAACTAAAAGCTTGATGTTTCTTGAAAAATGTATGTATGTTATCTATGAAATACGTTTATAAGCCATTTAATGTTCTTACACTGTCTAGGTTCAGAAAATATGAGAAACAATGTTGGAACAGAACAGATGAATCCATTTTAGATATACTTTAGACATGTTTATTGTTAAGAAGAAAGGCAGACAAAATACTTTTGAAATAGTTATTGAATAAAACAGTCAAACAGCATTTTAACACCAATAAGGACTATACAAATCAGTAAAGTTTTACTAAACACATATAAAGCAATGGTAAATAAACCCTGTTAAACATTATATAAATGCAAAAAACATTAAACACAGCTGATAAAAATACATCCTGAAATAAACTCTAAGTCACGGTATTACTTATTTCTTCATATTATTCAATACCATTTTACCTAATATCTGGTTTTATCTGTAAGAATATATTTATTATATTTGCTTATTTGCCTTGCACGCATCATCATGCATTTTATTATCCCCACATTTTTTTCACAGTTTAAAAAGTAAGACTTTAGTATCACAAAACTCCAATTTCTCAGTGGGAATTATAGCAGCAACATTTAAAACTTAAAGGTCAAAAGAATGTAAAAAGGCCATGTATGTCTGTTACAATCCATATTAGCCTAACTGTCATCATCATCACTACTACTGTGAGCCATAGTCCACTCTTTGTAGGCCTGTCTTTTCTGAAAGCATGGTAAGGGAAGAAGAAAGCAGAAGTATTAGTTTAAAAGTACTAGTTTGCCTGGCAAATTTGTTAATTAAAGCAAAATAAAACCACAGAACCCAGAAATTCTGATGTGACATCCTAAGGGCACACAAAATAACCTATATCCTATTTCCTTTGACCAGGACTTACAATCTCTAAATAACCAAAAAAAGTTTTATTCCAACCTAATCCTGCAATCTGTTGAAAAGCTACAATACAGTGATCACAGTTTGACCAGTCACCAGACCTGTATGCAAAGAAGCATTGTAAAAGGGGAGAGAAATCTTTTTATCCATAAGAAAATATTATTCTATTCAAACTCTTTGAAATAGTGGATATGCAACACACTGAGTCTCATGCAAAACAAAGTAACAGTTCTAGAATCACAAACACTAAGAACCAAAAACATTAGTATATGTAAGGGTTAAATTAAGACAACAAATACAGCAGCATTTAATGACCAGGGGAAAAAATGTAAATCTCTATTTTCTTATTTGACTGTCTCTAGGAAAAGCTGTCTACTCTGCTGGGAGCTCTGAAAACATTTCTTCAAGAGTAATCATGCCTCAGAATCATCAATAGCAAAAACTAATATGAAGCTAACAATCCTTCAGTTTTAGCTACATTCAAATGGTGGCTACCATCACAAAATATCAAAGGCATTACACAAGGATATGCCTTAGTGTATTTTAAGTTGGATAATGGAAGGTACTGTATGTACTCAATCATACAACACAGAAAAACTAAAACTACATGTTACCTGGCAGATTTTTGTAAAGGTTTCTCAGAAAAAAATCCAAAATAGAAAAATGTACAAATTTAAGAAGTAAATGTAATGTAAAGTCAGCTCATCAGCGTTGACTGTTTTCCAGCATTTGTTTTAGCAATATACTTAAAAACAGACAAGGGGATGTTTTAAAATTTATTTTCTTAACAAAAAGAGGATAAAGATTAGTAAAAAATTTACGTTATTCATCAGTAGTAGCTTCTAACTACTAGAGAGCAGAGGGTAGTGAAGGCTTTATAACACCAGTTATAAATTGGAGAGCACGGGTTAAAGCCATCTCATTTAAAAGAAAGGCACAGGTACAGTATTTATTATCAAAGCACTTTCCAGTTGGCTGAACTACATGACCAGTGAATGGAACAATCAACATAGCTAAGGTATCCCCAACAGATCAATCTTGTTCTAACAAAAAATTAATGACAAACTAATGAAAAGGCAGGAGAAACAGAAATGTAAGTGGAACTCAATATGGAATAAACAGCTGTAGCAATAATCAAAATTAGTCATAAAATGCTCTCCAAAAGCTACTACATTCTTATTTACTTCTCCAGAAAGGTTATTCTGGTACAACATTTTTGTAGCACACTGTGAATTCTTTCATATGTATTTTTTAAATTCTGTTTAAATTTATGCAATCACTAATTACTACTTTGTTATGGTTGAACATTTCTACAAAGAAGTTTTATTTCTAACAAAAGGAAAAAACCAGAAACTCAGTAAGCTCTGTGCATCACAGCTGAAATTATTTCCCTTTCAGAGGGGAATTTTTTGAGTCAAATTTGCTTAAATCACAGATGAATCTTTAAAAAGTAAGGGATGTTCAGCATATACTTCCTGCAAACAGTATTCCATTTCAGAACTGTTTATATTCTTCCAAAGACTTCAGTGTGACACAAATACAACTATTTCTTTGTGTCTTTAAAATCCTGTTTTACATAAATTTGAGACTTAAAAGTCACTGTTTAAGCTATGTATTATAAAATTACTGAAAAAACAATGTGTATTTATCAACAATTTTCACCAAAAAAAATTAAAGGCACAAAATTTCTCATTTGCACATATAAACCTTTCTCTTTTTTCAGAATGCTCCGTGCATAAACTTTTATAGATATACTGATCTACTTTAGGGTGTCTTCCTCAAAAATTGTACCACAGCAGCCAAATTCCCATTGTGGTTACAAGCCTAAGAAATAAAATTAAATTCTTGACTACTGAGTTACTAGGTAAGAAGTGAATGGAAATTTAGGAATGGAATTTATAAAGTATTTATTTCTATGTAAGATGAGTTTAAATTTATGTCAAAAATTTATCTTCCATTTTCTTCACCTGTAACATTTGACTTCCAGTTCCATCTCTTAATCTGTAAGGTCTAATAACTCCATCTTCACCAAAGAAGCGAGGTGGTCGCAGGCTTATCACATCTTCTGATGAATCTGCAACCCTAACAAAGCAGAAAATTTAAGATACATATCAGTATCTCTACTCAACTATACTATTTAGCTAAGGAACTAAATTATATTGTATACAAATTAAATATAACTTGTATAACAACTATTGTTGTCTATATATGCATTTTTGCATAGTAACAGACATTACATAAAACAGCAATATATTCAGACATCTATTTCCAAGAGTAACAATTATCAAATTAGATGGCACAGAGCAGCACATACCTGCAAATACTTAAATTAGTGTCTAACTGCTGCACTTCAAAACTTCAAAAGTAAAGACAACTGTAACATATAAAATAGAACTGTACCATATTTCAGTCTTATATTTTTCTTCCATTTCGCTGTTAAAAAACTTGAACAGGAAAACAAAAGAGACCGGCATTCTTATGGTAACAAAAGTGATCCAATCACTAAGAACAGGGCCACTGAACAACTGTATTTAAAGTTACTAAGTGCCTCTTCAAAACACTGTCTCCTCCTTCATTGCACAAAAAAGTATGGAATAATCTTCATCAATGAACTTATTAAAGTGTGACTATCACAAAATTTAAATGTCTTCTTAACATATTTCTGAGACTGGCATAATCTAGCAGTCTTGGAACTCATTTCATATAGTAGTAATAATATATAAAGTAACTATGAACACATCTGAGAAGTCCTTTATTTTCCTGCTTATTTGGGGTAAAAGTTAAAAATCATCAACTGAAGGAAATCTAACTGCGGAGATATTTAAACTGGTTTTGTTCAGTAATGCTAGGAATACTTGAGATTTGTGTCTGTGTTTTTTATATTATATCAAGTGTGTAATTTGTTAAAGAGCCACCTATTTATAATGTAAGTAACATAGAAGTGATACAAAGACACAAAGTACTACTAGCATTACTATTGTCTCTATGCCGTATAATATTATGTACACTTATTTTACTTACTTTTTAATACCCTGAAATGTGCTGCTTGCCATATCTATGATTCCACCAGTGGGCCTAGCTACTGCTCCAACTAAGCCTTTTCCAACGCCTTTGAAAAAACCAGCTGCTCCTTCTTCCTGAGCTCCTAAAAGCATTAAAAGGAGTAAATCATTATAAACCACAGTTTCTCTTAAAATCTTAACAAGTTTTATTACCATTTAATTACAAATCTTATTTGCTATACAACTACATAGTCTCCACCACACAAAGTTCATGTAAATAAACAGTAAGTCATCAGGAATATAAAATCTTGACAAAGGGGTTTAAAACTCTGATTTACAACAGCTCATCAAATATCAAGAATTTACCATCATGTTAACGGTTAATGCATCAAGACCAAACTTACCTCTTATTGGTTTTGTAACTATTCCTGTTATGCCACTGACAAAACCCTACCAGAATAAACAAAACAGACATTACAAATATGCTTCCATACATTATTTTTCATTTTTTAACATTTGTCTTTCCATTTCATTGGTGAATAGCCTCAAAGTACATGCGTTGCAAATATTCTAGAATTCACTACAAGCCAACAGTATTAGAGGCACCTGCTTCACAATTTCTACCTTTTCTTCTCCCCTCTTGCATTTTTCTATACAACTATCACTTAATTGTAGCTATACACTTGCAAAACCAAAATTAAATTTAAGAAACTAACAAAAAACTAACTAAAAAAAATTGAAAACTAATAACTCTCTGGTGAATACAACAAGCACCTCGTACTCCTCCCTGCATAAAATTAATTATTTTTTATTTTCCTCCTTACAGAAACAAGTCCTTTTCCACCACGAGTGATACCCTCTCTCAGACCAGTGGGTTGTTTATTCATGGCTTCTCTCCTTTTTTGCTGGTAATCTTCATCCATAGTTATTGCAGCTACTCCTTTTGCCATAGCACCTGTGATTCTTGAGGCAGCTCCTGCTAATCCACCTATTAGAATATAAAGCAAATTAAAATTGTAATGCAATTTACAAAAACTCACCTCTATTGTTTACTATTAGGCCAACTACCATCACAGCACTGAAACTTACCAACAGCTCCCCCTACCAGTGCTTTAAGTCCTAGTGCCATTCCTTCTATAAATTCCTCAGGACCCTGGATGGCTCCCTATGAAAAAAAAAGAATACACTCATAATGAGCTTTGAATAGTATGCATTATGTATTATTACATCTTACAGTTTTATTGGGATTTATATGTAACAAAGAGGAAAACAGGATGACACTGAGTGATAAAGTGTGAAAGCACCCACAAAAGCTCCTGTGACAGAAAGACAATTTTAGAATAATAATTTATTCCCTGAAGTCTGCTTATTTTAAGGAGAAGAGAAAGATTTATTTTAAGGCATGAACTGTAAGAAATGCCGTTTTGGTAGTTAAGTAGACATCTCAGTACTTTTTAATCTCACTTAAATTTAAATTCTAAATCAAAATTTTAAACCAAAAAGGTATTAATATAGATTTTCAATACAATGTCTATCCATCTACTTGTAAAAAGGGCAGCAGAGAATTTTACCTGGTATGGTTCATAGAAAAAAGCTTCTACTCCTTCAGACAAGCCTCTTATGAATCCAAATGGATTACCCAACACATCAAGGCCAAGAATAAGGATATACATCTGTTTAATAGCCTAAAATAAAAATAGGTATTATTGAAAATATTTCCTAAATTACACTAAAACAAAGGCAAACAGTGTAGTATCTCAGATTAAAACAGGGAAAGAAACATGAGTTGAATATAAAAACCTCAAAATCATCCAGAGAATAGAAGTAGTTGCACTAAAAAGAAAATCAGTGAGTAACCCCTATTATGTCAGCCAAGAAACAACAGTAGTTAAAAGCATTTCAGTATCCCCTTATTATTAATGATGGATGGAGAGGACTAATTCTTTTGAGCAAAAGTATTTTTGTTGGATTCTCTCCACAGGACTTTCACCAGTACACAAAAGCCAAGAAGGACCATGATTCAAATAGTACTAATGTCCAAGAAAAGGTATTAATATTTTAATGCCAATCATGTTCTATCAGAGCTCCAATGTGTTTGGTTCCCCATCTATCCCCAGCAAGTTGTTTTGTTATCCATGCCACCTGGCAAGGCAATTAAATACTATTAATGAGTAATTTGGTTTGCAAGCATTTATTTAACCTTTGTATATAAATGCAAGGATGAAAGTAAATTTTATTTTGTTTAATAGAATGAAAGTGCACAGCAGCAGTTTCAAAATAAAATCTATTGGAATATTGACAATTTTCTTATTCTCACCTGTTTTGAATAATGCCTTACAACTGATGATTGGAGCTGCTGTGTAGTACAGAAGTGATATCTGAGCTCAAAGAATGCCAGCCTAAAAAAAGAGATGTTAGAAAAAGTAAATCCTTACTATGCAGAACAAAATAAAACTCAACGTATGTAATACTGGTATAATCTTTTTGAGCGATTTTTACATTCGTATTTTTAACCTACTTAAAGACAATATCTTGTACATCTGTAAGGGTGGCCCCTATACTCTTCAGCAGGAGATTCAAGGACTTAAATGGTATCAATTCATTCTTTCCTTCTTCTTTGTTACTATCTTCTCCACCCGTACTGAGTGAAAAGCTCAAGTGTAACTGAAGGATAAAAATGAGATTGAGAAATAACATGGTTAGTTGTTAGTTTTTAGATGTACAATATTTCTATCTTTAAAATATTTTACATTATTTTAAAATTGAGTAAGACATTTCTAGACTGACTGAAACCAGTCAGACTTTGTAACAGAATACAAAAATACATAATGTAGACCAAAAAAGGCCCACTGACATTTAAAGCCGAAGTGAAGAATTTAAACTACCTCTAAGAAAACAAGAACTTGAAACTGCTTACTTCTGTTTTCAGAGATGGTCTCCAGATTCTTTCAGCTATAATTTAGATTATTATCTCATTTTTAAAACACTTAGTTAGTGCCTAAGTTATACCCAAAATCAAAGCAGACAGAAAATGACAACATAGCATAGTGTCCAAGCAAGAATGTAACATAAAAGTGTGAAAACAAATAATCATTAACGCAAGTTTTGCAGGTGCCAAATAATTACTGGAATAGGCATACAGGAGAAATCCTACCTGTGCACACCTGAAATAACCAAAGCATTTGTCTCAAAGAAATCAGAAAAGAACAAAATTCAGGAAAATTGCTCAAATGGCTTTCATGGCACAAAATAGTAGAAGTCAATCCAGCAGTTTTCAAAATCAGCTTAAAGAAACTTATGCCTGTTTCTGATTCTCTGAAGACAGTATCACACAACATTCATTATGTTATAACAGAGCTTAACAGTAGCTCATCCAGTGATACACAGCTCACCTTGCAGAACCACTGTCACTCAATCCATAACCATTTATTCCATCCTATTTCCTCCCTGCATTTTTTCTTGTCAAATATCATTTCTAACCTCTCACAAGATACAGTGAAGAGGTACAACACAAATAATTCTTCGATCTACTTCCCTTAGATAGATGGGAGACTCTTTTACCAACTGTTAAAGAGCCTATGAAGTCCTATCACAGTTGTAACAATGTCAGCTGCACACTAATCTCCTACCCTAGCTGTGTGTGTTTTTAAGAAATTATGTCATTCTCCAATCCATATTTGCACACAAACCAGAGCATTTTGCAAGAAATTCATAAATAATAAAATGAAAAAAAAATTACTCATAAAGTAAGACATAGGAATGCAACAGTAAGTTAGTGGTTACAATGAAAATACTTTCTTGGCCCTTTTTTTTATTAAATCAGCTGTTTCAATTGTTATTTCCAGTGCCTACTATCCTGCATGAGACAAAAAATTTTCAGAGAGCAAACTCGTCAATAATGTGAAAAAGGAATACCTTAATTGGAGAGATATGGAAGTATTCATACAAGCTGATTTGTGACGTATCCATTGATGAAACACTCATTAGTTCTTCTTGAAGAGATTCAACATCCTTTTCAAAAAGTTGTAGCTGTAAATGCATTTGAAATAGATATTTCTTCAAAATTTGGAGTATATAAAACTACTAGTCATTTGTCACTGATACAATACATTGACTAATACTACCTATACTCTCTCACGCTCAAACTCCTGTCACTGTCCCTTTACCATAACGTTTAAAGCCTTCTTTGCATAGCATACAGGAAGGGTTCTACTATCTGACTCAGGTAAAAGTAAATGAAAACCTCATAGCTTCATATTATTCCCAAATACACAGAAATTAACCAATGATATGGACACAAAAAAAAAAATTTTAATTTTTAAAAAAAGACAAGTTGAATAGTTACAAATGTAAAACCCATTTATCTTCAAACAACAAAAGGTTTCTACCTCTTGGTCACTCGGCACATCAGTCTGTGTAAAGAATTCACCAACTGCATACAGGAAGCCAAGATCTAATCTGAGATCCATCTCCTGAATCAGAACCTTGAAATATCTACAGATGAAACAAAAATAATTATTAAGGGTGTTCTACAAAAGTATTTAACACTTAGTAGAGGGTATTTAGACCACTTCTGGTACTGGTTTTGGTGGGTTTCTTTTGGTGTGGGTTTTTACTTTGGGGTTTTGGACGGTTGTTTTTTGTTTGTGTTTGTATTTTGTTGCTGGTTTTCTTTTTTTTTTATTTGTTTGTGGTTTTTTTTAGGGATTCATCATTACTGATGAAAAGAAGGCTTCCCACTCAGGTGTAAGATAAACACATTTCCAAATAACCAAAACAATTTAAAAAATATAGCAGCATTTAACACCGCATATAGCACCACTATACATAGATTTTTTTTCTAAATAAAGATGACTAAAAATATGCATTAAAAAGACATCTAAAACTCCTGGCTTTACTCTTCAGTTATGTGGATAATAAAGGACACTGAGCTTTCATCTCTGTTAAAATGCTCTGAGTTTCCAAGACTGAGTTTGTGTCAAAATTACTTTTCATTATGTAATAATTTTAAAGCTCTGTAATAATTTTAATTTTAAAGCTTGATTAAACATATCCAATAGCAATAGAGATGCAACATGTCAAAATACTTACTTAATATGAGATATTTGTGAGTGTCCTGCAGTTCTCATGACAATACTGACATCAGTAAATGGTTTTGGTGCTATGAAGTTGTCAAATAAAAAGAGATCAGCACAGATTGCTTTATGATATACACAACTTACTAAATTTTCTTACGTAAATGTCATATACATTCAGGGTTTTCTCAGTCCTGTACAACAGGATTACATAATGGATATGAGTGCAAACAACTAAGACAGGGAAAAGAGCAGGAACAGAAAGTAATAGGAAGACAAGGATGAAATGAAACATGAAAATGCTGTTTAACTGAAAATGCACCATTTTAATTTAAAAGCAAATTAATATTGATATAATATTACATTTATGTAATTTCTATATTCATGGAATAAGATTTTCCAATGGCTGATACAAAAACGTAAACTAAACAAAAATTAATTCTGTAGATTCATGCACTGTAGCTTAAAACCAGTCATATTCAGAATGAACAACTGACAATCCCACTAGCTTCCAAACAAAATTGCAAGCGGTATTCTTTGTCTCAATCCAGAATCCCTTTTGATATTACTTAGGTTTTTCAAGTGACTTCAGTGTGAAAGAATTAATGAAAGACTCCAACATTGAGTGCTATGCTCCAAGTAATGCAGAAAGCTACCCAAAAACCATACAAAATATAATTTGACATCTGGAGACCTTATAAGCCTCCCTAAACAACTATGAGCTTAGGCACCTTTCTGTTCTTAGTAGTTAAGATTACTTCAGATAGACTACTAGATTATGCACTGCATGATACTAGAGCAGTAGGGAAATAGTGGAAGACTAAAGATGACAAGTTAATCCTCACTTCCCCAAAACTCCAAATGTAAGTAGCACAGAAACAGTGCAACAGATTCACTATCATCAAAATCAACAAAACTTATCTTATGAACAGACAAGTCTTCTCATATATTAGTCAGCATTAAATTTTAGTAGTGGTCTGAACTAAAAACCTCCTTTTAAGTTTATCATGTAACTTTCACGTCATATGTTCTCCACAATCAATTAAGTAATGTGCCAAAAAGATTCTCTTAAAAGGTATGATAATGACAAATAAAAGACATTTTCTTTTTTTTCTGTTAATTGTTAACTGTTGTAACAGTGTTCTGTATATCTTCTTTGTAGAGGTAACTGTTTCCTTACTTCTACCATTATTATTTGTATTATCCATAGTCAGAAAGCTCATGCAGACTTCACCTGATAAAAGTGATAAATCTGATAAAATTATTAACTTCAGTACAAGTAAGTTATCTTTTGTTTTAAAAGGTAGGATTATGTTAAACTAGAACAAACCTGAATCCAAGGTGATGGACTTTGGAGGTTTAATAGGATAGAACACAAAGGGAAATATGGCTCCAGGAATCTGGTTTTGTATCTAGTAGGGGTAAGGACAGGACAAGGTGCAGCACGTTAGGTTTTCAACAGTGAAATATTTTAAAACCAGGGCAAACTCTAGAGATAGGATCTTTACCTGCAGCCTTCCACCAATCCAAAAGCTGTACTTAAAATATATCTATTTTTAAACTCTAATAATCAAATTCTAATAATTTAGAAAAGCTTCTTTAAATTATTAGTAATAAATGATCCACAGAAGTTCTGCAAAGAATTTGTTCTTAAAATACTGAGCATAACACGACAAGAAATTTCACCTCTCTTTTTGCTTGTTATACAGAAATGCTCCAAGAAAAAGCAAGTAAGATGAATGCCAAATATTTTTTTCTGAAGAGTCATATTTGTCTTCCTTTTTTTCCAAGAAGCACTTAAGTAGTATTTTCAAAGACTGAGAAGCACTGATGTAAAAGCCAATGATCACAATTAAATTGAAAACATGAGATATCCAAACAATTCTGTAAATGAACCCAAGTTTCCATAAAAGCTGTTCTTTCAGAATAAATAACAACTACTTTTTGACATCACTCACTTGTATCCTGTAAATCTGAATTCTGAAAGACTTCTGATGTGCAGAGGAACTGTATTCCACTTTTAAAGCTGGCAGATAGTTTCTTCTGATAGGAATCTCATTTGGCTGTTGAATTGTCATGTTCATTCCATTAGGTGTTAAACAGACCTAGTGTATTATTATTAAAGAAAATTTAGTATGCCAAGTGTTTTAAAATCCTGCTTCATATAATATACTTAAAAATTTACACTTTTCATCAATACTGTAAAGCTCATCAGTAAAAGTTCTGCACATTTTAAGTTAGATATCATAATTTTCCTCTATTTAAAGCAAATAAATTTTTAAATTTTTTACAATTTCCCTATAAATTAAAAATAGAAATAAAACCACAAAATAGTGTATTATTTGGGCTTTACCATAATTTACCACACAGCTATCTAGAAGAAAAGCTGAACAGTGTAATGGACTATGACTGACATAAACATTGCATCATTTATCTATCCAGTGTTTATTTTCCTACAGCAGTTATTTTACTCATTTCTAATGAGTGTCTAGAATTCATCCATACACGAGGACAGACCATTTGGAGCATATCTGCTTCTGCATTGCAGAATAATTTCTGAAATTTCTTTTTCAATTTTATGTGGTTGAATGACAGCTAAATCATTCCACAACAAGCCATTTTAAAAATACAGGATTTCAGGCTAAAACAAACAAATCATACTAACATATTTGCTGGTATAATATATGAACCAAATGCAAACCTTCATCACTGTAGTTTTATGCATATTTTGTACTACAATGTTACACCTCCAAAAACATTACACCTCAATTTCAAAGTCAGGCACTAACAACAAAAAGTCCGTAGCAGTATATCACATTTGTGGAATTTTTCCTGCATTTTAATACAGGGATAAAGAAGTGTTTGCAAATGGAGTAGGTAAATCAATAATCTCAAATTCTACCATAAGTTTCATCAAAGACAGCAAAATTTATATATTATCTTTTTCTTGTGCATACATATAAGCAATAGAGAACTATCAGTATTACCAAAACATTTGATTCCAACTCAATAATCTTATTTTCTGAAGGACTTAGCTCACTGTAATCTCTGAATTCTTGTTCTAATTTATCAATTTGCTTAACACTCATTGGTCTCCATCTTGACTTCTTCTTGGGTTTTGTCTCCCACACCACATCAGAACTTTGAAAACAAAACAAAGAACCAAAAGAGAAGGATTAGCTTTTTGAAAACAAGTTTTCAAGAACATAACTACTTTAGTGTGACTTCTAATATGTTGTAACTAGGGAATGAGAAACCACAACATAAAGCACTACTGTAGCAAACAGAAGCAACCTAAATCATGCACTGCCTTCTTGGAACTAAGCAGAAGCCAGCCTCTCAATTATGATGGAAAAATGAAGTTAACAAGTCTGTTTAACTTCCCACTTTGATGAAGATGGGCATGTAGTGATACTAAGGAAGCTCTATCAAAGAAGCTGTACTGCCATCCATTGTCTTACAATCTCAATATAGTTTTCTGCTTATAGTCCCGCATTTATTTTGACATTTTAAATTTACTACATATTGAAAAGCTCAAGTCAAGATAAAATGCCTTCTGCACTGCATCTTATTTTTGATAAGCATGTTTATTTAGTCTTTCCATCTAAAATCAAGAGGTGGTTTAGTTTTACATGTTTCTTCTAATGATTTCATGGTGGGAGTTTCGGGTTTGTTTCTTGTTTCATTTTTTAAAATGTTATCCTTTATTCTGTTTCTCAGTTTTATTAATGCAAATAATTAAACAACCTTAAAGGGCATTAGACTTTTCCACTGCTTCTGTGAAAAGCGCTATGCCTGATTTCACCTTATAGTCAAAGCACAAAAATAGGGCACAAACCAACACTATCAGGCAGGTAGAAGGTATTTCTTTCCACAAATTACTCTCTAGTCTACAAATATGTAGCTTTCCAAACAGCCACCTAACCTCTTTTAGCTATATCTGTGTCTGTGTTGAGACACATCAATGACAGAAAATAAAAGGTGAGCTGAAGTTCCATACAACTACAAAAAAAGAGTACTATTTTGATTGCTGAGAGTTCCCTCCCCCCCCTTTTATTTTTTTCTTTCCACCTTTTTTGGTCTTGTTTTGGGGTTTTGGGGTTTTGTTCTTGCTCCCAAAAAAAGGTGAAGCCAAATGCAACAGTACTGCCATCCACTTTCAAGAAATCTGACATCTCATCACGGTTTGACAAGAAAACAAAACTAAGCACTGCTAGACTAATGACTATGGATGACTGCTTTCAAAGAAAAAACAATTTAGTGAAATCTCAATACTATTGTGAATCTCGGGAATCAACTGCCACTTTTAATGGAGTGTTTCCACAGCCTAAATATCAGAGCATAGCTTCTCAGGTGAGGGCAAGTACTGGAATTTTCTTAGTAAATGATGGATATGATTATGTGTAGCCTATGTTTATGAGAAGTTCACACTTGTTTGTTTTTCAGTAAAGTGCAAAGAATTAATCAAGAAAAAAATAACTCTCATTCTGCCAACCTCATAACTGAATAAAAAGACGTGTGTGGATTACGGTAATTATATTCCAGTGTCCCATTATTATTCCAAAGAGCCCCTGTTCAAATATATGATAGCACACATTTCCAAAGCATTACATAATTTCTTTTCTGCTTCCCTCTGAAATGTATAATTATAGTAGGAAACACAAACAGTAGAGCCCTGGATCACCATAATTAACCAACCAAAACTAAAGGGACCTACAAGCTTTTGCATCAAAATTTCCAACACAGAATTCAGCTGTTTCTGCAGTGAAGATAACAAAACCCACTGACACAAACTACTTGCAGACCTTGCTCCTTAAAACTCTATTATCACTTCTCAAACTATGTAGACAGGAAATATTTTCTGTCCAGTGTATTGGGAAGTCTGCCAGAGTTACAAATACATGTTCCAAAACTATGTACATCTAAATACAGTTAGCATATGCATTAGTACAAAATACAGTGAAAGCATTTCTCCTGGCAGCAGCAAAATATAGAGATTAGATTTAAACATTATTAACCCAGACCTCTATTTGCTCTTTCAGCACAAGCCAAAATGAAATTCATAGAGTGAAAATACCTGAAGTTAAACATTTTAGACCGTTGCACACAAAGTTACCTTGTAATTCCAATGTAGGACACCTCTTGTTTTGTATAATTATTAACCAATGAAATTCCAACATCTTGCAAAGACAGAATAATTTCTTGTTCTGCTAGTTCTGCTTTTACACTTTCATATGTCAATTTAAATACATTCTCATCTTCAGTGAACAGGACAATACGCTGCAAACCTTCATAAAACGACATTAAATAGACCACTTTTCTAGAATCCACACTGAGTACTTCCATTTTGTCCTACAAATGAGATGAAAAGTTTTTACAACTCTATTAATCATTCTACTTCACCAAAAAAAAAAAAAAAAAAAAAGAAAAAAAGAAAAAAGAAAAAAAAGAAAAAACAAGCCAGAGTCTTAGCAACACAACAATGGCAGATTTTTTTTTTTATGGTACAGGAACAAAAGTAATTACAAAGTTTTATGACAGCCTCTCACCACACACACACTGACACTTTTTAACTGCAGACTGCTTACTTGAACAAGCACTGACAAACAAAGTGTTAGGAACTCATATATGAGACTTCTGATCGTGCTCATTAAATATGAAATTTCATGCATACACTGATGAATGGACATATAAAATTAGACGCCATTAAAAGAAGATTTTGATTAAAAAATATACCTCTTTTGCGGCAATTTCCTCAGTTCTATTTCCACATCTCCATTTTAATTTCTTAGATCCTGTTGGATCTGCCCAGGTATACAATACTGCCTTATTTGGCTGAAGGCAGTCTTCCAATTCACTGAGGGAGCTGGAACAAAGTAATTTTAAATTCAAATGGAAATTAATATTTTGTGTCAATGACCTTTGCATTCTAGCATTTCAACAAGAACACTAGTAATATTTTCAAGTAATGAGAACAGAACAAAAATAACATTATGCATTAAAAAACATGCACAAAAACATTCTAAGAACAGCAATAAGAATGAGAATTTGTACTTTAATATACATACATATACTTTAAAAATAGAATATATACAGTGGATTTTATATACTCATTTTCTTCCCCCTTTGTGATCAACATTTTCAGACAAATATGCTTTAAACTCCATTCCCCCTCACATATAGTCAAAAACTTGCAGAATTGTCTTCTACCATTCTCTGAAAGAGGCTACCCAGGGAGAGAAAGCAGAGAGATGCTGATCTCTGCTTGCTGTGCCAGGGGAGGTTTAGACTGAATGTTAGGAAGATTTTCTTTAAAAACACTGGAACAGGTTTTCTTGAGAAGCAGGAGATGCCCCAAGCCCTTGACTTGGACAATACTCTTAATAACATGCTTTAACTTTTGATCAGACCTGAAGTGGTGAGGCAGTTGGACTAAATGATAGGCCCTTCCATTCAAAATATTGTACTTCATTCTAATTAAATTGACACTAGGGATGCCCACAAGGCATCTAAAAAGATAAAAATTACTAATCTTTACAGAGAAAAACCAAACCAAACAATTATTCTTCAGGCAAACAGGAAGCAAACAGGATTTGACTAACAATTCTTTCACCTTCCAAGTAAAAATCTTTAAACAACACTGCTCTGACTAAAACGAGAAAAGAGTAGCCTCTTTGATTTTTAAAAAGAAATAATTCAAGAATGCTGCAGGTATGCACTTCGCAGCTTTGCATAGTATCTGCATACAGTGACAAAGCATTCAAAAACATTACAGGTAGAAAACAGTGGAACTGTGTGCAGGTGCAGAAGTAAATATTCACTCACTGCAGAAAATTAATATTTGTTAAAATTAACTTAGTTTTGTCTTGGCTTGGCAAAATTAACGTAATTACCTCTCATCCCCTATCTCATGTAACTTGAACCCATTCCTTCAGCTAAATTTTCTCTGTTACTTATTTTGCACAGTCAGAACCTGCACAGTTCCAGAAAAGCACATCCTTTGCCCCCCACCAGGAATGTAGATGTCACAAGGCCACAAAATTAATATAAAAAGATACCATAAAGCAGCTCACTTGTAAAACTACCTAGCACTATGTAACATTGCTAACAATTCACTGTCTTCAATTTACTAAGCAAGAGATTTTTGGGTGCTCTGACAAAATTTGATGGCCATTTCCTCAAAACAGGCTTCTTTAGAGAATGTATGCTTACAATATACAAAACTAAAGTTCATATGTCTCCATGCAAACATCCACACTAAACCTCCTCATACATACCTTTGTCCATACTCAATAATCTCCTCTTTGGTATGGTTTATCAACAGAAATGGAGCTGCACCATCATGGTAATTAGAAAAGGTAATCACCGTAGAATGTTCAGTCAGATTAACATCCACTGCAATTCCTCCAAGCTATCAGTTGTAAAAATTACAAATTAAGTAACAGTGGAATGGATTTCCAGCAAAGCATATGTAATTAAATATTTTGAAGATCTTTTCCTTCCATCATAAGATAAAACTATCATGTAGTAAAACTAGCTGTTTTACCATACCTGCAAAATACTTCCTTGATCTAAATACTAGGTAGCAGGTATTACAATTCACAATTAAAACTATGCAGGAGTTCTGTACCGTGAAAAGTTAGACTGGTAGTAGATAACCTTTCTTATTACAAGCATACACATTCATGCCCTCAAGAACATTATACCACAAAAACCACTCACCTACTTAAAAACTACTGATAAATGAGACTATCTGCAACATACAAGAAAATTTAGTGAAATCAAAGTTACTCAGTGTTCCTTAGAATTGATATTAATATTTCTCACAAAGAATACTTGCAAAACAATCTGTATTTTATCTCCTGTAGAACTGCTCCCCAGAGAAACACTTAAAACATAATACCTACTTACATCTGTTTGTACACACACACAAAAGAGCACGAGAATGTATTTGCATAAACATAATCTTTGCCTCAGCTAAGGTTCTGCAATAGTTGATAGCATGGGAAAACAAAGCTTTGAGAATGAAAATTAAAAAGTGATTTATGCTGTTTTACCTAACATGTAAAGATGGAAGGCAATATGTTACCTTATTGTCTAAATGCAGTAAAAGACAGTTTTCTTGCTGATCAAAATTTATCTTCTTTGGAGGGAGATCAGAATTTTCAACTCTAACAAGCAGTTTGTTGGCATCATTTTCAGGCCAAAAGGGAATGCACTAGAAAAGAAAAATCAGAAATTTCAAAGTGAGAATACAAATCAGGCTTTAAATGCCATTCACATTAGCCCATAATTCATCTAATAAAGTCTGTCCAAAAGTGTAACGATTAGGATCAGAAACCCTATTAAAAAAACCCTGAAACTTATCACTTACCTGAATACAGTAAATTGAAAGGAAGTCAAGAAATAATTCTGACTACAGTGAAGAAAATGAGGAGTTAAGGAGCTAAAGTGGAAACAGTAAGACTTCAAAGAAGTAAATTTAAAATTGATAAAGTACATAAAATCCAGAGTATAAAATAACTACAACGTTGAAAATTCCAAGCTTGGTAAAATAAAAAAGATGAAACTGTTCTTCCATTAGCAGACCTTTTTCCAAAAAAAGTATAAATTTCAAATCAATTTTACACTGAGAATGAATAACAAAATGGGATATTAGCATAAATGCCACCCCAGAACAACCTGAGTACACAGGACATCAGATACTAGCAGTCCTTTTTAAACTATTTTGTATCTATTTAAAAGTACATATACACACATACGTATGTGAGTATAAAACACACAGTATGGAGCATCAGGCAGCTAAATCAGAGAGCACATCCTGCTATTCACCTTCATAGCTGAAATCATAACCACTACGGATTTAAAAATCTCAAAGGCAATCTCTCTTCAATAGTTTACTTGCTAAATGGAGACAACCAGGAGACAAAGACAAAAGTTGTAATTGTAACTAGTGAAAAGCCTCTGAGTCCTGCCACAAGAAAAAGCTAAGACTAATAGTACAGCCAAAGTCTTGCCTGTATTTCAAACTGTGGACATCCAGCATCCAAAGTTTTAGAACCATTTTTCTCTAACATAGTTTAAGAAATAAGATGTCCCTATTTAATTGCATCTGAATCCGGTAATTAATTCTTCAGTGGTGAAGACTAGTTCACCAACTTACCATGCCACTAAGTTCCCTTTCCCATTGTTTCTCACACCACAGGAAGCAGGAAGACAAAGGAAAAAAATATAGTTAAACAGCAAGATTGAAGGCATAATTTACATCAACATGTATCCCACAGACAAAGGAAATTTAAATTGCGCTGCAAACTATAATAAAACATAGCATGTGAGTCTCAACGTAGAATTAATGGAACCCAGAGGAAATTCAAGGAGAATTAGTCAATATCAAATGGAAGTTTAAAATCCAAACCAAGTAAATAAAAAAGATTGGCTAAACAAGACATTACAGAATCAACTACAGGGAACTGAAAAATTTTTCTAGTACACTTTAGCCAGAGATTGTGTCACATAATGATGTTATTTTCAAGCCTTTTACCACACACTTGCTAAGTGCTTCACCAGATGTTGTATCTATACAACAATTTTGCTTCCACAGTGGTATCTTCAATTTATATTTAGCACTGGTGTTATGAACAGTCTTCAGCAATGTCTTCTTCCTCTAAGGATATTCGTTGATCAACTGCCTTGCACTACACATAATTCAAAGGACTGGCCTTAGCAAACCACTGCACTCATCACTGTCCAATAAACTCTACTGCAATCTTTGAAGAACAATTGATTTTTCTAGAAATAGTGATTAAGGTTTCTGATATATTTACTACTTTCCACAGAGAAAGATGTCTCAGAGATTAGCTCTACATTAGAATTGCTTTCTTTCCTAAAAAGAAAAGTTATCTGTCAGTAAGAAAGAAGAGTGAATTAAGAAAAAATCAGCAGGAAAGTCTCCACTTAACTTAAAATAACAAAAAATAGAATAGTGGGAGAAAGGAGCAAGTCAAAATATGCATTAACATTTCAGTAAGCTGCTTAATTTTTTGAAGATCAACCTAATGTAAGAGAGTTATGTGGGAAATACTAAAAAAAAAATTACAGGCATTATTTAAAAAAAAAATCTAGACTAGCAGAATAGCAGAGCTGCCCACGTCAACAACAGGATCACATGTAAACTTGCTCCTGGAAATTGTTCTGGATTAAAAACAGAGACAGACCAAAGAGAGACCAACAGAGGCTTGATACTACCTACATTTAGAAGAGATGAAAGACTGGATATTGGATTAGGCACCTGAATGACAAAAGAACAACCCCGGCAGACCAAGTTGTCACAACATGGATTTTTAGAGACTGCCTCTCAAAGGGAAAACAGGCTTTAGAAGAGGATACAGATTCATCTGTGGACTGGTACTCTATTTAGTAAACTGCCATATCTACCCTTTTAAAAGTTTTTAGGAGTGATCCTAAGATCCACAAGTCTTCCTTGGATACTTTATTACTGAAATAAGGCTAAGATTAATCAATACAATTATGAAACAGCTAAGAAACACTGACATTTGTGGAACAAACTAGAAAATCCTGTAGGCATACAAATAAAACAGCCAACATGGGAAACCTAGGGATAATATACGCAGAATGTATTTCAACTATCAAAACTACCTTTGAGTAGTTCTTATAGAAATTGCAGAACCTTTTGTAAATATTTTAGCTTATTCTAATAGCCAAGATATATCAAATATACACCACAAAACGAGAAGTAATACCATCCGAACATATTTCCTAAGAGTAAGAAATTAGATATGAAGCTGCCCATACTACTACACATACACTACTATAATGATGTAGTCATTTCAGACCTTTATCAATAAACTAGAGGAGGAATCATACATGTAAAGAACTCAAAAACTATGTAAAGCCAAGCAAAAAAGCTTGGTTTAGAGGAACATAAGAATATTAGGACATAGAACAAAGAAGCAGGCATATGTCAAACAGTCCAGTTGAGTAAAAGCAAAGAAACTTACTTTGAAAATTATAAGCATAATGGGAAACTGTAGTGACTTCAACATCTAAAGATTTAAACCTTTATGCACACTTAACAAAAATCACAATGGAACAACATATCAATTTCAGTAACTGAAATAAACTGCTATTTAAATGGCATATCTTTAATGACTGCATCATTAAAGATAATATACACAGCTAAGGAGCATGTACTGCAGGTACCAGAAAAGTAATAGATCTGGTTAGGAATCTGATTAACCATATTCTCTTAACTTTTGCAATTTGGTTTGCAAGCATTTTTAGTAACCACTTGGAGTATTTACAATGTTGATATTGAGGTGCTGGAGTGTGTCTAAAGAATGGCAGAGCTGCTGAAGGTCTGCAGTACAAGTCCTAGGAGGAGTGGCTGAGGGAGCTCGGATTGTTCAGTCTGGAGAAAAGGAGGCTCAGAGGCCACCTTATCACTCTCTACAACTTGCCTGAAAGCAGAATGTAGCAAGTGGGAGCTGGTCTCCAAGCATCAGGATCAAAGGAAGCAGCCTCAGATGGCACCAGAAGACATTTAAAGTGGCTGTGAGGAAAAATTTCTTCACTAAAGGGGAAGTCTGGCATTAGAACAGACTGCCCAGTGAAGTGGTGGAATCACCATTACTGGAAGTGTTCAAAAAATTTGTAGATGCGGCATTTGGGTATTTATTTTTGTGGTGATTTAATTATGGTAGTGCCAGGTTTGTGGGTGGACTTGATACTTTATCTTAAGAAATCTTTTCCATGTCTATCAATCCTGTACTTCTATGATTCTAAAGGAAATCAACTGGGCCTTCAACCACACTATTTTTTAGACTAAATTGTTTTGAATAATGCTCTTGTCAGAAGGAGGAAGGGGAGGGGGAGGAGGAGGATGAAGGGGAGTGGGAGGAGAAGGGGGAGGGGGAGGAGGAGGGGGAGGATTTCACTCTTCCCAGAAGGCACTACAGATCACTTTAAGCTTTAAGAAACCTCCAACACTACCCAAAACAAGCACTGCTTTTCCTACATGCCCTGCAGGAAAGCATGATGCCCCAAGACCCAACGCACATAAAAAACATAATTGTGTGATACTGCAGTGCAAACCACCAAGATGCACATCCAGTCAGCAACAGTCTCTGCACAGACAAAAGCTCTAATCCCATTTTCACACCACTTGGCCTGAAGGCCAGGGATCCCTTTCTAGGAAGCATGCATTGAGCACTTACTAGCAGAAGTGCAATTAGATCCAGAAGAACCATGTGGATCACTCTGAATTGACTCATGCGTGAATTTCTCCCCATACCAAAGTGGCTTTATGCATACCAGGTCAACCCAGATATTCTACCACAAGCCACTGCTTAACTGAACAGAAACTTCAGTGCTACTACCGAGAGCTAATACAGTAATAATATAATAGAGTAGAGGTCTTTTTCTCATATTATTTATGATATAACATGACAGAATAAAAAATTCCAATTACAAGGTAAACCAGCTTTACAGTATGTCCTAATGCAACACTGAGGAATGGTAAAGGACACAGATTGTTTATTGAAAAAGCATGATATAGTCAGGCATTGTCATGGAACACTACATACAGCTCACGTTTTCCATCAGAGAGTGTTTAAACCAGGTTTTTTCCATTAGCGACACAATTTGGAATAGGTTCCATTATAAGTTTACCTGTTGCAAAACAATGGGAATCCACTTTTCCTTGCCCTCTTCAGCTACTTCCAAAGTATATTTACTTCTATTTGAAATCATAAAAAATGGAGTGAAGGTTACAATTCTAGTAATATTGAAACTGCTGTTGTTTATGGTGACACCAACCTGTGAACAGAAAGACATTATTCAAAATACACTTTTTAAACCCCATTTGTATCTCCTGAAAATAATTAATTTGAAAGATAAATTTAACTCACTTGATATTCCTTTTTATGACTCTTACATCTCACAGAACCATGACTTCCAACAGTGTCCAGTGAAAACGGATCAGACAGCTCACTGTCAGTTACCCGAAGCTGCACCTATAAAGAAGCACCCAGAATTAATTTTCAATTTACAAGTCATTGACAACATTTAAAATTATATATATAAAGTATGCATAAAGATAAATGGAAATACTTGTGTTTCAATTAAAAAATCAAGACATAATAACTGCCAGTATCATCTAATAAATGTATTTTCTACCATGCTTAGTTATAACCCATATGGAATAAGCATTGTAAGTATAAGACATTCCAGAGGAAGGATAAGGATTCTTTAAAATCATATAAGGATTCTTTAAAAATCATCATAATTAATGCTTTCATACAACAACATAAGGGAGTACAGAGCTGTCAGGTTTGCAAAATACAACACCTTGTTATTTTGAAGGAAGTTTTTAGGCTGGAAAGAAAAAAGGAGGGGCTTTTTGTAATCTGGAGGATGCTTGCGGTGAATACCATCCGCTTTGTATTGTAGCATTCGACCGGTTTTATTCACCATCCAGTAGGGACTGTGAACTTCTATGATCATCTGCCCAGTTGTGTAGGTCACGTGAACAGCAATATCCAGCTCAGTCTTATCCAGCTCTGTGATGCAGTGAAATGTTGTGAAGGTGATATCAGGCAGATTGCTTTTTATGTGGTACTCGCTTCTCCAGTCTTGATCAAGATAGTTAAGCAACTGCAAATCTAGTTTTGTTTGGTCCAAGACTGCATTATGAATCTGGGCAGAACATCCTTCTTGCAGAGTGTCATATTTGTTCCCATTTCCCTTAAACAGACAAGAGGACATCAAACAGGATACATCTACATGAATCACACACAAAATTCTTACTAACTTTTATCTTTTAGCTACCTCTAAAAATTAAGATACAAGCTACTTAGGTACAATTTTCAAATATATTTTGTGCTATTTAAATATGCTACTTGCCTAAACATCTACCTTAAAACAATGTTTTGCAAAGAGAACCTTAATGCATGGTCATCTATATTCAACATCAAAAAGCCCATCAGTCACCTAATTCACACAAACAAATATTCTTACATGACAAATTTCCTCAACACAGTATTTTCTTCAGTAAATTTAAATTTATAAAAGATATACAGAGGCTGTTACTTCCATACATTTGGTATAAGCCACAGTCTCCAGTCCTAGTAATTGTTTATTTGTGATGAAGTTTTAGATTCTACTATTTGAGTTCAAATACTAAATATTAAGATCATCTGAAAAAAATCTGTCTCCCAACGGTATTTCTATTATCCTAACTTGCATCAATGAGGAGTAGGACACAATTATACCAGATCCATTGAATGAAACATACAGTGCTAAGGAATCGATGTCTATACTGCATGTTTTAGGTATTTTACTCAAGACAGTCTCACCTGGCACTGGAAAGAATGCCTATTAACAGTCAAAGTGCACCTAATTGTTTCATTTCATCTGGAAAGAATTTGAAGTCTGGCAGTAGGCTGCAATTCAAGCCAAAACCTAGCAAAAAGGCAGGCCTTTTTGAGAATTTATTAAAAACATGCAACTGTTGAAAGTCAGTGACTGCACATAAAATGCTAATATAGGGTGATCCACCTGAGGAAGTTGTCACAGAAAAAGCTGCACTACTTAATTATTCTGAAGTTGCACTTGAGCAAATGACTCTTATAGGGCCCAACTTGAACAGTGTTATGTTTTATTTTGCATATATATATAAAGTATGGCTTAATAACACTACATTTCACATTCTGTGATATTTCAATTCTGAAAATACAGACTTTATGTAAGACTTGCCCTTATAAGATCTGTGAACTTGCTTCACAAATACTCCTATCAGAACCCCTTTGTTCTAATCTTCATTTCAACCAGCTTTCACATTATAAGTGGAAAACATCACTAAAATTCAAGCATTATACAATTACCTCTACAGAATAAGTTATTTGGTAAGGAAGAAGATTGCGGAGAAGAACAGAAGGCCATAAATGAACAACATATGGAAAATCCCATTCATCTTCTCCATCTAATGAAGTTGTCAATGCATCTTTTACAGGAACAATATTGATGATAAGTGAGTGGTTAGTTGACCTCACAGATTGGCATTTCCTTTGTATCAAACTGTCAACATTTTTCATAATTTCATCAAAAGTAATTCCTTCACACACATCATATTCTGCACCCACTCCATTTTCATTGGCTAGCGGTTGGAAACTCAGCATGGATCTGTAAATGAAAACATTTTAGGACACCTAACATGCAACTGAATGTTTCAATTATAAAAAAGTACTATGTAACAGGGACATTTTAATATTATTTATATTTAGGAAGATTTTTAGCAGTAGTTCATTGCCTGCCTTTATCTTGATTAAAGGAGGAATCAAATCATGTATTAGATCCCAAAATTTCATACTATTTTAACAGCTGGGGATTTTTGTTCCATACCTCCACATGCTTCCCTTACAAAGGAAGAATTATTGAAGATTCTTGCAAAAAGACTACTAAACTTCCTTATAAGTGCTGCTCTGTTCCTTTGCCAAGCTTAAGCTCTGGATCAACATCTTACTCCTAAAACATATGTGCAGAAATTGCCCTTCTCTTCAGTCACATAAAGCACCAAGTTAGTTCATGGATTATTTACACCCATGGCTTTTATAAGGTAATGGCTTTAAATTTAATACAGCTGCTCCTGATAGAAGATTTTTTTTTTGTTTTGTTTTAAAACATTTCCTGATTGCCTAGTGGAATTCATCTGTGCAATGAATCAGAACACCACTAAATCTTATACAGATTGTTAGAAATATCAATGAATTAATTAATCTACAGTACAACGTTACTCAAGTAATGAAGGAGATACAAAGCTTTCACTGTAAAAAATGAGGAGAGTGCTTGGGAGAAAACAGAAGGGAAAAGTCTCTGCAACCATAAAAAATCCATCAAAGCAAACCTACCTACCTACAACTTGGTTACAATTCATGTAAAATTTATATTCAAACTCATTGCAGTTTTGTTATTATCTTGACTGTGATAATAGCATAGCTATGCTATATGCCAAGTTTTTCTAAGGTTGCTGAGTCTTTTTCTACATCTTTGATAGAGTTTAAGTATATAGCTTTTAAACTTTTACTTCAAAGTCAAAAAATCAAAAGCAGCCTTTTCAGAAAAAAAAAACAAAAAAGCTGTGCTAATTGACCAAACATCACCCACTAGGAATTCACCCATGTCAATTACAATTACTGTGTTCGAAAAGTACCTGAGCTCAGATTTAAATTTTAGCAAATTTAACTTGTCCATAAAAATGGATTTCAAAATACTTCCAATTTAACAATGAAATAGCACACTGTTTAACTGAGACTACATGCCCTGAGAAGATCCTACCTAACAACGACAGCACAATGTTATTTCAGTATTAGGTAGCAAGGGTTAACAATTTTTTTTAGCATAATTGTATAGATACAATAATCAAAAATGTATAAATATATTCTACAATAAAAGAAAAAGACAATAAAGTACCTGTAAGAGGAAAAGGGGATGTTGAATTCATTTGCTGGTGAAGCAGTCCCTAAACATCTTCCTTCTTCAAAAACATTTAACGGGATTGCAAAGTGATTTCTTATCTATATAAAATAAAAATCCAGCAACACACATTAGGAAAAACTGTAAAGACAAAGTATTCTGAGCTTAGTAAAGCAAGAATGAGAAGTCTTGTCTTTCATCTTACCCCTACACCATTCAAAGTCAGTATTTCAGAAAAACTGAATCTGAAACAGCAAATCTTTTTAAATTATCTGGTTGTGCAGTTTCATGCTGTATTTTATTTAAGAAATAAATATTTTAACTGTAAAACACTTTTCAAGATAAAACACAAGACTTTGAAAAACCAAAGACAAGTAAATCTCAACTATATGGAAACTTTCCAAACAGCGGTCTCCTAAAAATATACTAGATACAAGGTTCAAAAATCCATATAGTGGAAGTGTAAGGGAAGTCAGAAGTTTCAGGTTAAATCATTAATGTCCATTCCAGGGCACGTAGTTATTCTTCTTGCACACTTTTTTATTTATTTCATTATTAATTTAATGGCATTAATTAGCTCCTAGAAAAAAAATAATTTAGAAAATAACAAAATAGTAGATTTTGTTATTAATCAAGTCATAAACCACTTTGAAGTGAAAAAGAGCAACTGAAATGTAACAAGAACACTATCTCCATAGAACTGTAATATCTAATTCATCACTGTAGATATAAACCATATAATGTCTATTAAAAATACTGTGCAACCAAAAGACATATACTCAAAGGTCTCACTTTTCAACTGACACTACTAAGTTTGAAAATAACCTGTCAATGGTACAATGAAATAACCTGACTGAAGGATAACTTGTGGAACAAAGGTAAGATTAAAAGAAGTTTGATCACTTCATACAAAGTAAATAGTTCAAGACAAAAATTACAGCCAGTATTAGTTAACATATTCAAAGTCTGACTGACATCTGTCAGCATCCAACCCCTCTGACACTTTGAAAATGCTTTTTATTCTTGAAAAATCAAACACAAAGCAAAGTTGTATGAACCATTCAGGTAAGTTTTAAAGTACATTTTTCAATGTTTATTTAAAGACTACAGGATCACTTTAATTCATTTAATTTTTTAATGTATGGATATATAATGACCTGAATAGGGGAACGTATAGTTATCATCTTGCTTCCTTCAACAGTGTCAATTTGACTGACGATGGACCTTTCAACACCTGATTCCTTGTGTCTCACTTTGTAAATACATCGACCCACTTTAGTCAAAGGAATCTTTTCCACAGCAGAATGATTATGAGGACCTAGAATTTACAAGATGAGACGTGAAACACTCAAAAGGAGCATAAAGAAAGAGTAGAAAGACAAAAATGTGCATTCAGTAGAATTTTCTACGTCATTCAATCTATAAAAAAACCATCCAATGGGTGAAAAAGTACAATCAGCACTCTCAATACGCTGCTCTTGCAGTGCTACTAAGGAAACAGCAAAGATTCTTTCTTGCCACAAGGAAAAGAGTAAATGAGTCCATCACTCAAATATTTAAGTGGGTTTTGCTATTGCAAATAAAATTATTGACTCACAGGAAATGTTACAAGATGTAACAGCTCATTAACAAGGTATATATGGTATTAAATTAACAAGGAATATATATGGTATTACATTGTAAAAACAATTCATCTTATGGTCAAGTTTGAAAAACTGCCAATTGCTACAATAAATCAATTTAAATTTTAAACAAATACACCACTAAAAATAGATACATTTAAAATTTAGCCTTACCTATGGTTGCTTAAAATTATTTAAAACAATCTTTTTTAAAAAACATACCTCTTAAGAATAACTTCTGTAAACACACGTATACACAGAACTCAATTCTAAAACAAATTATTTTGAGCAGCTGAATCCTGCAATAACATATAAACGCAAACAAATATCTGACTCAATAAATATTATTACATAAATAATTTATCTGAGTAGAAAACCTATGCTGCAAAAATTAAGAAGTATGATATATATAACTTTAAGCTGTAATGGTAAAGCAGGATTTCAAATACTGATGTGCATATAGAATTCAAAGAGACACTCCTTTCATGCTATGTTGTCCTCCAACATTCATTCTCCTGTACAAGATGCTGTATCAGGGATGATAAATATTTACAAAAATGGAAGATGTATGAACTCCAGAACTTACATATCTGAATGTAAAATCTCTTGCTACTCAGTGTTGTCATTGCTGTGAACTGGTCACTCTCATTTCTACTTCTGACAAAATCCATATTTAAACTTGCTTTGTCTTCTAAATGAAATATTTTTGCACGAAATTCAACATTAAGGACACTAAAGGAGTCACTAGGCGAGACCGTGATGGGAACTCCTAAAGAATTTATTATTACAAATGGTGCTCGATCTTTTTTGAAGATGTCTGAAGTTTGACTAGCTGCTTCAGCAAATGCCTAGAAAGCAAAGAATAAAAACAAAACATGAACATACTGAGTAAGACTTCACCAAGATGATCTCTGCAAGTATTCATCTAGCAACTCTAACACCACATAGTTAAGAAATCTTTCTTACCGTGCCCAAGTTACTCAGCATTTGCAGTCCTAGCTTGGACAGTGTAATGTTAAGCTGGTCTTTTGAGGAAACATTTATTACTGTTTTATATTCTGGAACTTTGTAGTTCTCCTCTTCCTCCTCATCTGATTCAAACAGTGCTTTTTTAGCCTTCTTCATCTGAAAGGAGATGTTTAAAGAATTCTTATCTGACCACTCCTTCTGTAGAAGAATGTTTCACCTCAAGATTCTCTGTGTCTCCCTTTCCCGTTTCTATGTCTTGAGTTTTCCCTTTTTGTTGTTTACATTTTTATTTTGAAATAAAAACTAAAGAGGAGAGAATAAGAGTCTAAATATATTCAGGAAGTCAATGAAATTCCAGTAACTAAATTTATGATTATTTCAAAGTAAAGAAAATACATACTAACATATGCGGTGTGATAACATTCATCTTAATCTCTTTAGTAACAATGAGTAAAATGTAACACATAATTGACTTCCTAGTGTTAAAACAGTCTCCAAATTTAGTCTTCATGTTTCCAAATCAAATACCTATTTTGTTTTCATTTCATTGAAAGAAAAAAAAATTTAAAACCCTGATGGAATACATTTCTCTAGCCTTCAACACTTCCGGAAATTATGTATTTCCAAATGTTTTATTTTATATTGGGGTGACATGAGGTTTGACTCACTATCTTCTACCTCTCTCCTGTATATCTTGTACCTTTCTGGAAAAGTGTCGGGGGTATTTCTAATAGCAGTTTTTTAACTGCAGTATCGCAGTCCAAAGACTTTACCCTTCTGAGGCTATCACTGTAGAAAGTTTTTGATAACTAGGAAAAGAATGGGTCTTCAGTTCTGAGCAACCTTTCAGGTTAAAAATACTTGAACAGTTTTGAAGAAAGGCAGGAAACAATGAAATGAAACCGTTAAGATAGAAGGAGGAAAAATAAAAGTTAAGTCCCATCCTATAATGACACTTTATGTAGTTTGAGACCAGAATCTAGACTATTTCCATGAAAGATGAAAATTAAGTGGTAAGAGCACTACTCTCGCAGTTACTCTTTGTGCTACTCAACAGCTATTAGTTTTTCTAATACAATTTTGCTACACATACTACTGTGGAACAAGAGCAGTGTCTTGTCTTTCTAAAGTCACTGAATGCATCATTAGCATATGGCCTAATAGGACAAACTGACATAAAGCTGTTATGATTACTTCATGCAACTATATTAAAATTTTGCCACTTGAAAGACAATATTTAACAGATCTGTGTATCTGGATCTATCCTTGTATAAGAAGTGGTTTCATTTACTATTTGGGAAAACTCTCAGAAACCATCAAGAAGGAACAAAATTGTTAGATTAGTCTCAGAAATGAAAGGTGGAAAGCATTTGTTTTTTCTTAAGGTATCATAATATGATAATTGAGATCAGCTTTGTAAACTATACCTTGATTTCAAGAGTCCATGGCTTAAATAAGTCAGTTTTCTCAACTTCTAATGGTTCAAGCAAAGGTTCCCACACGCCAAACATCTCATTAAAATAATGTACCTATCAAAATCCAGAAATCAGTTAGGAATTTACATAAAACTTAAATTAAAAATTCTGATTTACAAGTATATTAATTATTTTGGTAATCTAAAAGATTCATAACCAGATTGCACTTTCAGCTGCTACCATAAGTTGAAAAAAATGCATTAGAGAAATAAATGAGGCAGCTAAGTCTCTACTGCACAGTCCTGGTTCCAAGTAAGTAGTAAAAATTGTGCCACTTAAAATACAATTTTGGCTTAAATGGTAGCTGCACTGGAATTAAAAAGCACTACAAATAAAGGAGACTCTACCTACAACAATCACTGAATTTTGCCACTAATTTCCAAATATGAGTCAGTTTGGATGTTTTATTAACAAGACTGTATTTTATAGAAACAATACATTATATAGTCTACTGTAATAATAACTGCAGATTATTAGAAACTTTTAGCCAGCTGCATTCCAACATTTAACACTGATGCAATAGGTCTTCAGAAATTTGCAAAAAGTGTACATGTGAGGCTGCCCAACACCAATTACTGTGCCATTAATTAACATCACATCTAGTGCAGCAGATTTTCATTTTAATTTGGCTATCTTAAGCCCTCATTCCCATCATGTTCCCACAACAAATATTTGCAGGAGTTCAGTCACCAAATATATGGGTTATTTTTCTTTTATTGTCTAAATAACATGTATGTAAGATTTAGACAATAAGGTTTAGCATCCTAGGAAAACTTTGCTTTCTTAATGTAAGATTTCTCACCTCTAGCTCAAGACGAGAATTTAGGTTGATTAAAGTACTCCAGTTCTTGACTTCTCCAACAAATGAGGACTTGGCTAAAAGCATTGGCACTGTTCTGTGCCCAACCCCAGCTTCAAGTGTTATAAAAACAGATTCTATATTAATTTTCAATGACTCTCCTGTGGGAACCAGTTCAGTGTTTGGATTTTTATCTTCATTTTCATTAGTCTCTTCAAGAAACCACATTTTCAGATCTTTTATATCTTTCTTATTCCACAAGTCAGGAGGAATTTGACTAATCTCTTCTTTTGTTGTTTCTGTAGTTTGATAAAGGGCTGATGTAATAGTAATTACTGTGTTTATGATTATTGGTGAAACCTACAAGCAAGAAATTGGAACAACTGAAAATGAGAATCTAATACAGAAACAGCTAGTTTCAGATACAAAAATATAATGAGTACGGTACAATAACAAAACACTTCCATTTTCTACAGGACTCTCATTGGAACATACTTCCCTTCCACAAGCAATAGTTCAATCTTTTCAGATTGGCTATCCCTGCCTTATTTCCACATGGAAGCTTTCTAAACTACATCATTCAATGATTTATATGAACACTTCCAAATTTATCTCTGCACACCAGGCATTTTATAAAACTGTAGATTCAAAACTGAAGCACAGTGACAGAGTTGTTTATTTTCAATTTTAATTCATTTTGACATGCTCAACAGGTACGTGACCTAATGAAGAATAGAACAATTCCCCACTTCAGTCATTCCTGAAACAACTTCATAGCCCGCTGAGTGGGAAGATGAAAAATAAAAACACAGTACAAGTCTACTTACTTCTATTGTTAGAGATTTAATGGTTAGATCAGCTGTCTGTGGATTAGTACCTGACTGTCTCATTTCAAAGAAGAAGTCACAAGGTTGCAATACCTATGCAATAAAGTAAAAACACATGTCATATAGAGAGAAAAATATTTTCAGAAACCATACACATAAAGAAATGAAGTTTTTTATGTTAAAAAAAAAGGTTTTCTTTCTTTTTACTGAAATAAAACTTACCAATACTCGGTTCTTCAAAACTAAGAGAAATCTGAACACTAGAAACATGTTGAAAGAAAAAACAAGTATCCAGAAACGTCACTGCAGCCATTCTCAATCATTAAAGACTGGAACGTCAACTACAGTAAAACACTTTACATTTCAGTAACTCAATTCTTATGTGTGCCAATACCTTCAATGCACTGCACCATGCCTCTGCTTTTTGGGGAGAACCAGTTTCTCAGCTGCAACACAGCAACTGACACAGCTACAGTTTTCCTGAATAACAATACAACCATCTGAATCACAATCACTAAGTTCCTACTTTGTTCTGCAATCAGTCCCTGAACATTTTCACTAGCCAAAGTTTACCAAATCAGAGGTATGCTATAAACAAAACCAGTGCAATGTTATTAATAAAGGACTCAGATGAAATTAGACTATACTAACACGGTACAGACAGGAAAATTTGCTCTCAAATCCCCATCTGAGATGATCAGTTTTTCCAAAACTGTAATTTCAAACCAAATTGATTCAGCAATCTTTTCTGACATCCCTATCTAAATCAGCATCTGAATCAGATGCTTGAGACATAGATATACCCTGAATCAGTTTGACCACACTTTTCCCAAATAAGTCTGATCTAACAGAAGTTTTTGTCCATAATATTATTTTTTACCCTATTGCTCAAATTACCTTTTTTCTTACTCTGTATTACATTCAGGAACCAAAAATAACAGATTTCTCTTTACACCAACACACATATGAGAACTACACAAAGAACCCCTCATCATTCATGCTATTTTAAATCTGGAGGTTAGTTTCCCTACTTGACATCTGGACATAACACTTAGTGATATGGTTTAGAGGTGACTATGACAGTCCTGGGTTGACAATTCAACTAAATGATCCTGAAGGTCTCTTTCAGTTTTGATGATTCTATCATCAAATGGATGAATTCATCCAACCCAATTACTTTCTGTCTTAGGTTACAATGTAAGATGTACTCAAAAGTATGTACTCTATTATCATAAGCTGTTAAAATCAGGTGGGGCAGTGTTCCTTATCTCCTCCATAACTCATCCCTGGTAACTCCCTCTGGAGTTTGTTGGGGGGGGTGGGGATGTAGATATATTCTGCTAATGGGTCATCAAGCCTCACTGCATGACTGATAAAATTACATCATCCCATTGCAAGATGTGCTGCCCAGGGGGAGGAACCAAGCATTCCTACCTGGATATAATCTGAGGTTTGAACACCCAAATGGCCACCAGATTCCCAGCAGACAAGAGCTCCATAGCAACCATTGGACCTTCAGAGGAAGATCAAACCCTTCTACAGGATCACTGCTTTAACAGAACCACGTCTGACACTTCAACAGGATTGCAGCCACCATTTAATCGGACTGCTATCGGTGTTCCCTGACTAACAGGGTGTCAGGTTGTTTTCTAACTCAGTGTTCCTGTACTATTGCTTTTTTTTTATTTTCCTATTAAATTGTATATTTGACTTGGGATTTCCCACTTGTTTGCTTACAACCAATACACTTTCCCAGACTAAAATTAGATTGTTTACAGAAAAACCTGGGTTCAGAGGTTTGCTTACACATGTTTTCAAAAGGAGCAATTATGCTTCTACCTGCAGGTAATATGTGGGGTTTTTTTGGTGGGTTTTTTTGACTCCTCTCAAGAACTTTCTGAATCTTTCAAGGTACCGTTTTAAGCACTGAACTAGTGTCCTGTGAGGTTTTTTTTCCCTATTATAGCACAAGCATCCTGTCAGATTCAGGTCTTTTTTCTGGTTTCTACAGTCTGAGGTAAGAGATTCTATCACAAGATATTCCTGTGCGAGGTAAAATTTGGTGTCCAATAGCTTTCTATGAAAAAAGTAACATTTATGCCACATTTGCCAGCCACAAAACCAGAAGTCAAACAACTTTGCATTGTGGCTATCAATGCCAGTGCATCACTTTCTAAATTACTAGATAAACATTTTAGTGGAATTAAAGACTGTGTGAACCTAAGGAGTAAACTGAGGTACTGATTCTTCCTGAAACTGAGATGAAAACCAAGCCCCAGTCCTTTCTGCTTACAGCTTTCCTACATCACTCCATAAGTAAGCAGGCATTAATAGAGAGCTGAAGTTTGCTCTTCAAAATTAATCTGTGGTCTGAGGACATGTGTAACTGTTGTATATATAGTCACTTTGAATTTTTTCTCTGATGTAACAATATTATTGCAGAGTTAACTGAAGAACAGTCTGCTGTAGAGGCAGAAAAGCTGTAAGAAACTCCAGGAATCAATGCGATTTTCACCTGATCAGTAACTAAGTCTGATTTTGTTGCCAAATATAAATAGGCAGCTTCACTATAACTGATATATAGACCTTAACATAAAGGAATTTATGAACAGCATACAGTAAGTAAACGACTTCTCAATATGCACTTCCCATTTTTTGGTGACACTCATTCTATTACATAGCTATTTAATACAAAGTTTTAGACTGATAGCACTCCAAATTTATTATACGGCATTTGACATAGCATACACTTACAAAATGTTATTTATTAGGCTTACATGGGATATCAAAGATAACTAACATTATATTCCTTGGGGTTCTGCATTGTAGCTTATCATACAAAGTAAAACCCAGTACCACAGATCAAGATGATGCTTTAGGCATATCAGACAAAAGAGAATAAAATGTCAGCCACGAAATTTTACTCATACTGTAAATCTATACTACTATATTGTAGTATACATTTTACTGATTAACATCTCAGAAATTAAATGCATTTTAGTTACATAGCACCTTTTAAATACACTGAATGGTTGCAAACTCACCGTAGTAATGTTCCCTTTCCTTTCTTCTGGAAGAAATGGGCATGCTTTCATCTGCATTTCTCTAACAGCAGCTGTCATGTTGTACCTTTCAGGGCTATTTTTAATGAAGACCTCACACTGTGTTGTAACCACCAATGCAGGAGCATCACTTCTTGTTAAATCAGCCACAAACACAATCTCTGGATTTTTAACAACAATGTTCATTTCCATTGTAGATACAGGCTGCACAGATGCTTCAGAAATATAAATTACATTAGTTTAGTTGTTCAAAGAGTAAATCTTAATTATTTTCTTGTTGTAATTTAATTATTAATATAATTAATTATTATAATTAATAACATTAATTACAATAATTATTTAATTCTTATAACTTACAAGGAGGCACTGACTATTTAGGGTTAAGATCTAACATGACTAGTGTAGCAAATCTGTAGATCCCTGCAACTGACATTTCTAGGCTCTTCATTATAGGCACAAAACCATTTAATATCTAATTACTCTTGGGTATAACAGAAGACTCCATCCACAAAGCTTCTCTGTCAAAATGAAAAGTGAAAATAAGGAGTATCACCACTGTTACTATCTGACAATAACAAATGTATCAGCTTCACTCCATACCTACATCTCTGTAATTATGTAAGACTCGGATAAGAGTCTTACAAAAATGCTGGGCACATTTTCTGCTCTCTGGAGTAGCATACCCTAATTTTTTCACAGGAAAATAATGCAACATTACTGATGCCTAATGTAAACACTTGCAATAAAAACATACTTTTATATAAGACCTCCTTATCTGTTCAGACTTTGATCATCAGTAAATAATCACAACAGGGCAGGCTGACAGGGACACAACTACAATATTTAGGGCATAGGAAAACAACACCAAAAAAACAGGGACTTGCTTTGGCATACCTGATGAGAACTACCTAAGGCCTGGAAGCATAAAAAGAATATTTCCTGCTCTGATGCACTAATGAACCAATTTTTGTCGTCAGGTACTCAAGCTAAAAGTCTAGTTTCTGATGTAGGAAGAAATGCACATCAGTGGACATTATGACATTTACAGGCAGCAGCATCAGGCTGGCCAATTCCACATGTAAGTACAATATAATACGCTCCATTATTAATTCCATTTTATTTTAAAGATACATTTTTAAGTATCTCTTTCTCTAGTAAGACAAGACTTCATTTGGAAACAAAGAGTAAAGGTCATGAATCTATTTCCAAGATGAGAAGAAAGCAACATCAATGGTTAAAAGTTGTTCTATACAAATAAACATAGGAAAGAGCATAAAAGGAGTATTGTATTTTTTACATAGTATTAAAATACCAAAATTAAGCTGATATTCAAATGTAGATTTTAAACTATTTCCAGTGTATACTGGTATATACCTTGGTCCTTTACAGGTAATGACTGTTTGAGATTTCTCTGTGCAGCAGCACTTTCTGCATTAGCCTTTAGAAATATATCTGCTACAGTAAGTAGAAACTCCATGCTTGCACAAAGGTATATCTCTTGAACAATAACATCAAGAACAGTGCCATCTCTCCCATGTTTGTAGTTTACATCCACCATAAATTTCTTTTCAAATCCATGTTTCATTTCCACCATTCTGAAAGACATTCAAGGAAGCATTTAATGAAACAATAAAAAGCCAGCCACAAATACTGAAAAACACTCAAGATTCTCATTCTAGATGCAATACATTAACAAGATTGAATTTAAAAAGTAATACAAATAATTTTAGAACGTCTGATACCAAGATTGGCATATTTTTTTTATAATTTTAAAACTAACTGGAATCCCATACACTGGTAACTAAAGATGTAAATAATTTAACAAGACAAACCATCATATTTCCTTGTTTACATATCAAAAGTACTACATTTTACTGAAGTTTGTTACTATTCATGAGACATAATCTCAGTCTTACTTAGAACTTCATTAAAGTAGAAAGACAAAATGTTTTCTATGCACATATTAAATCTATATTTAAAGTTCAGTTTATTTCATTTTTTGTATCTAGCACTGGTGTCTTGCAAAGATATGGAAAAAAAGCCACGTGAGACACATAAATGCACAGTCATAAGTACTTTAAGAACCCCTACACTAAAACAATTGCAGTTTTAACAGAACACTAATAAAATGTAAACATTATGAACTCTGGGTCTAACTCTAATAAATAGTAAATGATATAAAATTACAGACCTTGGTGTAGCCTTCTGGATCGACTGTCTTTTATCATCTAATGTACAGTTTGCCAGTTTGACTGAAGCATTCATTGAACCATCTGATAACATTTTCACAGCAGCTGACATAAGACCTAATTTAAACTCTGCAAGCTTCAAAAGGTCATCTCTCTGATCCAAACTGTTAACCTGTTTAAATGAAACATTTGAAGATTTCGTTACAGGTATCAAAAATAATATATAGGTGTGATATACAGTTTTACTCTACCTGATGATATTTTCAATAATTATAAATAAAATAAATCCACTAATAATTCGAGACAGCCACAAACAACAACATACAAGACAAAACTTTCAGAAAGCAGAGCTTTGCCCTTCTACCATCTTTCTAAAGCAAGTCAATGTGAGAGACCTAAGTTTATAATAAATTACAAAATTTTAGTCAGAAATCTGGTGACAAGTTTTGCAAGTTTAAACAAAGATGAATATAAATGCATTCCTATTGACAAATTTAAGAATCTTTCTCTACCATTTTGTGTGTGTCCATGTACCCCTCCCTATATGTATCTAATGAATATGCTTCATTCCTCTGCATATTCTTCTCCCAAACTATATTTTAAATTAATACAAATTTCCATCAGATTTTTAGTCAGGTGACAGAAGATACCATGTACTATGTCCTACCACTGGTTATTCTATTTCCTGCAGTATCTGCCAAGCAATTTAGATAAAATAGCTGTTATCTTATTTCTATCACATTTGTTATTACTGCTAGAACACACTTTCTCGGTCATAAATTAAGCTATTCTTTTTCAGAATTTCCTGGACTCTAGGCAACTTTAAAGCTGCTGATTACTCTTTGTAACCAAAATTATACTTACCTGTTTTGAATTTGGACTATATAAGACTAAAGTGAGAGAGTCAAATTTGAAGTCCAGTTTTAGTGTTGTTTTTATTTTCATAGGTGAATGCAATTCCACCACAGCTGATGTCACGACAGTTACACCTTTCAGGAATCAGAAAAATTGTTAATATTAGGAAAATTACCTGACTGCAAATAAGAAGAAAATCAAAACAAACTATCCTCGCTTACAACCATAAAGACAGCAACTTCCCTTTTTCTCCACATGTAAATCCAGCCACACATAGCATATGTTTATCATGCTTTATGTAACTACTTTTGGCAAAATCACACATTTGAGAATATAAAACACTTCCCTTACATATTCTACATGGGATTTTTACCATCTTTAAAACCCAAATATACAACTTATTATTAATATATACAGAATTGTGTGCAAGAGTGTTATAAAAAATACAAATTCACTTTCCTCCTCATTTGTTCATCTGCCACATTGTTGCTGGTTTTCATATGTAATAAAGGAGTTCAGCAAAAGATGGTTTTCTTAACTTTACTTGCTTTTCTTTTTAGTGTGTGCTGAGTTGATGGGCAGTGACATCTATCAAATAGGAACATCTCTCAGGGGTGTCGTCATTACAACAGACAAACAGATTTAATCAGAATAGCAAGGAAACCACCATATAAAGGAAAGAGAGTAAAATGGTAGCATTCCAAAGTTGGGATGTTAACAAATGGTTTGACAGGCTTTTAAGTGCTGCCTTGTATTACAGCCAGGAAAACAAAAGCCTAACATTACTCTTGATACCATGTCATGCTCCAAAACTCACTACAGTGGCTAACTTGCTTCTATGCATTATTATTAGCATCAGATATAGCTCAAACCACAATGTCAAGATAATAGGTCCACTGGCAGTCAACCAACCTCATCAGCCAAGGAGGCATTTAGTGACAGCACCAACAGCAGCAGCAGTGGCTACAGTTGGAGGGCAAAATACCTCAAAGAGCCTGGCAGGGAGGTCCCAAAGTCAGGAAACCCAAGAGATGGAAGAGACCTGGCAGGGCCCAGGAGCTCTCCTAAGTGAGGCCTACATGGTGAGGGCCTTGTCAGAGCAATGAAGGTAGATTTAATCAACTCTAAGGTGATCATAAGAACTTGGAGCACAGTGAAAATGCGGGCAAACAGGACATGGCATGTCAGAAGGATGTGGCACAGCACTTGCTGCAGCAGTTCATGTGGGCAGGGCATGCAGAAGGGCAGGGTGACCCTCCCCAGCTCCTAAAGAGAGCTCACAAGGTGGTTTTCACCCACCCCATGAGAACAGACACAACAGTGATCTCCATAAAGCCAAAAGCCATTGCCAGTATCACAGCAACCCAGACCAAGCTTCTCAGAAGCATGCATCTGTCTGCAGCTGCAGGGAGTGTTTGAGCTTGGCATTAGCATCAGAGGGCAGAAAAGACTACACTTGTGTGCAGTGGGAGCAGGTGGATGATGTACTGAACCTGGCGGCTGAGCTTAGAGAAGCAGTGGAGAGGTTGAAGAGTATCAAGGGGTCTAATAGAAAAATAGATTGGTGAAAATTCCTGAGAGAAATGTAGGCGGTGGAAGCTCAGCGCAAGTCAGAGGAACTCCAACACTCTTGTCATCAGAGAGAAGGAGGGCATCTAAAAGACAAGGGAGAAATGGAAACAGGTGCCTGCTTGGGGCAGCAGGAGAATCATCTCCCCTGCCTCCACAGGTAACTTTAGGAAATAGGTATGAGGCTCCAGAATCTGAGGGTGAAGAAAATGATAGTGAAGGTGAAGGTCTACCTGGAGAGTTGCCCAGAGCAAGTCAGTCAACCAAATGCATCACAATTTCAGGTTAAGAAAGAGAGAAAGAAAAATAATTGTTCCAACTCTCTGCTGAGGGGAACTGAGGGCCCTGCATGCCGGCTGGACCTACCTCCAGCCGACAGCAGGTCTTCTGCCTTCCTGTGGGAACCCAGGGCAAGGGGGAATATCCCCCTGTCTGCCCTGGGGTGCTTTGACTCCCAGGAACACACTGACTTTGACCCCCATTCATGGAGAAAGCCTCCTAAGCCTCAAAGTAAACTAGAGACCACAAAAGTGTGAAATAGATTGTAGAGATTGTAGAGAGTAGTTTAGTATGTCACATGGGTGAGAAATTCAGATTTTAGGATTTTTAGCATATTGTAGATGGGTACAAGATGGAGGATACATGGTGTTGTCTCAAGTTCCTTTCTTCTTTCTTCTTTCTTCGTCTTGGGTTTGGATGGTATTTTGTAATTGGGTAGAAAAATCCACATTGCAGGTCTTTAGGGGTCAGTTATGGGGTTAGAAAGGGAAATAATCTAGGTGTCACTTCTTAATAGGGTAGTTTAGGTTTTGATTAGACTTAAAAAGACCTTGCAGCACGAGGTTGTTAGCCATTGTTTTGCTGTTTTCACACATGCGAAGTCTGGCTGCAGACAGTGTGCTGAAGTCTTGATAAGGTAACAGTAAAACAAGAACCCAAAAACCAAAAAAGTCCTATGCATCTGTTTTTCCTGACACAGAACTGCTTCAGGAGGGTTTCCCCCTGCCAGAGGAGCCCTCAGGGAGTTGCCCAGAATGTGGCCTGCAAACTCACACCTTCCTGGGACTCAGGTAGGAGGCTCTACTAAGAGATAAGATCTGGAACACAAGTTGTGTTCTCTTTTGTCCTGTCAGCAAAATCATGCAGATGAACACCTTGGTAATGCTATTCTGTGTTACCATCAGAATTTTGGTTTTGTTCATAATGGGTCTATAGAACACTGAGGGTCCTCCTGTCTCAAAGGGGAAAAAGGACTTTAGCTTAGGAATTAGCAGGGCTTGTTGAGAGAGCTTTAAGATAGATTTGAAGAGGAATGAGGACAGGGCCAGGCTTGACAGAGATAAGGTGTGGGAAGGGGAGAATTACAGTGACCACTCAAGCAGCAAAAGGAGGTTTAAAAGTGAATACTTTCAGTGAGTATAAGTATCCAAAGATGTTACCACAAGACAGACATGGGGACATCCCTTTGCACAGTCAAATACTTCTATAATGTGTCTGTACAACAATGCACACAGTGCAGAAAATAAACAGGAGAAATGAGAAATGGGTGTGCAGTCAATGGACTTAAAGGACTTAGACCCAATTGCAATTACAGAGATATGGTGGGATAGCTCACATGACTGGAATGTTGTCATGAAGGGCTACATTCTGTTTAGGAGAAACATTCTATGTGAGCAAACACTCAGAATGTGTCAAGCTCTGTCCTGTGGTGTAAAAGCCATAAGTCAAGAGCTTATGGGTCAGGATAAAAGGGCAGACCCTGGGATGGTAGGGATGACACTGCTTGTGGGTGATTGCTACAGGCCACCCAAGCAGGAGAAGGAAATGGATGAGGCCTTTGACATGGCACAAAGCAGCCTCAGGAACACAAACACCAGTTCAACTTTAACTGCCCTGACATCTGCTGCAGAACCATCACTCTGAAACATGAACAGCCCAGCAGGTTCCTCAAAAGCACTGCTCACAGCTCCCTGCCATGGATAGTGGAGGATCCCACAAGGAATGTTGTAGCCGTTTCACCTCACACTAACAAGCAGGGAAGGCCTTGTGGGGGATGTGAAGGTTGGAGGCAGTCTTGGCTGGGTAGCGATCATGAGATTGTGGACTTCCACATTGGGTGAGGAAGGAACAAAGATTGTGGAGTTCCACATTGGGTGAGGAATGAACAAGGCAGCAAGTAAGACTGCAACCATAGACTTCAGGAAAGAGAACTTCAGCCACTTCAGGAAATTCTCTTGAAAGAATCTGTGGGAACAGGCCCTGCAGGGAACAGGAGTTGACATTCAAGAATCACTTCCTCCAGTCACAAGAACTGGCATCCCAATGGAGGCCAGTGAACAAGAAATCAGGCAAAGGGACACGGATGAATAAAGAGCTTCTGAGGTCGTCAGGCTAAGTAGAGACAATTAAACCCAAGGTGCATCAGGAATTAGATCTGACCAAGGATGTCAAGGACAACAAGAAGGGCTTCGCCAATAAGAAAAGTAAAACTCAGAATAATGTGGGGCCATTCCTAAATGGAGGGGGGAAACTGGTAACAGAGGAAGCAAAGGAATTACTGAATGCCTTCTTCACATCAGTCTTCACTGACAAGACCAACCCTCAGAAATCTTTGACCCAGAGGTCTGAGTAAAGGAATATTGGAAGAAAGCTTTTCCCTTGGTTACCTTGACATTCTCAACACCATGGGCCCTGATGGGATGGGATACATTTATGAATGCTGAGAGAGTTGACTGTACACATTCATCTTTGAAAGGTTGTGGTGATTAAGAGTGATGTCTGAGGACTGGAAGGAACCAAATGTCATTCCAGACTTCAAAGACAGCAATGAAGGAGAACCCAAGGAACTACCAGCCAGACAGCCTCACTTCAATCCCTGCAAAGGTGATGGACTGCCTCATTCTGGAGGCCATTTCTTCTATCCCCATGGAAGACAAAAATGTGGCCAGGAGTAGTCAGCATGGATTCACCTGAAAGGAATCATGCTTGACGAATATGATGTCTTCTATAATGAAATAACTACTTGGATGGATGAGGTAAGAGCAGTGGTTATTGTCTACTTTGACTCCAACAAGGCTTTCAATAATGCCTCTCACAACATCCTCACAGGCAAACTTGCAACTGCTGCTTGGATCAGTGAACAGTGAGGTGGACAGGGCAGAAAGTTATGGACAGGAAGTTCCAAACAGAACCTCTTTACTGTGCAGATGGCCACACACTGGCACAGACTGCCCAAAGAGGTTGTAGAGTCTCCCTCACTGTCTGGACAAAATCCAATTCCATGTGCTCTGGAATGACTCTGCTTGAGCAAGAGGGTTGGACCAGATGACCTGCTGTGGTCTCTTCCAACATGACCCACTCTGTGATTCTGTAAGATCCAGACTGATTCAGCCCCCTGATTAATACCCACTTTTGTTTCTACAGGTTGGCAATTATGAGGTTGAGGAAAAAAGTCCTACAGCAATTAAAAAGGACTTCAGGATAACTGGTTGAAGGCACAGGAGCATAAGTTGGTGTTTTCCTTGATCCCATCAGTAACAGGGAAGAATGCTGAAATGAACAGAAGAACCCACCCGATGAACACAAGGCTTGAAGGCTGGTGACATCAGTGGAATTTTCTTGTTTTGATGATGAGGCAATTGATGTAATACTGATTGGGACAGATGAGGTTCATCTGTCTCAAAGGGGTAAAACAATTCTTGCCCATGAGTTGGCATGAGTTAAGAGGGCTTTAAACTAGGTTTTCAGGGGGATGGAAGAAGACCAGGCTCACTTAAGATGAGCCTGTGGGTAGGATGCCAGGGCTAGGAGTAAAATCAGTAGTCCAGTTAAAGTGCAACTACACCAATGCACACGATATGGGTAACAAACAGGAGGAGCTGGAGGTGACTGTACAGCAGGAAAGCAATGCCAGAAATGTAGTGGGATGACCAGTCCACTGCACTGGATGGCTACAAGCTCTTCAGCAGGGACAGGCAAGGAAGGAGAGGTGGTGGGGTGGCTCTGTACATTAGGAAGTGTTTTGATTGTACAGAGCTCAAAGATAGTGATGAGAAGGTTGAATGCCTATGGGTGACAATCAGGAGGAAGGCTGAAAAGGCAGATATATCCTGGTGGGAGTCTGTTATAAACCACCCAACCAGGATGAGGAGGTGGATGAACTAGTCTGTGATGTGATGGTGATGTTCCATGATTGTCAGCCCTTGTTCTTGTGGGAGATTTTAACCTGCCAGATGTCTGCTGGAAATTTAACGCAGAAGAGGGGGCAGTGTAGGTAATTCCTGGAGTGTGTGAAGATAACTTCCCAACACAGCTGGGAACTGAGCCTACCAGGGGTGCCGCCCTACTGGATCTGCTGCTTAGAAACAGAGACGGGCTGGTGGGAGATGCCATGGTTGGAGCCATCTTGAGCACAGCGACCATGACACAAGAGTTTTCAATACTCAGGGGTGTCAACAAAATCTTGGATTTCTGGAGGGCAGACTTTCAGTACACTGGTTCAGACAGTCCCTTGGCAATAAGCCCTTTAAACCAAAGGGGTCCATGAAGTCTAGATATACTTTAAGAATGAAATCTTATAGGCATAGGACCATACTGTCCATATGTGCTGGCTTGGCTGAATAGGGAGGAACACGGGGAGAAAAATGAGATTTTATTACTTTTGGAAGAACGGGCAGGCAATTGGAAGAAAAGTATAAGGATGCTGTTAAGTCACATAGAAAATCAGCAAGGTTAAAACTCATCTAGATTGCAATCTGACCACTGCTGCAAAGAAGAATAAGAAGTGTTTTTATAACTACGTTAACAACAAAGAGCAGGCAAAGGAATAATCTCCACCCTTTACTGGATGTGGAGGAGTACCCCTGCCACCAAGGATGAGGAAAAGACCGACGTACTTCATGCCTTCTTTACCTCAGTCTTTAAGAGTGAACATAGTTATTCTCTGGGCAACTGGCCACCTATGCTGGTAGACAGGATCAGAGAGTAGAAGAAACCTGCTGCAATCCATGAGGAAGTAATCAATGACTGCTGTGCCCCTAGATGTTCACAACTCCATAGGACCAGACAGGATTCAACCTAGGGTGATGATGGAGCTGGCAGATGGGCTCACCAAGGCATTCTCCATCATTTATTATCAATCCTGGTTAACTGGAGAGGTCCCAGATGTGTGGAGATTGGCCAGTGTGATGTCCATCTACAAAAGAAAGATCCAGAGAACTAAAAGACTGTTGGTCTGGCCTCAGTGCTGGGGAAGGTTAAGGAGCAGATCATCTGGAATGCAATCACATGGCACAAACTGGACACCTAAGGGATCAGGTCCAGCCAGAATGGTTTCAGAATGGGTTTAGGAAAGGCAGGTCCTGCTTGACCAACCTGATTTCCTTTTTCGACTAGATGACTCATGTAGTTAAAGAGAGAAGGCTGTGGATGTCAGCTATCTGTACATCAGTGAAGTCTTCAATACTTTCTCCCACAGCATACTCCTGAAGAAGCTATCAGGCCAGACCTTAGACAGGTAAATTCTTTGCTGGGTTAAAAACTGGCTGGATGGCTGGACCTAGAGAGTGGTAATAAATGGAATTATATCCACTTGGCAGACAGTCACCAGAGGTGTTCTCCAGAGCTCAATATGGGACCAGTTCAGTTTAACAACTTAATATTAAGGATTTGGATACGGGTATCAAGTGCCCCACAGTCAGTTCACAGATGACACCAAGTGAGGCAGGAGTGTTGATATGCTGGAAGGTTGGAAGGCTCTGCAGAGGGGTCTGGACAAGCTGGATAATGGGCTGAAGCCAATAACATGAGGCACAACAAGGTGAAGTGCCAAGTCCTGCTCTTGGATCACAACCCCAGGCAGTGCTACAGGCTGAAGACAGAGTGGCTGAAAAGCTGCTCAGCGGAAAAGGACCTGAGAATGCTAGTCAGTAGTGTCTGAACATGAGCCAGCTGTGCCCAGGTGGCCAATGTCATCCTGGCCTGTATCAGGAACAGTGTGGCGAGCAGGACTGTCCAGCTGTACTCCACCAGTACTTAAAGAGATGCCACACTTCAAATCCTATTTCCAGTTCTGGGCCCCTCACCAAACAAGGACACTGAGGTCCTGAAACATGTCCAGAAAAGGAAAATGAATGGTCTGGAACACAAGTTATATGAGGAGTGGATGAAGGAGATGGGGGTGCTCAGGCTAGAAGAGGAAGCTCAGAGGGACCCTATTGCTCCCCACAACTACTTGAAACAAGGTTGTAGCAAGATGGGCAGCTGGTATCTTTTCACAGACAGCAAGTGACAGAGTAAGATGACACAGCCTCAAGCTGAGACAGGAGAGGCTCAGGCTGGACATCAAGAATTTCTGCAAAGGAAGGTAGTGGAATCACCATCCCTGGAAGCGTTCAAGAAGATCTGGACAGGGCACTTGGTGCTACAGTTTAGTTGATATAGTGGTGTTTAGTCGACATGGTGGTGTTTAGTCAAAGGTTGCATTTGATGCTTTTGAAGGTCTTTTGCAATATTAATTATTCTGGGATTCTACAGTATTGGTATACACAGATGAATCTGGCATCCATTCTTAGATGCACTTCCAACAGAAGCCTTATATTGACAATAATACCTAAAAATGCCAGATGATGTAATTTTAGAAAATATTACCTGCAGAGTGCTGAGAAGTACCTTGCATTTCACTAGAATGACTAGTTGATGCTTTAGATTCTGGTAAAGCTGCTGATGCACCAGAGCTTTCACCTGCATTTTCATTTAGTGTCCTCAGTATTGTGGTAATATCTTCCTGACTGAGAATGAGCTTTAAAAAAGATTGGAATGGAAATCAGAACAACTCTGTTTGCATAACTTTTGGTAACTAAAAACTGAGCTTACATGTAAACAGATAAATCAAATTAATCTCATCTGAGTCTCTGTTTAGGATGCTGAACATTTTTCTCAAATTCACATAACTCGTTACAGTAATTTCTAGAAATCAGTCACACATTATTTTGTTTTCGTCTACAAACTTTCCCTACCAAGTTACAATTTAGAAACTGGAATGTCCGAACATGTACACTTACAGTTTGACTTACAGTTGACCACAATTTTTATCTGCATTTAGTCACAAGGCACTTTACAGTAATACTTATAAGTTCTATTTCAAAATCTGGTAAATTGGTTTTCCTCACACACTTCACAACCTTTCCATTTTTTAATGTTAAATTACAATATGCTCTCTTGAAATTTCAATTTACTTTTTTTTTTTAATGTTAAATTTAAATCATGCTAGGATGAATCCCACCTGTTCCCATAGATCTGTGAATGTCTATGGGACACAGCAGGTCACTAATAACTATTCAGGCTAATAACTATTCAGAGGTACAAATTCAGCACTGCTATTGAACAAACCAATAAACCCCAACTTTTCCAATCCTTCATTGGAAGACACTGACAGATAAAAGGCTAGAACAGAATAAGCATTTTTAACTAGTAACAGTAATTCACAGTACAAAGTCTGCCTGGAGTATCACAAATGAAATACAGACCTTAAATCAGACCTGAAATATATTCATTTCCTTTTCCCCTATGAAACAACAAAACCTGTTCTACCTTATGTCTTGAACTCAAACAACAATTTAACTATTGAGTTTGGATGTTTATAGGGAAAAATTAATCTGGTTTCCACAAATATTTTAACAGTTGCATTCAGAAACAAGTGCTTACATTCATAGGCTTAAGTCGGCCAGATATTTCAATATCAGGAACTTCATTATACCATGCAGCAGCTAAATTTCTTTCAACAGCTACTTCCAGATTGACTGGCTGCAGCAACTGTACTTCAGTTTGCAAAGAATCTTGCTCATAATAAGATCTGTGAAAAGAAGTAAAATACTTCCAGCTTTCACATATTTCACATTCTAAAAGCTACATTTCTGTCTTTTCCTCATCCTTTCAAATAATGCTATAAAACTGCCTTTTTACTACTCCAAATAGTTCTAGTTGAAGCCTTACTCCACCAAGTAGACCTCCTTCCTTTGTATGGAAGAGGGATCAGGCATGCAACACACAAACTCTAACAAGTCAGGACATCTTACCTGCTCTCCAGTGGAGAGTAATTCCTTCTTTCTTCAGTACTTTTCAACTGTGTTTGAAAAGCCCCTTCCATTCCCTCTCCCTCCATGAACCCCCTGCACCAACGACCATTTCCAAACAGTTCTTAATGGCTATTTAACAGGGGACCTTTGCTGCTATGCATAGCTTGAAAATCTCATCAAAACAATCTAATTCAAATAGGTGTAGCCTGTCCCAAACTAATGAATAATGTATAACTCTACAGTACTACACAACTTATCCTGAACAAATATTTATTTCTACTTCAAGATGTGCAGATTGCTCTTTTTCCTAAGCCATGCATTTTCACTGCTTTAAAAATTACTAGTTTGCTGTTATATTCCAAGATAATAGTCTGTCAGTCACGAACCATTAACTAATTATTTAACTACTCCTTGAAGCTCTCTAAGTGAAGAATCTCAAAAGGATTAAATGAATTCTAAAAAAATTGACATTACATTACCTGTATAACTTCAGTTCACTCAATTTCACTGTCATAGAGTCAATAACAGGTGGAAGACTACACCATGTTTTTGTTTTAGCAATAACGAATTGGTTCTTCACAGTGATTAGACCAAGATCAGCCACCAGGACATTTGCAGACATTGCTGACTGTGGAATTATCACAACAGGTGCCTTGATATTGATATCCAGCGCCAAACGGGAACTACGCTCTGCTAACTCTTTTACACCTGTAGCTGCTTTCTCTGCTGTTCGAACAGTTGCCTCAGTAAGGGCTTCCTTGGCAGCTTGAAAGTTATTTACAAAAGCCTAGGAAAGGAATACAGATCTCAGGAATTAATTATTAAGAATTACAGTATTATTAAGAATTACAGTATTTCAAAAACACTATGAATCATAGTTATTTAAATAGCTAAAATGTTATTTTTGCTATACATTTTGTCCAAATTCTTGTCCAATTCTCTCCTCAAATATGATAAATTATGCATATATAAAAATAAATTTTTATACCAAATATTTGGAAAATTAGATGGTAAGAGCCATGACTGTGTAACATGACTTGTAGAAATTACACTTTATTCAATCATATGAGCAGCAGATGATTGATTTACTTAGCAGTATTTATGGAAAGGGGATTAATTTTCATGGTTTCTTACTTATATTTCAGTGTTATAAATAATGAATGGTATGTATATTTAACAGCTGTCTCAAACCATCTAAGAAAAACATTATTATTAACAATAGTAAACGTTCTTGCTTACTCATCTGCTCCACAGTAACAAACATATGTAGAAGAAAAATAAACCATCAAGCCCAGTAAAGTTTTTTACAATAGCATATAAGAACTCTTACACAAATGGACACCACCCCATATGGAACATCTTATCCCTTGCTTGCTCTGACAACTTCACCTGGATGATAAGAAACAGTATCCAGAAAATTTAACTTACCAAAACAGATGAAACAAACTTGTTGACAAAAACTACTTGAATACACCCAACAGTTAGGTAAATACGATTGTCAACAACATCCATATTTGTATATGCAATGCCATCTGTAGCATTTACATATGATACCATTCTGAAGTTGAAGACTTCTTTTTCTGTGATGTAAAGAGCCTTAAGAAGAAAAAAAAGTAGTATCCTAACTGTAAAAACTTACATACTGGAGAAACTTAACTTCAAAACAAAATGTAGTACCGCACACCACTAAGACATTTTTACTTCAAGTATCTCAACAATATACGGAAAAAAAAAAACCCCAAATTTTAAAAATCGATTGAAATAGCTGAAAATATTCAGCTGACATCTCAGCTTGAATAATTCTCTTCAGAAAAGTCAACACAGTAAGAGGCACAATGAGCAGCTAAATATCACAGTTGCATGAATTAATATCGATCTAATAATTACTGGTTGTGGGAGCAAAATCAATCTGTCATATCAAGAATACTACTCCCACCAAATACATAAAACATGACTGAAAAATGTCACAGCAGAGAGTAGAGCCTAAAAGGTAACTTAATTTAGAATCAATTCAAAAAGAAAATCAACAATACATGCATATGCCTACCTTTTTATATAATGCTTTCTCATCAGAATCCACAATACTGATGTTCTTCAATTTTGCAGTCACATTAGTTGCTGCTTTCTTCATGATCACTTGGCTGTCCAGACCTTAAAAACAAGACATACAAAATCTATACACTAATATGGTTACAAAGTTTTGTGTCTTTGTGATTAAAGGTTTGTTCCTACCTTCAATGTGAATTTCAGCTATTCTATGGTTTTTCTCTCTGATAAAAATACGCAAACATGATAAATCCGCACAGATAATGAGGTCAATAACATCTTCACACTTCGATTTTTTTGATGCTATGGGAAATAAAAAATAACAAAGTTACCATTATTCAATGAGGACAGGTACTATTTTGGTATCCCTTTGAGCTGCACAGCAAGCAAGAGGTTAATGCTCCTCAAGTACAAGATAATAACCATAAGACCATCAAATGCTTTAATTCATACCAGGAAAAAAATACAGAAACCTGACAACAATTTATGGCTTTTCTATCTACATTGACTTAGTGCTTCCAATACATAGCAAAGGTATTCCTTGACCTATATGTCAGGAAAGTGCACATCACTAAGGATACAACCCTAATAAATCCATATATAATTTGAAGCATAATTTCTCATATCAAACATCATTTACAGGCTTGCAAAAATAGAAAAAATAGAAAGTACATTTGTTTTATTTCTTGCTTAAGTGAAGAGAGAGGAATGAAAGGAGGAAAAAATAATAAAGAAACTTACTTAATTTTTTGAGAACATCCTTCTTCTCCTCTGTTTTCTCATGGACTGGTTCTTCCACAACTTTAGGTCCTTGTTTAGGCAGAAGATTGTTCAGATAGTTCATAGCATTCAGCAGAGCTTCAGTATGCAAATGAACATCTAGAGAAGAAAAGTTCACCTGAAAGAAAAACTTCTGTTTATCCAGTATGCCTCTCCTCCCAGACTGAGAAAATTATGTTTAAAAGAACTTATCATACCTTTATTTTCTGTAGAACATTCTGACAGACAGTTTTCAGTTCTGGTCCCTTAATATCAGTCTATTTCACCGGAAGGGTACATAAACAAATCAGAAGTTTGTAAATTTCATTTAAAAAAACCTTATTTTTAAATCCACTACAACTTAAGTATTAAAAGATATTCCACTGAAGGAGCAAACAGACTTTGCACATGACACTCAAGACATTAAAAACATCAATAAGGAAAAAAGCTTCAACATCTGGTGCATTATTAATGTGATATGTATGACAGGCTTACAATTCAAAAGCAAAGTCTACTCTTTCCTAACCTTTGTATACTCCAGAGTGAGAAGATCATCTTCTACATTATCCAATGTAGTAATTATGTAAACTGGCTTGCCATTATCATCTAAAAAGAAATAAGAAAAAAAAATATGGAAAATTACTTATTTTAAGAGAAAAAAAAATCAAAACTTTCTTCATCTATAAACTGCCAGTTGGGCTACTATCTGTCATTGCTGCTTAAAAAAAGCCCCTATTTTGCAGATGTATAATAGTTAAACATCTACAATCTACAATCATCACCACCAGAACATATTTACCAAAGCACTAAAAAGTGGATGACCTCCTGATTTACTTGCCCCCAGTCCTGCATTTAAGTTAGGAAGTAAATCTTCTTTATTTTACAAAAGCCCTACAGAGTTTTTGAAGACAAATTCACAGTGGTATTTGTGAAGAATTCTTTGACCAGATTATAAATACTTACCAATATACTCTGGGCACAGAAGACCAACTTCACGAAGGAAAGCACTCCCAGTCATGTCAAATGTTCTCATTTTAAGTTCAGTACCTAAGCCCAAAATATCAAGCTGGAGCACAGGCATCTCAGTATCACCAGTAAGACGGCATAATTTAATTAAGACCTAAAAAAAAGAACCAAAATACACACCCAAAACCAATAAGGGATTATAAGAAGTATAAAAACTGTTTAATTTTTATACAGGACATATTTACTTACATTTTATTGGTTAATGTCTATTTGAGTATTGATAATATAACTCTATACAGCAAATGCTTTGAAGAGAAATAAACAATTCAACAAGCAGTACTGATTGCTGTTATTTCAAAATTTCAAACATGCATGCATGTAATACCAAAGTAACAGTTACACAAACTACATTATTTTTTAAAAAAATTCTGTACAGCACTCAGTAATGTTCAATACAGCCAAAATTAGATTTTTAGTCAGCACAAAGTGTATACTACTTTAATTGGAATTTCTCTGAATTCTCCTCCTAAGAGTTAGATTCCCAAGCTGAATGTCTGGCAAGAGGATTTACTACATTTTCACCAATGTATGACAATACTGTTGTTAAATAAATATGTAGCTGAGCTGTTGTAGCTGACTTTGACAACCAAACAAATACATGTATTCTTCCTTTCCATGTAATGCTGTCTACAAATAAGGAAAATCAAAACAAAACCCATTAAGCAATTTTAAACTACAAGGACAATAGAGGTGATTTCTAATAGATTCCCAAATTAATTTTTTTCTTGAAGACTGTAAGTTAGTTGTCATTAGAAAATAATGTAAAACATAGCATCCTCATTTTAGACTAGTAGTTCTAAATAAGGTCTTGTCATTACATAAACAGTACATTTCAGTTTTATTTGTAGTAAAGGCGTAGTATATTGTATGCGAAAAGCTAGCTGTGGTGTGTTGAAGACATTCTGTAAACCCTAAATAAAACAAAATTTGTAAAGTTAACTGAATTAGTATGATTTATTTTTAAAATAAATGGATTTATTTTTAAAATAAATGTAAAATACACTGAGTTGCAGGAATAACAGTGTCACAGCCGTGACTGTCTAATGACAATGTTAATGATAGTGTTACTATCATTGGTAACACTATCAAGTACTGTTACTACTTTTACTAGAACTGATACAGTTAGCAAGTGTTCTTGCATTTGGATAAAGTACTCTTTTATCCCCCCCGCAAAGCCTAAAACAGCAAGAACACAAAAAACTCTTTATAATTAAGGTGTCGTCGTTCCCAGATTTACATTTGTGGATGACAACATCTGGGAAAAACTAGAACAGAAAAATAAGGTGCTTGTTACAACATAAAACATAAATGAAGGTTTCCCATTGACCACAGCAGTATCTGGAAAAAAGATGCCACAAGCACCTATTTAGCTAAAAAAAGATGTAATGTGATTTCTGAGACATAGGTAAAGAAAATTCAGTGACAAAGTGAGCTGGGAAATCAAGTGGATAAATCAAAGCACTTCACTGATGACAAGGATACAAAAGCACAATTATGACTTGGAAAAACTCTGCAAAATAGTTTCAGGGAAAAATGGGGAATGAGTATCTCTACACACATGAATTATAAACACAACAAACGCGGAAAAAATTTAGTCCTGCTGTGCTACAGGAAAATTTTAAACAGTAATTTTACCTCAGCTACTTCAAACTTTAGCTGGAAATCTGTCATATTTTTCAGAGATTCTTGTTTTTGTAGGTTGTTTCGCCTTGTACTGACAGCCTGCTTGAGGGAATCAGATGAGACTTCAAAAAATGGCACATCTTCCACAGGACTGCTTAGAGCATCATAAAATTCTTCTTCTGATTCTAAGGATTAATTCACAACAACATTACATATGCAGTTTACACAGCCAATATTTTACAGTATTATGACCTAGAGTTTTTACATGTACATCTATAAAAGCTTAAACATACAGGTATCTAGCTGACAACTAATAATAAAATCTGTTTCCATAACAAATCTCAGTGCCTGCCTCCGCAACTTTACACCCACCTACAGCTGCCTCCATCATATCATCATAAACTTCAGATCTCATTAGCTAATTCCTTCATCAGCATTCTCTTCTGGCTTTGCAAAAGATGGCACAATCAATGCTTTGTCTTGCCTTCAGTGTGACCTAACAGCTTAACTCATCTGCTGAAATGACTGCTGCTGACAGTACAAGAGCCTTGGCTTCCTTATCAGCCACACTACTTGGGATTTCTCACTGTTGGAGATCTCCCATTTCAGAGAGACTCCTAAGAATTATCAAGCTTTTAATCTACTTTACATTAGTGCAGAAATATAACCAAGATAAACAGAATGCACTATTGATTGTCTTTGAAGGTCTTCTTCACCTAACCATAAGCACTGAAGTATAAGGTTATGTGGAAGAAACAGCCTTCTTAAAAAACTCTACCAATTACATGAAGTATTTTGTAAAGTTAAAAGCAGCCCTGAGATTTTGGAGGCTGAAGACAGAGAACTAACATAAATCACTTAAAAGGACTGTATAGCTGTATGTATAGTATAGATTAAAAATCAGACTTGATTCAAATCTAAATCTACCTATTCAAATCTAAATCTACCTATCTAGCTATTACTTTCTCAAATTACTAGTTGCTAGCATGCATTCTCACTTCAGCCTAGTTTTTAAGAACTGAAAGACATTTCCACTCTACCTTTGAATACTTAAAGGAACTTATATAAAAACAGATGAACATATTTTTACACATACTGCATACACGCTGAATTCAAAGCCATGAAATAGACATAATAACTTTGCTGATAATTTTGCTAGAGTTTGCTAACCACACAAATAATTAACTTGAGAAAGGAGTAGTAGTCTGTTTCTCCAGTTGAGTGTTTTGGCATCACAAACATGACTGACACTGAAATAACACTGATATATTTGATTATTTTTCTAATGTAACTACTAGATGAAATGTTACCTAGCTAAGTTACTTTGAACAGCAAGGTAGTATTGAAGACAACTGGTTGTCCCACAGTCAATCTTCTGATTTATCCAGTTCAAGTCAAAATGTTTGTTTATAAAAACACAGCAATTCTAATGGTCATCATTTCCCTAACTTGTAATTTAAACAAATCCACCTAAATAGGACAGAAATCCTTCACCATAAGAAAATAATTAAAACCATCATCAGAGAACTAAGTACATGTTAAAACTAAACACTTCATATTACTTCAAATGCCCTAAATACAGATTTGCAATAATATATGCCAACAAAAATAAACCCACCATACCAAACAAAATTTTCTGCTATACCCTCATGAAGGGAACAACAAAAACAAGCATACAGAATTTTCTGCTATGAGAAAATACTGAAGTCATTTGTACAGTGTCAAGCTATTTGTAAGCTAAACAGAATATAACACTACTCAGCCCTCAAGAACTTGAAACATAGCCTCATAGCCTTGCTTACAGCAAGAATAATAAATTAATTCAAAGAACTCAAAAACTTATTGACTTGACCCGCTTCTTAAGCAAGACTTTAAAACAGATTATACTACCTGACTCAGCAAATGAGTGAAGATCCAAAACAGGACACACGCCTTGAGATAAACGTGGCCCTGCAAGCACAGGGGACACTGTAGCCTGAAACAGGAGATATCATAAAATTTTTTCTTGTATTTATTGGTCATGCTATTGCATGCATATATGCTGCATCCAAGTTTTACAACTTAGGGAAACTTAGCTTAAGTGAAATTCAATAAAATTAAACACATTACTAAAATTATAAGCATGGGGAGAAATGAGGCATAAAATAGGTAGAAGCAGCAGCTTTTGCACTTGCATCTAACTAGAGAGATCACACTACGAAACACAGTGAAGAGGTTCAAACATTCAACTTCACAGATCAAAAGATGGCTAGAAATGGCACATTATATGAAAATTCATAAAATTCATAAAAAACCTAGTTCCTCAAAGGACTACAATACAGCAACTTCAGAGAACAATAAAGATCAACAATTCTTTACAAAACTAACTCAAGTGCTGGGTGGGGAAAAAAGAAAAAGAGACACACAAAACATTAGAGCAGACAGGACTGCTTTCTATTTCATAGAATCATAGAAACATTTAGGTTAGAAAAGACCCTTCAGATCACCAAGTCCACCTGCAAAACTAGCACTACAAGAGACATGGTTTAGTGGTAAGCTTAAATGCCACATCTACAAGCCTTTTAAATAGCTGCAGCGATGATGAGTCATCCACTGGGCAGCCTGCTCCAATGTTTGATGACCATCTTGTTGAAAAAAATTTTCCTAATATCCTATCTAAACCTCTTCTGGAGCAATCTGAGGCCACTTAATTGGGAGAAAAGATCAACACCTCAGTCTCTCTCACAATGAGGAGCCCAAAACTGTACACAGTATTCAAGGTGAGGCCCCATCAGTGCCAAGGACAGGGGGACAATCACTGCCTTGGTCCTGCTGGCCACAATATTGCTGATAAAGGCCAGGATGCCCTTGGCCTTCTTGGCCACTTGGGCACCCACTGGCTCATGTTCAGCTGCCTGTTAATCTGCTGGGCAGCTTCTCAGCAACTCTGTCCCCAGCCTGTAGCACTGCTTGGGGTTATTTTGACCCAACTGCAGAATCTAGTAATTTGCCTCATTGAATTCCACTGCTTCAGACATTAGGGGAAAAAAAACAACGGGTAAAGTACTGAGAGGAGGCCTCACAGTAGTCTTAATCTTTCTCAGAAGAGGAAGCAGAGGGGCAGACACCGATCCCTTCTCTCTGGTAACCAGTGACATGACTCAAGGGAACAGCATGAAGGAGCGTCAGGGAGGTTTACACTAGGAAAAGGTCCCTTCCCAATAAAGTGGTTGAGCACTGGAACAGACTCCCCAGGTAACCCAGGTAAGCGCTGAATGCACCAGCCTGAGAGAGTTCTAGAAGTGTTTAGACAATGCTCTCAGGTATATGGTGTTGAGCCCTAGGGATGGTCCTGTGCAGGGCCAGGAGTTGGACTTCAGTGATCCTTGTGGGCCCTTTCCAGGCCAGAATAATCAAATTCTGAGTCTTCAACTGTGAAATGCAATTATGCACAATTCATAGTAACTGAAAACGTGTGACATGCCACCAGAGTGCACTCTAGAACAGGAATCCTCCACTCCATGTGGTTTCGTATATGACAGAATTAAATGCTCCTAGTAAAGGTATCCAAATGCTTTATTTATCAAGTCTCAGAAAGCAATCTCAGCAATCTGAGTTCATAAAGAATTCTTATCTGTAAATTCCATATGCACATGTATTATATATGTGCCTTGCAAAGAGTATTAAAGTAAGAGAACTGAGCACTGTGTGCCCTTTCTTTTTGAGTGCCTTTGGCCCTGGACTACAGGGTTGAGAGCAATTCCTTCCCTGCACCACATCTTCTCCTATCCCTTGTTACTGCACCTTTCAAAGGTCAAGCTCAAGCAATTATTCACAATGTCACAGCATCAAATCTATACATTATTGCAACAAGAAACATTCATCTTGAATACTGTTTCCAAGGCTACATTTTTCACCTCATTCTCAACATTCCCACATCTCTCTTAGTCCCCGGGCTGAATTTACTGAATATATTCATGTCTACAAGTAATAAATAGACATAATATTTAAGAAATAGGTGAAAATGTCTCCTCTGTAATACTTCCATATTCTATGAAAACAAGGAGAAAAAACTGAAATTTGGCTTCATAGTACCAAGTAACAAAAAACAGCCTTATACACTGAAGTGTCATCTTAGACTAAAATGCTGAGCACAAAAATGTAGAATGTTCCAAAATGTCTTCCGTTTTCACGGCTCAAGAACACTTCCACTACTAACTCAGAATGTAAAGAAGAAAACAGCACTCTAAGAAAGGATTTCACTTTTTTTTTCAGTTCAGAAATGACGGGATCTTAACAAAGTTCAGACTGTAAAGATGAAAGCATGGTAGTATACCTGCCACCATCAAAGCACAAAATCCACTCAAATTAACTGAATTAACCAGCAAGTGAAGTCTGTCATGTTCTGAAGTAAATGGAAGCTTGAGCAGACAGGTTAAAGCCTAAGTTTCGCTATGGATTCACATATAACACAAATATACTTGGTTCAAAGTCTTTCCTCACCTCATCTACTGTATATCACAATCAATGTACAGGTAATACTAACTACTTCAAGGTCACTTAAAATATTCAGCCATTAACAGTTGAATTCTATAATTAAATTCAAGTATAGTCATTGTTATAAAGCACTAGGCAATGTGCATCTTATACATGCAAATTCTATTTATGTAAAAGTAAAGTCCCAATACCTACCCTCAAAAAAAGTTATTCTGTGATTAGTTGCGCAAAATAACAGAGACTAAGGCGGCTTTGGCTGAGTATACCATCAGTACATGAAGAGTGAAAGAAGTCAGAATTAGCTAAAATTTTAATGGCACCACTAAAGAGATGGCAAGAACCACATGAAGAAAAAGTCTTCACTGTATATATACTTTCAATAGGTATGCATATCTAACTGTTGCATTTACTGTTACTAAATATAACTGTAGTAACAGCTTTCCAGAACTCTGGGAGGATAGGGACAGGCGATCAGATTACGTGCTGTACGGAAAGATGGGACCCCCCCCCACCTTCGTTTGTCAGTATTACCATGAATTTACCGAGCCAGCCAAGACTGAGTGGCTTGTGACACAAGCACACGGAAGTGATGTAACCCCAGGCTATGTAATGCTATGCAGCTCAGAAATAAACGTCATTTTACCATCCACCACATTGGTGTCTGCAAGTAATTGGCCCCAGCAGTCTGAGGTGAGTGCCGTGCCATTCCTGAACCAGGTCATCACGCCTCGGAGGAGGCAACAAGTGGTGCTGAAATCTGGGAAGCAGGTAATGGAATTCGCCTGGACGGGTGAACAGAGGCCAGAGTGGTGGGACCAGCCCGGCTGGGAGCATGCTCCCAGACCAGCGAGAAGGATGGAAGCCCTTGCGAAGGTCATATCACAAATGCATAAGCAATGGGGAATTAATTGCAGGCCTAAAGAATTAATTTTTGCTGTTACCAGACTTTTGCAAATAGGTGTTATTGATCGCCCGGTGAATATACTCCACCTGGACATGTGGGACAGGTGCACTAAAGCCCTGGCAGAGGACACCATGTCCTCCGGCAGAGGGAAATATCTCAAATCATGGGGCAAAGTTGTGCAACCTTTACAAACTGCTTTACAAGAGCAGGAGACTTGGAAGGCTGCCCAAGATTGCCTGCTTGTCACCCCTAAACTGGGGGTTGGTGCAACAACGCAGACTTCAGTCTGCGACATGCTGACCAAGCCTGGCGGCTCACAAGAGTGGTGTGATCTTTTGTCACCGCCATCCCCTTCCAGCCCTATCCCTGAGTCCTCGACCGCGGTGCAACAAAAATCTCTGTGGGATGACTTACTTGATGAGGTCAGAAATGCCACGGATAACTTAGACCTAGAGGAGACCTGGGACAGACCCCCAGCGTATGCCCCGCTAAATGGTGCCAGGCAGCAAACTGAGGGGCGGGGTCAGGGCCCTACAGGCAGGGAAAAAATGGGGTCATTGGCTGTGGCAGATACACACAAGCGGGAGCAGGAGGAGGCTCAGGAGAAGGGGGACAGCAAGAATGGCCACAGAGGGGCGGATATTGTGAATAAAGGTGGTAAGCCCAATCAGGACACACGCCGCAAGATATGCCTTTATATGGTTAGACCTTCAGTAAGCAGGGGACGAAGTGACTGCAGGGCAAGGGAACGGCTTACCCATCATAAGAGGGAGTGGGGGCGGAGTTTTACAAAAAGGAACCGGAGCCCAGAACTGTCCAGTCAGTTGACTTCTGCCTCCGAGTCAGATATTAGCTGGGGGGAGTGGTCAGACCGCTGGTCCATCACTGATTCAGATTCAGAATATGAGAGAGCTAACCCAAGTAAAACCAAAATTAGCAACCCCCCTGCATCGGTGAGGAGTCAAACAAGGGGTACTCCACTCACAGACTGGAAAAAGATACAAATTGCCTGTGCCAAATGGGCCTCGCCTGCCACCCTGGCGTTTCCGGTTCGTGTCACAGACACAGGGCAAAGGGCCTACACCCCCATGAATCCCAAAGATGTGCAGGCAATCATTAACACAGTTGCAGGTAAAGGAATCAACTCCACTACGGTCTCCATCCTTGTGGACAGTGTCTTTGGAAATGATGATATGCTCCCGTTTAACATAAAACAAACGTGCAGAATGATCTTTGACAGGGCGGGAATGATCGTTTTCAAACAAGAGTGGGAGGATAATTGCACGAAGCTGCTTGCCAAAGTAACCGGCACAGACCACTCATTACATGGCTCCAGCCTGCAGCGACTAATGGGCCACAACCCAGCAGTACATACACCTCAGGCACAAGCTCAACACTTATGGGCCCCTGAAGTTGCAGCGACCACTCGTGCAGCCAGAGATGCCATCCGCGTAGCCTGCAGAGTAGTCGCCAAACTGGCACCATGGTCTACCATAAGACAAGCTGAGAGTGAAAGTTTCACCCACTTTGTGGACCGCCTCCAGGCAGCAATCTACTTCTTGGCTCTGCCCGCGGAAGAAAAAGCCCAGTTGTACAAGAATGCTTATGTCAACAATGCAATTCAGCCACCAAAGAAATTCTACACTCACTGCCAGCCAGAGTGAGCCTCGCGACCATGATCAAACATGTCGCAAAAGAGGAACACTTAGCCCCAGTTCAGGCAGCTGTCTGTACAGCGATAGCCAATGTGATGGCATGTTTTAATTGTGGTTGGCCAGGTCACGTCGCATTAAATTGCCCCCAAGCGGATGATCCGCAACCCTCACAACAAAACCGACCCAGAGGACCGTGTTGGGCCTGTGGGAAAAAGGGACATTTTGCAAACGATCCAAAGCTCTGGGAAACGGGAAGGGGAGGGGGAGGGCGGGCCACGTACAGCCCCCTCGCACTTGGGATGTGAGGTGGCCCAGTTATGCCTACCCCAGATGGAACGGGGGGCTACCGAATCTGCCACCCTCTCAAGTAGCAACTGGTTCTACCAGTCGCCATGGCTAACCACCCTTATCTCCACTCTCATAGGCCCTTCTGTTATGATACTTTTGGCATTAGACTTTGGTCCCTGCATTTTAAATAAGCTAGTGTCGTTTGTTAAGAATCGTTTAGACTCAGTTAACATTATGCTAGTTGAATGCCGACAACTGCTTTAAGCGAAGTTTTGAACACATTAACAGCAATACAAGAGTTTAATGGCCCAAGTTCTAGAGGCTCAGTAATTTGCAGTTCCAGGGTTTTGGATCCGTGACATTCGTGTTATGTACGTTGCTACATTTGGTTAGGCATAGAGAAGGGGGGCAATGTGGGAGGATAGGGACAGGTGATCAGAAGATTACGTGCTGTATGGAAAGATTGAAACCCCCACCTTCATTTGTTAGTATTACCATGAATTTACCGAGCCAGCCAAGACTGAGTGGCTTGTGACACAAGCACACGGAAGTGATGTAACCCCAGGTTATATAATGCTGTGCAGCTCAGAAATAAATGTCATTTTACCATCTACCACATTGGTGTCTGAAAGTAATTGGCCCCAGCAGTCTGAGGTAACTGCCATGCCATTCCTGAACCAGGTCATCACGCCTCGGAGGAGGCAACACAGAACAGTGCAGAATAATTTGTACAAAAGCAGAAAGATAATTATCAAATAATCTAAAAAAACCCCAAATACAAAGATGACCATTATTCCTGTAGAACCAAGTTCATGAGTTACTAAATAACAGATTGTTAGAAGTATTTACAAATGACAGAAAAATGGAGAGCCAAATTTTGTCTTTGACTTTTAAAAGAGTTCACATACATTCTAATAATAGGACTGCTTTACACACATATACAACATGGCCAGACCACAAAGACTAGCCATGTCAAAAATTAGCTAACTGTGAGTTAATTTCCTAATTTTGTTAAGAACAGCTCAAAAGGTGAAATATATTTTTCAGGAGTAATAAGAAGGGGGCAAACTTCTGTCCTGAAGAAGGTATAAAACAGTGACCCAAACCATTTTCACCAAGGAAAGGGAGTGGTGAAAGAGCAAGAACTACTCTCCAAACTAACTGATTCAAGCACAAGAAAAAACTTCCACCCCTGAGCTACATTGTGTAAAGGACTTGAAATGGGAAAAGCACTGAAGTCAGCTAAAAAAAAACCTGCTACTTTTGCCAGGCAGGCATTGTTTATAAAACAGATAAAGTTAGTATTTTTTGTTTGGCTTTTGTCACTCTCATCTAACGTCACATAATACTTGAACTTCAAAACTTTCAGCATTTAAAGTTTTCTTCACTACACAAAACAGCTGAACCCAAATTCTGCAGCATTATGATACATTTGTAAATTTGAAGGTACAATGAAACTAATCCTCAACAAAACTGAGTATGCTTGTTAGTCAAGATTATTATGAACTACAAATTACTTCCCATAGTAGTAAAACTCTGAGGGGTTCTATTTTAAATCGGAACACTGGACAACTATTTCATAATTATTGGCTAAAGTTCATGAAAAACTAAACAGCAATAAAATTTTCTACAGCTTTAGAGAAAGAGCTAACTTTTTCAAGAGGCTCTAAGTCAATGCTTGTTCATTTTTTTGTGCACCTTTCAAAACTTGAATGCTAATATCAAGAAGGTATTTTTCTGATCATTTTTAATGAAATCTCTTTCAAAAATCTTACCTCGGTCACTTTTGGAGGAGAACTGGTAGCAGGTGCACTTTCTGGTGTAGGAATGCTATCAATTAGTTCCAAGATACTTGTCACCTTCTGGTCTGATATTTGGATAGAAAGCAAAGGCAACTGTCCTGACAGTTTGAACCTGTTTTTTAAAGAACCAAAGTTCCACAATTAATTAATCTCAAAATTATTTCAATCAAACTTCACATTATTTTTCTTCTGAAAAACATGAAAGTCTTCAGGGTCAGAAAATTCTTCATGTAACCACTGTATGTATTGTGTATATATACATATATGTATATATAATATTATATAATTTATATTATATAATATTATATATATATAAATATATATATATCTGCAACTCTTCTGTTGCTCACAGAAAGGTTACTTGTTCAGCAACTATCCACTTAGTATCGTAATTGCAACAAAACTGTAAGGAATTCAAATAAGTTCATTGGTCACTGAAAGACATACAATCAAAGAAACAAAAAACAGAGACACCCAACATCTCCTTTTCAGATGAATAAATGCAAAACAGGGGCCTTCCAAACTAAGAAACTAATTTGTAAACATCTGCTACATTAAACAACAATTCTAGTAGTACATTTTGCTGTAAAAGTAACATCTTTCCACTCATTTTTCTCAACAGAACTATGCTGTTCTATGTAGGCAGTTCCAAACATTAATTTAAAAACTCTGGGAAAATATAATACTGTGTTTACATGACAGTATACTTATAAAACTTATAAAAACTGTACATGTACACTAAAAATAGATTTTTATGTATGTATATATATATATATATATATATATATATATATGTAATTGATGTGAGCATAATATTCAACTAAACTATATATTCAACCCTATTCAACTATACTAAAATTTACAGTTTGGGGGATTCTTGCTGACACAAAAGCTACAGTTAACCTTTATCATTTGTGCCCAATGTGATACAGAGAAAATTTATGCAGAAATTTTCCAGAAACAGTTTGACACATTAACTGCCAAAGCACACCTAGTAGCCAAGACAGACAGGTAGTATTGCAATACTTCAACACGTGTACTCATTAAGAGAAGACACTCCTTAATCCAGGTTATATCTACCAACCTACATTAAAATTATGTCATTCTGTTATATGACCATAGAAATAAAACCTCACTTTCTAACATAAAATTGTATGTGAATTATATTCCCCTTATATGACCTTCTTCACCAGAGGAAAAGAAAGGAGGGAAAACATTAGGATGTTTTTTAAGCATCAAAATTCAGAATCCCGCTTCCCGGGTTTCCAGAAGGTGGCAGCATTACATAATGCAATCACTAACCATTATTAACAGTACTAATAATTTTATGATTGGTACAATTTCCATAACTAACAAGATTTTGCTAAAAAACCCTAACTGCAAACTCAAGGCATTAAGAACTGTTTCCATAGTAGGTAAACCAACTAGAGCAATACGCCAAGTCAAAAGAGAGGAAGTATGACAGCACATTACTTCTCAAAATATTTTTTGGTATTTATAGAATTGATTTTAATTACATATTTTTAGCTCCTTGGTATTTTCAACAAGAACTGAAATGTAGCTATTAGGAAGACTGAATTAGAAGAGGCAGCAATACCTTTAATAAAAATCTTTAAATATGTTAAGCATACTACTATAACATTCTATCACCTTTTCAGTATCTGAAAACTTATTTTGTTTTCTGTTTTTCTAGATAAATGTATTTTACTTTCAATATTTAAATATAGCCAATGCAAAAGTGCATAGGTATGACCATATTCTTATTTTTTTCCTCTTTTTCCCCTCAAAAAAGTCATTTACCATAACATTTCAAAATTGAGAAAAATACATACCTGGGCATTCTTGCATCTGTAACAACCATAGCCCTGCTAAATTCCAGTTTTACATCCAAGGGCTGCAAGATACACTGAGATGAGTTTTTCAGCTTCCGAGCTTCTCGCCAGTTCTCATCTAGAAGAGCAGAGAAAACTTACTTAAACACTGAAACATATTCCTTCTCAGTACACATCACAGAATTCAAGTATCTGATATTAGTACATATTCCTAAAAATTCAGGTGTCATGATCTCTTTTACAGTTCCATCAATAGATGTATTGATACAGGATCTGAACTTCAGACATACAAGACTAATCAATAATGTCTCCTATTCTCATCTTCGCAGCTACAGCATCCATGCGGTAGACTTCTAAGGACTCAATTCTTAACATGCATGGTACTGGGAGTTTAGGCTCTGGATTCTCCTCTGAAGAGTTAAACCATTAAATTGAATTAAATCCAAAGGATTAAGAATTAAATTATTAAGACTTCTCTAATTATGACTGACTCTATGTTGCTAGTTCCCAAAATACTAAAGTTTCCTTTGATACCTTATTGAAGCAGTGCAACTCTCATCTATTCTTTACCCTCAAAAAAATGATCAAACCTACAACTGCTTGTGGATTCTGCTTTAAATCTGGAGAAAAGCAAAAGGCACTGAAGGAAAACACCATAAACAAAGTAATTACAGTCTTACACTTATTATGCAACAAATCAAATGAGATGTCTTCCACAAAAAGAATTTTATTATGAGTTTGCTAAGATTGGAACTGAAGTCCTAAAGGTACGTTTTGGAAATTCATCACATGGTCATAGTACTGAATTTAGAGCACTTACTTTTGAAGAAGTACATTCCAAAAGATTCTCCACTGCTTCAGCTAAAAGTATGAGGCACAACCACCAACCACCACATTGTATTTAGTCATATAAAGAAAGATTACTTTCATGAATACTTACCATGTTTGCTGTACAGTAACTGCATGCTGCTGAGCTGGACATCAAAACTGTCATAAGCTCTGGACATTATATCTTCAATAGAGGTTTGTCCTACTTTGATTTCTGATAAATCAGAACGCCGTTTGCTTGTCATCTTAAAACATGTCAAAAAAAAACAAAAACAGAAGCATAAATCAATTTCAGAAATATTCAAAGTACTAATTCTACAAATACTTGCTCCTACCACAACAAATGATTCAGTCCTCACTATAGGTCACAGAGTCCTACAACTATCACAGCACAGCAAATACCTCAAATTCCTAGATTGCAACAAAACAAAGGACAGAGTATTAACACCATTTCTTCCTCAAAGAAAGAAACAAACATCAAATTAAAATATATTATATACTATGTACAGAATAATTTTCTTTAATAAGTGGCTTATACTTCAAACTATAAAGTCTCAAACCTTTTGTAATCAGTAGAATAATCATTCAGAATTTTTATATATAAAATATTACTGCATTAAACAACTCAGACATGTGAAACTTACTTCTGAACTCTGTTGAATTCAGTTGTGACACATTAGAGAGGAAAAGATGATGTGGACTGCTCATCATCAATGTCTTTCCTTTAGTATCAGTCAAAATTCCTTTGATTCAGCTCTGGGACTCCCACTTTTCTTTGGTATTTCACATATTTATGTGCCCTCCCTGAGTTCATCATTGACAAAATTTGTCTGTCCTCATCCTTATATATCTAATAATTTTGGATTCATATTTGGCTTTGTCAAACCCAGGTAATAGTCAAAAGAACTAAAAGAGGTTTAAAAACCCTTAAAACACAGCATTTATTTTTCAGTACTGCTGGACCCTAAGTCCATTGTAACTTTTATGTTAAAAATAACTTGGAGATGCAAATTCAGAATCGCTAAATTAATAACCCTATTTATCTACTAAGACACGGTTTTAATTTAACATGCCATTTTTCCTCCTGAGGCTTGATCTTTTCCAGTACGCAACTGAGGGAAAAAGATTATTTGTTTTTTGTTAAATATACTCATTCAACAAACGACCCACCTCTCACTTAAGCATGTCACTTGAAGTGAATACAGAATTACTAATCATATCCTAAGAGGCAACTAAATTTTCTCTTATGGTATTTCTAAGTTCTATTGAATCAGAGGAACCAATCTAGGAGTCACATTCACTAAAAAAATTACTCATCCACTTCAGGAAAAAGATGTCACACACAAGAAAGTCTGATTTCAAAATGTGTTCTTATACGTAATGTTTCCAAGAGTAATCTTGTATGGGTGGAAAAGGAGGTGGGCTATTAGATCTACGAATAGATCCAGGAGGCCATCTCAAGCACACAAACAACTACCAAGTGCCAATCCTACAAACTGCCTACAAATGACCAATACTCAGAAGAGCTGATGAAATTATTTGTCACTGAAATAATTTGGATTTACAACCAGATGACATAACTTTTAGTATCTACAGAGCAAGTTTCTTCATAAAATCTACTTTCTGAAGCAATCCAGCACATTCTTTTTAAACATGACCTATTGCACAGACCTGCACTGGGACTGGAACAGCCCATTACCAAAGCATGGTACCACCATGACTGATGCACCTGATCTGAGCTCTGGTGGGAACATGCTGCCACCCAGATGCCAGGCTGTGTAGAAGCACCCGACTCATGCCAACACGACAGCAGCAGTAAGCACACCGGTGGGAGGTGTGCCCAAGTAGAGAATCCCTCTGTTTAGTGACATAGCTTAGGGAGGAGAGCAGCAGGTCAAGCAGATTGACAGCCATCTGAATTAAGAGCCAGTGAGTGCCCAGGTGGACAAAAGCAGTAGTGTGGCCAGCAGAACAAGGGAAGGGATTGTCCCCCTGTAGTTGGCACTGGTGAGGCTGCAGCTTGAATACTATATTTGGAGTTCCTCACAGCAACAAAGACACTGGAGTGCTGGAAGATGTTCAGAGAAGGGCAACAGAGTTGGGGAGGGATCTGGAGCACAAGTCCTGTGAGGAGTAGCCAAGGGAGCTGGAGTTCTTTAGTCTTGAGAAAAAGAGGAAGAGCAAGACACTTGCCTTAAAACTACCCAAAAGGAGCTTGTAGCTCTTGAGGATGTAGTTCAGGAGTTAGCCTCTTACCCCAAGAAACAAGCAATTCAACAGCCTCAAGTTATACCAGGGATGGTTTAGAATGGATATTAGGAAAAATTTCTTCATTGAAAGGGTTACCATGCACTGGAACAGGCTGTCTAGGGACATGGTTGAATCACTGAACTCAGAGGAATTTAGAAGCCATATAGACATGGCACTTATGGACATAAATTAGTGGTGACTTGGCAGTACTGAGTTAATGACTGGACTTAAGGATCCTAAAAGCCTTTTCCAGTCTAAGTGATTCAGTAGTTCTGTGATCAATATAGACTGCTGACAATGGGATTGAGAGTTGCTCTATAGAGTAGGCCCTGGAGTGCTGGTGGATAAAAACCTGGATGATACCTGGCAATGTGCACTCAGAGCCCAGGAAGCCAAACATATCCTGGGCTGCACCCAAAGCAGTGTGGCCAGGAGGGCAAGGGAGGGGATTCTGCCCTCTACTTTGTCGTCACCTGGAGTACTGCAACCTCTGAGACCAGGTCCACAGAAGGGCCAGAAAAATGATCAGAGAGACAGAACACATCTCCTCTAAGAAAAAGGCAGTGAGAGTTGGTGCTGTTCAGCCTGAAGAAGAGAAGGCTCTGGGGAGATTTTTCAGTAGCCTTTCCGTGTTCAAAGTGGACCAAAAAGAAAGATGGTAACAGGACTTGTTCTGACAAGTCAAGGGGTAACACTTTAAAACTAAGAGTAGCTATAAGGAATTTTCTTAAATGAGAGTGGCAAGACACTGGCACAAGTTGCCCAGAGAGGAGGCAGATGCCTATCCCTGGGAACATTCAAGGTCAGGATGGACAGGTGGCTGAGGAACTTGATCTAATTAAAGATGTCTCTGCTCATTGCAGGGAGGTTAAACTCAACGACCTTTAAAAGTCTCTTCCAAGCCAAACCATTCTATAATTCAAAGTGAAATCACATGTTCAGAAAGTAATTATGTGGAAACTACATAGAAAACTAACTCTATTTAGCAAGATTTTAGGATTTTAAACAAATTTTTGCTGAAACACAGACAGCAATCTAAATAGATAGTAAGTGGCAGAATCAATTTTACCCAGAACACAAGTAAATAAAAAGTAAATTGCCTGTACACATTTAAGATCATTTATCCTGAAGAACACAAGTATATCAGTGAGTAAGAAGACTGTTAATACTATGGACAAAGTTTCTTCTATTTTATTTCAAAGTCTATTTCTTTTTTATAGTGATAAATTATAATTTTACATACTCATGCAAGGGAAAAGTCAGAAAGATAAATCATAATCTCAAACATACCTCTAATCTCATCCAAATTATCTTGAATATTGCCAGTATGTTCATTTTTCTCATTTTAAAGTAAACTCAGTGATTAAAGGATAATTAACAATAATATGAAAAATAAGAATACCATTTAAATATGTAACAAAGAGGTTCACTATTTTATAAGGCAATGTAAAAACTTACTAGACATTTGCCACGTAACAGGGCAAAGTACCAACAATCATTTCATACTAGGAAAGGAGTACTTTCTAGCAATTCTTTTGCACTGAACAAATCCACTGAGAAGAGTTCAGTAACTTTTGCCTTGACTAGAAAGCACTTATAAACTGCAAGAGGTACTCTTACTCTTGTAAGAATAAGCTCAGGGAGGAGATTAGATCTACTCTTCACTACCATAAAACTCAAATCAAGAAACTGTAAATCAGGTAAAAAGCTTTTTGGTAAATTACTGCATTACATAAATACATACTTTAAAACTACCAAGATCCAGAAGCAGCAAATTCGATGTATGATCATAGAATCCCTTTTGTGGAACAATGATGTATGAAGCCATGAGGTTTATTTTGAGGTCAAGAACTTTCTGGGTTTCAATAATATACAACAAACCTGAAAAAACAGTACAATTACTAAATACAAACAAACAAAAGTAATTCACACAGACCCTATAGGATTCAAAGAAAGCAATATAAAGAAAATCAGGTCTAATTTTAAACAAACTCTGTATGCTAGATAACTAAGGTACATATGCTCTTCATATTTCTTCTGAACCATTCATTATAGACACTCCTTAAAGAAGAATCAAGTAGATGAAATGATGATAGCAAATAGTTCTAACTGACAAGTATAAACAACATGACATATGCAAACTCAAAAATGCTTCCCACTGAGCAGAGCTTAAATGAGAGGAACTGGAATGTGAACTGCAACTTTGAAATTAATGAATTAAACCACTATGTTCCATAGATTCAGAAATTTAATTGCGCTAGAATTTCTTTTTGGGAGTATCCAAATCCACTGGTCAAACTGTGAGTGTTTTTTGATACTAAGATATACAAGTTTACACTAACTCTGCTGGCAAACATCTCCATCTTGAGATACCAAAGATTTGCAAACATATGATCTTACAAAATTAAGTTTAAAAATCATTCAATTAGTTGGGAAAATCAGACATTCATACGATTTGAGATCAAATTCTGCTTTTTTGCTCAGCCAAAGAGTGAATGGCATTGCTTCAAGTTACCTCTGGAAACTGCCTTATGATGCAGCCTCAACTCATTAAATATTTACAGTTTACAACAAGCTGATGACAGATGATCACAGAAGTAGAGATAATGAATTATGAAGATGACAACATGACAGTGAACATATCCACTGCTACGAAAATAATTAAAACTGTTACATTATCAAATGTTGCACTGTCACAGGAGAGCCAGGCTAGTCATTAAAGAACTGGATGGCAACTACATTTCAAGATTTGCAAGATGCAACAACTCAGAATAACAAGAAGAGTAGGATTTTATCAGTTTGCACTGCCTAGTTGAATTTGAGTGATGTAGAAAGGTCAAGTAAATATTTTCTTGTTTCTTTTATTTGGGAAGAAAATATAGTGGAATCCATAAAGCTCTGGTAAATCAAACGGTTGTAGTATATTTTAATGCTGAAAATCATAACTACTCCAGTGTAGCAGGCTCCTCCTATTTTTCAGTTCACAGCTCCCCTATATTTTCCAGCTACCTTCTATTGCTTCAAAGAAAAGTGTTAAGAAGTCATTCTTGAGGACTGCAGGTCTGGACATATTAATTGCATATATATGTTCCCATTTTTCTTATTCTACCTCTGAGAGTAGCATAGTCTCCTGCAACAGAAATATTCTGCAGATGAAATCTTTTTTCCCTGGCAATTCTCTAAGACTCAGACAAGATTTTACAAGCAATGTACCACATATTTTTAGATAGTCTCATCAAATTTTTCATTTGTGACTGGAACAAGGTTTAACACAGCATTCTTGTGACGGTACTAACAGTGTTGGATATACCTCTAGAGTAATGATATGCTCAAACTGTAATAAACACAGAGCATGATTTCATATTTCCACAAAATATTAATTATGATCAACACCACTATATTTGGTGCTAATGAGCAGAAAATCAGGAAAATTATATCTAAGCAAATTTAAAATTTTATCTCAGAAATCAACAATCAACTGTTGTATAAATATACTCAATATTCCTCAAGGAATTTCTGAAAGAAAAGACAAGCAAGCTGATCCATGTAATTCTGGTTAATCTGATATTAGACCTTAATTAAATAGTTCAAAGAAGAACTAAGGAATAAAAATACCACTGATTCCCCTCCCAGTACTAGCCTGATAGAAGCAATAAATTAAGTAAACTTTTTGCTTGAGTTTTCTTTAAATCTTTATTACTTGAATATTCAGATTTTTTTATATTTACAATTTAATTATTAATAGGCTAAGAAATTATTAGATGTTTAAGAAAACATCCATTGTTTGTTTTTTTTTCCTTTTAAAAATAATTTATATATGAAATCTCCCATCAGCATCCACTCCCATCCACAAGAGACAGGACACATCTATGATGCCTCAGACATCCTTCCTGGAACAAATTAAGTCCACAGATTTCAGTGTTAAGTCTTCACAGTATTCAGCATTTGCATTCAGGTCTTAAAATACAAGTTCTCTAGAGATAAACAGGATTAAATGAAAACTTAGTGTAATGGCTGTAAAACTGAGCAGCTGGAAAACAGATAAATACAGTTTATATAACTTGAACTGAGTCAATCCAAATCAAAATCAATATTCATCAAGGAAGTCAGAGAATCAAAAACACCTATGCAAAGGCATAATATCCTGAAAAACAAGAAGTCTGAAAAGGATTCAGAGGTTAACTTAGAGGACTAAGAGCTCAGAATCAGTATTTGAGGAGTAATAAATAACAAAGGCCTTCTACATATCAGATTAACCAAACAGAAGATGTAACAAACTCTTTTAACTCTGTATGGAGTAATACTGAAAGACTATCTATGGCTTTGGAGCATATTTTGTAAATGAGTAGAAATAGTTTAAGTTAAAAGAGACACAAGCATAAATGTTTATTGCAGTATGCCTATTCAATGCCTAGAACAAACATACTGCATAAGATTGAGTAATTCAACTTGTTTAGGTGCTGTGTTAGAAAGCTACGACTTGGATGCACACATCTCCATAGGGAAAGATACACTCTTAGCATTCCTACAATCTAAAATTTGTCAGAGTGTGCTGTCAGAAGAGTATGCAGCACTTGCCTGTTGATGTTTTTTCACGGAATTCTTCAAGTTTCATCAGAGTTGCTGATGTCAATTGCTCTAAATGCACATCTTTTGGAGGTCTGAAGAAATCCACTAAATTATTTACTGTCATCTGTTTAAAAAAAGAAAAAAACATGGTAAATTTATATTAAGTTGGATTTTTAAGGATTTATAGCTTATTCAAATATTTACTTACTGCATCATATACTATTTCTAGTGGTTGTGATTCTATTCTAATCCTCTGATCTGCTTTCTCATCCAAAGGGTTAGTCTCAAACATTATGCTTAGAAGTGAGGTACTGTCATCTGAATAGACTGTTCGAGAAGACAGGAGACGGGGTGTACACTTTTCTTGAGACACTCCTGTAACTTCAAGAGAGGTAATTTTTGTTTCAAACCTGTAAAAAAATATAAGTAGTCTGTTCAGATGCGATATCCATCTGGCTAAGTACAATTACATGGTAAGAGTATAAAAAATTAGATGGAAAAAAAAAGAAATCACAAAGCAATACAACACATTTCTACCCTACCTTAACTATAAATAGCTTATTCTAAGGATACAATACATACATCCATGTGTTAACTGTTTACCGTTTCATTATCTTTCATGTCTATTAGCTTCCCTGTCTAAATACAAAAGGGCATCCAAGTTATTTCCTTCACACACTTTTCATGAGTTCAGGTGTCAGGGCAGGTAAGAGATTCTGCAAAGTTGTAGAATTCAAATGAGAATTTTTTAGTATGACCTTAGGAATTAGATGGTGTATTTATAGTGGGAAACAGATACACAGCAGAGAGAAAAGGGTTCTGGTGCAGAGAAATGAAAGAAACAAAGATAAGCAGTCTAATTACTCCAAGAGGTACTTTTTAGATCTTGGATTTTTTTTTTCCAAGATACTATCCACCTCTGTAACAGCTCTCAGCTGAAGATTTTTTTATCTCCCAACACTCTAAGAAAAATATTTCACTGTAAAAAATGTAGTATTTTTCCCCTTTTTAGCATTGTCAGGGCCATTTAGATGCACAAGAGTACCAACAGAAAACACTGATGCAAAATCTTAGAAAAAATTATGCATAAAACTAATCAAGATCAATAATATCTTAATATCATATATATATTATACGTATACATCTCAAAGTAGAGGGAATAAGGTTTAAAACAGGAGGGTTACCTTCTCCAAGAATTTCAAAGTCATTACATTAGAAATAAAATTGAAATATTTCAGTAGATGCTTTTCACCACCTACTGTGAGAGCACAAAACAAAGGAAAAATAATCAGTTATATTTTTCTTCCCCAAATCTCAGAGTGAACTGGGAACACAAGAACTTTCCAGTCATGTTAAATGCTCACAAACAAGTGGTTGCAAGATCACCTTGCTCAGATTAAGTTTCCAAAGGAAACTTAACAGTCACTTTTCAAACCAAATAACAAGTTAGTATATGGATTGTCTGCACGTAACAATGACAAACTGAAAAAAAAAAAAGGAGTATATCCTTATTTGCACAAAAAGCTCTGGAGATGCAAAGAATTCAATTATGGGAAGAGTATCCATGATTCGTCCCTTAGCCGCAGAATGATTTCACTTCAAACTGCCCAAGAAATGACACTTAAATACTGTAACACAGTCTTAAAAATACCTACTAGTCATCATCATCATTTCATAAGAGGCAAAACCAGTTTGACAGAGAAAGCTCACCTTATTGCTTGTGCACCTGGTCGCTGGGTAAATATTGTACTCAAGTCAGCTAATGAAAATTCTATTAGCTTAGGAGTTTGGTGGTTTTCTCTTATTGATATCGACATGCTTAATAAGTTCACAGAGAACTTCATGGCTTCATACTAGATATGCCAGAAAAACAACACAGGAATATAAAATACATTAATATACATCTAGATACAGTGTAGGAAGAGATGAAGGCTACAACTAAGTTTGAAACTACTGCTTTCGTGCATAGCTTGTATCATAGTTGGTGTAAAAGTCTACAAAGAGGCAGGGCTAAATATGAGGCTTTTATATCTTCACCACATTTTATGAAAATGACTCTCTGATGCAAAGGCAGAAATCAGTTCATTATATCATCCCTGGTATCTCACAGTAAAAGGACTTAACAGACTTTTTCCAAACAGTTCAAAATGTTACTCTTTCCCAGCACAATCCCTGAATCATCTCTTTCCTTATATAAAATATAATCACTTATTCTACCTCATCTACTATCACTCATATTTTAGATTATAGTGCACTTCCTGATCCTTTATTAAGATTCCCTAGCGCATTTTCTTACAAAGCTTTTGAATATTGTAAGATAATATATGAATATACTTCAATATTTAAACTATAGTACTATTCTTGTTAGAGCAGGAAAAAATTTATTCTTTACTATTTCAGAATATCCAAAAGTAAGCTTTGTAGCCACTATACTGAAACTGAATCTAAGGATGCAGAAAACCAGCATGCAGTATTAGAACAACATCCAAATACAGAGACAAAGCTTCAAGTAATTTAAAAGTTATTTCGTATCATCTTTATAGATTTTTGTTAGTTGACAAAGCTACTGTTTGTTACCATATAGTCAGCTATGACTCACTGATTTTGGAAGGGTTGGATCCACAGCTGTTTCACTATATCCAATTGCTGCATAAAGTTTAGCCTTCTCTTCCTGTGTCATCAGTTGTTCAAGACCTGCCACATTACAAGAGGTTAGTTAAACTGAGTATAAGTATCTGAAAAGTGCAAATACTGTTATACATTTTCCTGTGCTTGGTAGCTCTACAATATATAGTACATATTGTCAACATTATTGTCCTGAATTAGTAGAAAAAAATACCCTGGGGTTTAAAGCCAAATCTTGCAAATCTAAAGTATGCTTTAAAATGCACTTATAATTTTTTCCTCACTTACTCTATTTCCTATCTGGCTAACAACAGAAGCAGCCTTGGAAATTTACTTTCTATGTTCCATAATCTTTACTAGGTGCCTCATAAATCAAACACACATTACATGAAATACACCAATTTTAAAATGAATGCAAATAAAATTGTTTACGTTCTGTTAACTTCTACTGTACTGAAGTTCAGAAGGTACTATGGAGGAGTTGTACAATTGTACAACTTCTATTACACACAACTAACAATTATATCAGCAAAAGAAAAGGCTAAGAGAAAATTCATACAGCAATAATTTGATAACAAATTCCACTGCTAGTACCTAGGACTCTAATGGATTCCTAATAACAAAAAGAATACCAGTAAATTATCATACTTGAACCCTTTACTTCTTGTTTTTGTTCATCACTTTTTTGACCCGACCAGCTCCATATCCAGCTAAACCAGCCACCAGAATTTTCAGCATCTTGTTTTACTCCTGGCCTGTAGATTTTCAATCCAGCCTTAGTTGCCTTAAATTTTAAAAATATTCAGGTAAGCAAATTTCTTCATGCTTTTTTATTCATTTTTCTAAGAAAAATATAGACCCAGAGCAGCTCTAACATATCAGAACATCATTAGACAAGAATTAAAAAGGCAAAATGTTTTTATTTCGTTTCCCTTCTAATTACTTTTTCAAGTACACAGTACATTATGGACCAATTTTATTTTGCATAGTAACAACCACCTTTACAAAAGAACAGAGCACGTAAAAGGTCAATAAACATTTCTTACATAGCAGATTTCTCTCCAGCTTTCACCATATACATTATATGCAATGGATTTCTAAAGAAATTTAAAGAATTTAAAATTCATATGTAAGCAATTAAATGGCCATCACAAGCCAAATATTATATTAGCCCTGTATTTTTCATTTCAAGATGGATACCAAAAACAATTTAAAAAGTATTTACTCTCATAATACAGTATTTACTCTAACTATTCCTGCATGTGATACATATAGTTAGAGTAGTAAAGGAGCCCTCCCTCCTCCCACACTCATTACTTCCACAAATAGCGGATGCTCTGTCTGATGCCAGTGATGATTCCAATACTGAGTCCTCACAGAAAGTAGACTACATCCAAAGCTGACCACTGAAAGTTTGTCATGGAGATGAGCAAACAAACATCAAGTGATCCAAGAGACAAATTTGTTCTCAGAACTAAGTGATCCATACAAACTTTCTTCATGACTAATACAATCCAAAAATATACAATCAGTTGCAGATAAGCCCTAAATTTAAAGATACTCTAGTGAAAGTGAGACAAGAATCCCTTCTCAGCATTCAAAAGCCAAATATCTCTGCAACACAATTAGGAAACAAACAGCTGACTATAAATCGGTACTCTGTAGGGACTTGTCACATCTACATACCTACTGGACAAAGGAAGGCAGGACTCTCCACAAAAATGTAAAGGCTTCTACATTTATACTATTAATTCACCTCAGAGAGATGATGGAGAATGTGAGCCTAACAACACAAATCTACAAAAAGTTTGAACAAAGTATTCAATAGTCCTCCTTATAAAGCTTATCATGTCATCAAGCAGAAGTTACAAAGTGAATGACCTAAAGGAAAAATGGATAGGCCTTCGATATAAGGAGGTTAAGCCTGTGAAACTACAGATTTCTGGGATACTGAGGGGCTGGTGCTAAAGGACAACTGCCATGGACAATAAGCGATGTTTAAAGCTATGACTCTTTCACGTGTCTGAGGCAGAAGCAGGCACCAGAACCCAGGGAAAGAAAGACTGCAGACAGAAGCCACCTCTGCAAAGGTGAAGAAAAAATACATGTCCAGTACAGGAGCTACAAAACTTTGCGGAATAATCCTCTTGAACTTTCTCTCTCCTCCATTTACAATGGTTTAGTAATCAACGCAGTCATAGACTTAATCAGCAACATCAACTATTTTGACTAAAAGAGAGAACTACTTGAAAGGTGGGTGTAGCCAGATAGGTCAGTCTCTTCTCCTAAGTAACAAGCAACTGAATATGCAGAAACACCCCTAAGTTGTGCTAGGGAAGGTTTATACCGGCTTTTAAGAAAAGTGTCTTCACTGAAAGGGTTGCCAAGCAAAGTGACAAGCTGCCCAGGGATGCGGCTTAGTCACTATCCCTGGAGGGGTTTAGAAGGCATGTAGAGTGGTGCTCTGGAACGTGGTTTACTGGTAGACTTAAAAATTTCCTGTAAACAGTTGAACTTGGTGATCTTCCAGGTCTTTTCCAACCTTAATGATTCCATGACTCTATCCTGTGTTCTTACTGAAGTAAATGCTAAAAGTCTGCCCTAAGTTGAAAAGATAACATTTCTCAGGCTGATACAGAGACCTGATGCTTAGCTCACTGAAGCTACTATTTGGTACTTCAAATACTCACGATAAAAAAGCAAAAATGGTCTGAGGTTTGGAATATAAAGTTCTGGCTACAAAGTTGCCTGAAAATCAGCACTGTGATCACAACCATCATTTCTGAGCAGCTTGATTTCAAGGTCTAAATAAAGGAAAGCCCTTGAAATTCAACTCTTAGGTATGCTTTTAAAAAACAGAAAAGCTTCGCAAACAGCAGGATCATTTGCCTGGCTTTACTCAACCCACATCTAGTGGATGATCCTTTACATATCTGGCAGACCTAAGGCTAACTGTCAGGATACCAAAGTAGTAGTAGATTTGTCTCTTCTAAGTCATTGGAATCCTCTTTCAAAGGTATGACCTGATAACAACAACAGAGATGTGTCTTGACAGAGATGGAGACAGAACACACCTTAGAATCACTGTGACCTGATTTTCAATACTTTGAAATATATTCAGATAATCAGCCAGCACATCTTTCAAGATGTGCTTCCAACATTTTTCAAATGCAAGACTTAAAGCCCAAACAACTGAAAATTCTTTTTCTTGCAACCTACTTCTAAGTGTTACAGAAATGTATCTTAAAAGTCAGGATTTGAAGGTAGTCAGGAATGCAATATGACATAACCTTTTGTAAGCAGTATAATCACACTGGGGGAAGGAAGAACAAAACTAGATAGGAAATATTTTTAAATTTCCATCAACTTGCAAAATGTTGAAGGAAAAAGATAAAACCAAGAGACACTATAGACGACAAGATAAGACTACTCCAAAATAAAATGAGAACTAAACCAAAACCAAACCTTCCCCCAGCCCTTGGAAAGCACTTCAGTTTGGACAAACTGAAGGGGAACTGAACAGTCATGAATATTTCTTCGGTTCTGTTAAGAGTCTGGATAATGGCAACACAAGCATTCAAATGGGGGTGTGCATACAGACAAATAGAAGGAAAAATCACATTTATAGATTCCTCTTCACAGTTTTGGGTTAGAAGCACAATATCTCTGACTGGAGCAATTGCATTTATACTATATTTAATATACTTCACATACCAAAAAAAGAAAAAATGAAATTGCTTTCAAGCACTACCATAAGTAGTAACTGAGCTTTATAAAGTTTCATTAATAATTACTGCGTTGTCTCAGATTGTATACTTCTTATTCTGCTTACTTTTAGGTGCCTTAATAATTAATGGAGAAAGATCATAGACTTCAGAAAAACTACAAATATTTCACTTCAATGTCCTAGAAAGATGTTCAGATACTATATGTAAAACTAAGCAGTACATTAGCCTAGGAAAACCAAGGCTAACAAATTAAGGTAACTACTCAAGTCACATTATCTTGCCTAATTGCACTAATTTACTTAAATGTATTCTGCATTTGCTGTACTCAGAGTAACATTTTCAAACAGAAATACTGCATCTCTTTTCAAAGAGCCAACATACTACAGCTGATCACTCAATGTAACACAGTATCATGGAAAAAAGGAATAAATTAATAGTCTAAGCTGTTGTGGGGAGGGACAGCTTCGGGTGTAAGCATTTCCAATTTAACTTCAGTCATCCTTTGGCCACATTTTCCACAGTAGATCTTTCCCACCAGAAGCAGAAAGGGATTTATTCCAGATCAACCATTTTGAAGAAAGAGTATATGGTGTTATTTAATTTTTATTTTATTAAAGATGAAAAACTAACTATGCCTTATAATAAAAAGCCATTAACAAGGAAAATTGAATGACCGTATGATACACAATTCAATCACCATAGCTAAAAGGCATCTGCCTAAAATCTCCACAACCTCATGTTTCAGTTATTCATATACTCATTTAAATGATGCACTTTTACCTCAACTTCTGCTTGTTGCCTTGCTAAAGTGATATTAAAAATATCCAAGGACTTTTCAAATTCCTAGAAGAGAGATGAGAAATTATTTTTGACAATTCAACAATTGTTACATACCACACCTCAGTTTTACAGGAAACAACAGCAAGCAATCCAATTCATGCAATCCAAGTTAATTTGCTCAATCTGAAAACTTAAACTTAAAAAACCAGCTAAAGCTGTTTTTTCTTGCAGTTCCTAATTTAAAGATTTACCTCATGTATTCGTTAATACTACTTACAAAGAAAGGTAGTGACAAAGATGCAAGTATGTCCAATGAAAATTTTATTTTAACTTAGAAATTATTTAGGAACATTTTAACACTGAAGTTCAAACAAGTATCAAGATAAGCAATATTTAAGCCTTCAACAGAAAATTACTAACCTCCAACAATTTTAAGATTTCTTCACTAGGTTTTTTTGATGTTATCTTTGTTTTATACAACTCTTTATAGCTCTTCACTTGCTTCCTATGATGTGAAATATGTTCCCAAGACCACATTTGGAGCTTAGGTTGAACATTTACTCCAAGGATGCCACCAATAGCATATTGCCACCTAAAAGCAAAGACAAACATATAGCTTATCTTTCTTTTGGTATATTAAGGCTTTGCAGACTCTCACAAATTCAAGTTGCCAATAGTAAACTCCCCTGACTAATAGCATACTTCTGGTCAGCTGAGAAACCTAAGAATGTTACTCTTTCCCCCCACATAAAGTTGACAGATTGCTGGTTCAAAGGTAACTGTGTTTGAAAATTACCCACAAATCTATGCATGCACATGTTAGAATAATAAAAATATATTTGCAAGGAATCTTCTGAAAATAAATCAAATCCTTGCCATCTGTATTGCAAAGGTTTGCCTGTTTTTAGGTAATAGCTATATTCTTGTAGAACTACCTAACATATAACAGGGGCTTTCACTTAAACAAATTTATGATACAAAAATACTATCAGACTTAAGCTCCTGATAATGGTCTTTAAGAGTGCAATCACAGATTTTCAAATATTGTGTCCATAGCTTTAGTTTGAGGTCCTCATCAACTTCCTACAATACTAGCTTAAAAAAATAATAAAAACAAAAGAGAATACTTCCCTTCAGAAGGAAATGAGTTCTAACCTTCTTAAGTAAGAAGAAATTCCTCGGTAATTATTTCAAGTTAATAACCAACAAATTATTTTCAAAGTCAAAGGTTGCCTACCATCTCCTGGGGTTGCCGTGCACTGGAATATCAGGTCTGTACTTCCTATATGGCAGATTTCGAGTCATCATATCAACAGACTCAAGAAGTTCCATAACACTGAAGTACTGGGCAAACAAATTCAAACTGAGCATTATTATCTTTCTGAGAACAACAAGTATCAAGCTTCTCTTTGAACAGAAAATCAGTTACAAAAAAAACAAGACTGAGTTAAGAGACTCTATATGTACACTATAAAATTTCAGACTGCCTTCCTTATTCTGCAAACTAACTTTTTTACTACATTACATATAACTTCAGAAAAACAGTTGGTACCTGTGGCTTATTGAATTCAACAGTTATATCCTGTAAGTTTACATCCAGATCTATTTTCGGTGATGAAAAGTCAACATCAGATCGAGGATTCATAAGGAGCTTGGCTTTAGCTGAAATTGGGCGGAATACTAAAAAATACAAGTTGATATAAAAAGTGCAATTGAATTATTTAAGACTGCAATAAATTATACATATATTTATCTTAAATTATGCCAGACTATTAGTTTTAGAATGCTAGATATGAAAAACATGAACTGCACCAACACAACTTAGAATACAATCTATACTCAATTTTCAGTTTCACTCTGGCAACATTTACAAAACAAATTTTTGCAGAACACCACCACTAACTTTCCTGTACAATGAATTACATGCAGATGTTTCAATAAATAGTCTACATTTGTAACAAATGGAATCTTTTTTCGCTATTATACAAGACACTATAGTACAAGACAGTTTCAGATGTAGCATTTATTTCATTATAGGAACTCTCATTCTTTAAGATTTTTTTGTTATTGTTGCTGTTACAAATGCTTTACTCTGCAATAAATTATACTCACAACAATGGTTAAAACCAAACATCCCATGTTTCTAATTCAAAGCCCAAGTAAGCATGGAACAAAATTAATATTACAAGAAAAAACATTCAGAGCAGAAATATTTTATCTGTTCCATAGTTTGGCAATATCAGGCTTTTGAAGCCATGTTTAGCTCAATATTTGCATCTGTTTCAGCAATTGAGCAACACTAAGAATTCTTATATTATCTGAGTCCATGTAAATCATATTATTTTCAAATATTATTTCTTTCATCTCAGCAAAAATACTGATATACTATCTACATATCAAATATTCCAAGTTATCTGAAAGGTTCATACTAGTGGAAACATGCATTTTTGCAAGAAACCATGAAACTTTTAGCTACACCTCTACATGGTAGCATTTCAATTAATTGTCTCCCTCTATTTAGCTTCCTAAAGTCCTTTTTTTTATGGTTCTTATACATAAGTATAATGTTTCTATTTACATGACGTAATAAAATTAGACTTCATGCTAATTACTTTCCTATCAAAGTTTTAGACTTTCAAAGACTTGCCCCAAACAGGACCAAATTTTCATTTACCACAGTAAACCAGCATGGTCAGCATTTCTGATGGCACTGCTGAATTTTAGGAGTGTAAATCTTGAATCCTAATCTTTACATAAACCTATTTTGAACTTACTACATAAAGACTTTAACAGTTTATAATGTTTAACATTAGTTTTCTTGCAAAAATAATCAAATCTAGCAACTAAAAAAGATGGGTAAGGAATCAGAATAAATTACTAGATAGTTCTCTGTCAGTCAGCACAGGGACTTTTAGGGGAAGGTAGCAGCATAAAACTGACAGTGCCTTTTTGAACCCTGGCTATAATGAACTGAGGACTTTCCTGCTGGAGAAAAAGCCACTTCCAAGGCAATTCAGACTTGTGAACAGTTTCTAAGCAGTCACACAGATGGACATCATAAACAAAAAACATGTATTTTCCATACAATGGAAAGCAAAGTATCACCATGTTTGAGTGATCCAATGTGATTTTCAGACTTAAGTAAGTAATACGCAAACAATATAACTTGAAATAGTCCCACTAAATAAAAAGGAAATTAATGTTTCAAAGTTATGTGATTACTATTTCCACCTCTCATGGAAAAAAAGATACTTTGAATAAAGCAGGTGACCTCAAAAACATACTCAAACTAATGTGAATTCACCAAACTTACACAGTGTGTATGTTACTGCTAAACTTCTTAAATAAAGGAATTAATCAACAGATGTTAACAATGAGAATCTATTCTACATTACTATTCTAATGTTACTACATTCCATTAGAATGATATATGACTCAAGACTCACTTTTATAAAGGCTTTTTTTATATCACTATACAATACCATATTCACTGTCAGAAAACAGTTACTCTTCCAGGCTCAAAGTGCACTCCTTAGTAAGATTTTTGAGTAACAGCCAAAGTGACAACCTCTGAGATCCAGTAAAAAACACAATTAAAAATTATTATTACAATTAACACTTACCAAAATCATAACCGTCTGGAATCATGTTGTGGCTGGCAACTCCATGTTTTAAGTTAACCTACACACACAATGAAGTGAACAGGAAGTTGCATTTCTATTTCCAGATAAAGTTTTTAGAATACAAAGTGCTAGCATTTTTAAACAGTTCTCAGATAATCCCTCCAACCCAAAGCAAAATTCAAAATACTCATCTATGTTTTAAACAGAATGATACGTCTATATTTATCTAATAAAATAACACTGAATAGTGGTAAGATGACCATCAATTGTCTAAATTCAGATATTCACAGAAGACTGGCTTTTTTTAACTTTCTCAGATGAGGATTATACTTCTATCACATAAAAGACTTAATGTATACTGTTTTTTCCCAAAAACGCTTTTAGTTACAGAGAATTCCCCAGGACATTGACATAAAAAGAAGCAGGCCTGAATGTGAAGCGTGTTCTCTGCTTCCCAGTTTCAACTAGAAGACAAGATACACTATCTTACCAATGATTCATCCCAACCACCATGGTAGAACATCTCTGATTTCACATTCCAATAAGCGAAAAGGTTATCCAGTCGCACAAGCTGGAAACACAACAGAACATATGTATTGGTATCTAAAAATTTTAGATTAATAATTTGGATTTCACAAAGTCTGGATGAATAAAAATATTCAGAATGTTACTTTTACAATAAGTCTACACAGTTATATGTTTCCTTGATCTTAATTTCTGAAACCACAATGCAGCTTGTTTTATTAGCAATTCTTTCTTTAGCATACAGTCTATACTGTACCTTGTGGAACAACTTGGCAGTTTCATCATGTAAGCATGGATTCCAATTCTTATCTGAGGTCTGAAATGAGAATTAAACAGAAATACTCCAATATCTATAATTCCCCAACATGTTATAAGTACAGAAAAAGAAAGTAACATCATCATAACTAAATACCATGGAAAATAATGTAATACAAGCTTCTGATTTAAGATGATTAATCCATTAATTTAAACAAAATCTTGAAAAGGCTAATTCCCCCAAAAATAGGTACATGTATGTACACTGATAGGCTGCACACAAGAAACAAAGATACTTTAAGATTCTGTTTTCGGTATTGCAAACTGTTTTCCTCTACAACAATAATATTTTTAGGCAGTTTTTTTGGACAGAGATAAACAAGGGACTGAATTCTTTTGTAAATCTGGAAGCAACTAATTTTAGTTTGAGCCTAAAGAAGACCCTTACAAAATCACCATTTCATTCAAGAAAGTAACATTTACTTAAGACATATTTTCTTTAAGACTAGCAGTTAGACAGCAAAAACTACTCAATCAGAGCAACTCAGCATAAGCAACATACTGCTCCTACTACATAGTCTTCCAGAAACAAAAAAATTCATACCATCTTGTGATTTCTACTCTTAACACCTTAAAGTGAAAAAAAAAATAGCTCCAGTTGAGAAAAACATGTCTTTTTTTTTTTCTTTTTCCTTTTTTTTCCTTTCCCACCACTCCCTCTTATCAGGCAGTAACTTCCTTTCTTGGAGCTCAAGTCAGTTTCAGTAAAATATTCAGAATGAACAGCCCAAATCCAGCAAAGTGTATTGGAAACCACAAAAAACAGCAGGCAAATAACAATTTCCTCCTAAAAATCAACTTTAATGCTAGCATTTTATCTTTAATGGCACATCCACCAAAGTACTTATGCTGAATTTGATAAACCAAGTAGTTACCATCTTGCTGATGATTATAGGTGTATTTTCCATTAGATAGTAGGTTACCATAAAGCCCAACACACAAAAGCATTTCATCTATTAGTAGATATTAACATGTTTTTCAGATAAAAGGTGAGATATAAAATTACCTGCAAACTTAGATTCTGAAGTGAAATCCCAAATGACAAGGGGTTGTCACGATTTGTGATCTAAAAGAACACAGGAAAAGATGAAAAATTAATTATTTCATATTCCATAAGCATATGTTTGTTTCTTTTTAATCAAACTAATAAAATTCCACAGCTTTACTAGTATTCTCTCAACATGAAAAGGAACTAGAAGAAATCAGACAGGTTCCCAATTTCATGTTACAGTGCACAACCCCTTACGCTAAGATAAACAAAAGTACTTACATCATCTTCATAGCGAATATGGATGTTAGAAATCTTCAGCTGAAGATTTTTGATGACCTGAGTTACTAGCTTTTCTACAAAAGTGTCTTGTTTCTCTTCTTTTACTTTATCTATGTTAAAGAAAAACAATTTACTATTTTGTTTACATTTCAGTATTTTTTTTAATTAGACAAAACAATAACACAATAAATATAGCATGATAAGTGTTTGAATTTTCTATTACATTGTACTCCATTTGTATAGAAACATGTTTGCTCTTTATAATCTACAACATTCACAATCTCAGATTAGTAGGTTTCCTAGCTTTATCACCTGCACAGTGAAAAATCAGGTAGTTCAAAAGTATGACCAGCACCCACCAATACTTTAGGTGAGCAAATCATATTTCGTGGAAGCATCAGAAGCTGAATTTAAAGATAAGAATTTTCATGAAGAACAGATTGAAACAAACTTTTAAAAAGCTGTATTAGTAAAAATGCTTTGATACTGGAAGCAAACTGCTTCTCATGAAAGAGGAAAGAAAATGTCAGGTGACATATGATATAAAAGCACAATTTATATCAGATCACATCAACACTCAAACCTTTTTATTTTCAGAATGCTGGTTCTGCAATACTGATGGCGATTACACCTAAAAAACCATAACTAATAGGCTTTTAAATAACAAGGAAAAAACAAGAATCTAGAACACATTGACAATGTCTGTATCTTTCTGGATTAAAGAAAGAAGCAGCATCATTTTCATTAGATTTTCTCACTCTTACCTTTGTCAGCTATCTTCTGCTTTGCTTCTTCTATTCTCTGCAATTCCCTTTGTCTTGCTTCCAAGAGCTGCCTGGCTTCTTTTTCAGCATCATATTTTATGCCTTAACACATAATGTAAAAATGTATAATACCAAAAAGCCTTATATGTTGTTTTTAAAGATACTGTTTCAAAAGCAGTAATTTTTACATTTTGTAACAGTCACATATAACAGTTGCATAGCAAAAAAATTAGGTGATGAAACGTAAATTACTGAAAGACTTCCATTCCAGTATTTAACTGTAATTGCTAAAAGTATCTACTAAGAATAAAGCTCATGAAAACAGTATCAACCCATTCCAGATAATTCTGAAAACCCACCAATCTATAGTCACTTCTTCCTATAAATTAACTTACTGGCTGTGGGCACAATAAGCAAATAAACTCCATCAAGGACTGCCTCAACAGGTTGAGTATAAAGGTTTTGCCATGGAATCTGTAGGTTAAGTTGACCTACAAACACAAAAGGTCAAGGTATACAGTTAAATAGTTGACTGGAAAAGAAATGCAAAGATAATTCATATTAAACACAAAATCTCTTACCTATTATTATACTGGATAGAAAATACCCCAATGCACCTGAGGCAAAAGATTCCTCAGCTGGATTTTATTTTATTACACAATATATAAACAACATGAGAAGTTATTCCGCAAGCAGAACTATCAAATCTATAGTCTTTCCTTATTTTCTTAAACTACATTCCTCCTTCTTAACAGTAATGTCTCCCTCCTTGAAAATCCACTGCAGCATCCTCAGAAACAAGAAAAGCATATGGGCAGCTTATACATCATCAGTCATAAATACTAGGTAGGTTTTGTGAACACAGGGAGCATGAGGTTACAGTGCCTCCCAAGTGCAAATTTTAATAAAATACTAAAATCACAGAAAACACATTATTCCAGGGTCAGTTTAAAGGAAGCATAATGGCTTTAGACTTACATTACTTTAAGAAACCACTTTTACAAAACAATCAACTTGCAACAAGAAAACTTTTTCTTTTAGCAAAAACAAGGAAGGAAGGAGATGAAAAGGCATGTGAAAGGTAAAAATCAGTTGTGGAGTCTTATTAAGGCAAGGAATGAGATCCAATCCTGCCCAATTGCTCATATTTGCTGTGCTGGGCTATTTCCTTATTAATATTGAGGTGATAAAACAAGACTCAGGTATACTTTTTTGAAAACTCAAAAAAGTTTCTTTTCAGAAGAGATAACTTCAGAGTGTACAAAGTATACAAAGTATGGAAATCACTTGCTTAGGATGCCTAAAGTCACTTGCAAGGAAAGGAAGTAGTTTTAGAAACTCCTGCATGTGTATAAGATAAAATGCAACTTACTAATATGTCCTGCTTTAACTTTAAATGGCACATCCAGCTGACTCTGAAAGAAAGATGTTTAGAAAATTTAAGCTCAATTCAGCAACTTGTGAAATGTTTCAATGCAGGAAAAGGTATCATGATAACCTTAACAAACCAACCTCATAAGAAAAAAAAAATCAGTAAAATGGTTAAGCAAGCTCTTGGTTACCAATTTAGACTGTTATGCTATGTTAGGCTAAATACGTTCACAAAAACAAAGTCCTAGCTTCATGAGCTATAAAAAAAAAAAAAAAAGGTCTTTCAGTATTACTAAAAGCACATTGACCTAAGCATATTCTTCTAGCAACTGCTGAGAGCTCTTCTAGGGGGAAGAAAAATGCATACTTTCCCCTATAAATTTAATTTCAAATTAATCAGATAATATATATAGGAGCAGAGAAAGAAATCAGTGTGCTTCCACTTAAAAGAAAGTGTATCCTAAAATAAGAACCAAAAAGTTAACATTAAACCCATTAAACACATATAACATAGCTCAGGAATAATTTTTGCAAGTATTACTGTTATTTTCACAAGCTTACCAGTGCATTTTCTTTTATTTCCAGATTTTTCAGTGCTACAGCTCCTAAAAGAAAAGAAGCCAAAAGAAAAACTGGAATAACCAAAGTGGTACACACCGCAAATCCCAAAGTTTGAATCTGTGGGTTACAGAAGCCTAGAAGATAAGGGGCCTAATATATTTCTCAAACACCAACGGAGGACAGCAGTGGAGTCAACCAAGATTTGTTAGTGAGAACATGCCATGAGAAGGGACAGGATGTGGCAGGAAAAGGTGGTCATACAGACCATCATAAGCCAGAATTCTTCTTGGACAAAGGTCTTTGTTCTGGCTCCTGAAAATGAGCATAAGCAAAGGAATGAGGACAAGAAGGAGGCATGGACTGTCCACCTAAGGTCAATCCAGTAAGGAGGGATCAAGACCTCCAGAGACGCCCAAAGACCTCTGACCTATTCCCAGAAAGGTCTAGCAGAACAAACTGCAGATGATAACTCATTTTCATAGTAAACAAGCAAATTACCTTAATCGCACAGAAATCTTAACTGTATAAAGATACCCAGAATCAAACCTGGACACACACGTGCCCCAGGACCCTGGACACGCTATCAGCTGCACTGACACTGGAGTCAGGACTGCTGGTTCACTTCTGTTGTTCCTTTTTAACCACAGGTACCTACAAATTTTAGGAGCTTCCTTCCCCTTCACAGTGGGGCACCCCAGTGGTCCATGACCTATGGTCAAGAAAACTTCTACTGTGGAAAAGATCCAAAGCCTACTGGCAAATATCCATGAAAGATGATTAATCATTCAACAAAATAATATCTGAGATTGTCTCACGGAGCTTGCATGTCCATGAAAAATAACATAAAATTACTCAAAGTAAAGATGCTGGAAAACCCTTTCTCAATTTTCTAAGAACCCATTTTGAAATCAAAAGTTAGCTTTTCCTCAACCATCTGTCTCCTATCCTTGTAGAAATCCTGCAACAGTAAATGTGAGTGGAATTTTGGCCCTCAAAAGATCTTATTCTTGCCAGTTTTATTTATAGGCCTACAAAAATTCACAGGAAGTATTTCAGTAACCTAAATTTTAAGGAGAGAACAAAGAAAATTTAAATTGCAAGATCAGTTTTACAACATACTTCACATCAAACACTTGCCATAACAAAAGGAATACTGGGACCAGAAAACTCATAACTTAAACATGCGCACACAGTCCAAAGCAATGTCTTCTGCAAAATCTACACGAATGGAGCTTCTGTGATGGTTACTTTCAAACCAGCTGTAGAGCATTAACACATGCACATGAAATAGACATCTGATACAGCTGAGCAGGGGTATAAATGAGATTCCAGAAACCAGAAGCAGATTACAGGCCTGGAAAGCAATACAACTTGAGGTTGCAAATGAAAACTGAATTAACCCAAAATGCTTTTCTTTTGGGATGCACGTTAGAAATAGCAAAATGCATGGAAAAATGGGGGCTCCAATTGCACGAATATTATTGCAGTTGTATAGTGCTAATGGCAATCAACAACTGTTCAAAGTAGCACCAATTTTGGGAAATTGGACCCAAATCTCAAAAGTGTATGCACTAGAACAGTTGACTCAAGTTGTTGAACTAATATGGAGGAGTTGATCAGGTAAACTAATCCATCCATCTCATAGCACTCACAAAATACTATCAAGATTTTAATGTTTTAATTTATTCATTGCAGCAATTTATAATCACATTCCAGTAGAAATCTATACATCTGATATGTGCTAACATCAGCCTCTCCAGAGAAATACTACATGCAGAAGGATGTTTTCGGGCAGCTGATGCTGCCGCAGTTAAGCCTTAAAATACACACACATTGCCAGGAACAACAGAAAAGGAATCAAAAAAAAAAAAAAAAGCAAAGAGAGCATTTCCAAAAGTAGTCTGTAACTACTCTAGGAACCAGAACTATATAGTCTTTGTAGGCAATAACAAGGTGATACCATAGTTCTCAATTCCATTCTAAATTTATTCCCTGATAAAGCTTACTCTGTAGATACCATTTTAACACGAAAAAAAAAAAACCTGTTTGCTTCTTCAAGAAGATACCACTAATTGTAATTGTATTCATGGCAAGTAATTCTAATGGTATCCAGAGCAAAGGTCAGGTTCGTAACCAAGCTACCAGGCACAAGGTGCAATTTCCGCAGTTTCTTCATTTGTGCCATGAAGCAGTTTAACTGGGTTGAGTTTCTTCACTTTCACTTGATGGCTATGTAAACATTCCCTCTCATTTATCAAGAGTCTGACACATGCCACTGTCCCATAGAGGTACAAGCTAAAATAATTCGGCAGCCCAGATGCTTCCAAAAACAAAGTACTGCAAAGTGAGTAGGGATTATCTTAAACATTTACAAACAATGGTTTGTGATTGCAGAGCTATTTCTCATTTCATTTGAGCACATTATAATGGCAGACGATAACTCGAGAATCAATAATGTTTCAAACGGGAAGCTTTTGAAAATTCTACATTAAATGCTGGGATTTGGAAGTGAGGTACATAATTATTCAGTGTTTTTGATTATGATTTTACTATTCTAAAAAAATCACTTATGATTTTACAATTAAAAAGTTTGATGTTTTAATTAAGAATTACTAGAAGAAATACCCATTAGTACAACCCCAAGCATCTGAATTTTAGTACAAACTTACTGAAACATGTTCACTAAAATATAACAGTTTACTTACAAAAACCTTGTTACGGTCTGATCAGTTAATGGACCATCAAAGCATATGAAAGTCTACTAAACAGGCACTAGGTTATATGTATTGATGTAACCTTTCTTTTTCATATACTTGAAAGAGAGCCCAAGACACTGACTAAACATTCCAGCAGTAAACAGGAAATATTTCCAAAGCCACCACACTTGCAAAGCTTGCAACCAACTCTGATGCTCAGTATTTGAAATGTAGTTATTGTAGTATTCTCCTTCATTACCAAAATGTAGTCTCCACTACATGTAGCCATTTCCCTTGCAATGAAATGCAGATCTAAGTGCAACCACATTGAATCCTGACCATTCAGGTGAGGATTAGAGGCAAAAAAAAAAAAAAAAAAAAAAACCCAAAAAAAACCCACAAAGAGAAGCAGGAAAACCAGGGAATAAACCCTAGTTACAGGATGTAAAACAGCTCGTGAATTAGCCTTGGATTACTGACAGTAGATTTTAATTGCAAAAATCAGAAAACACATAAAGACTTGATTGTCATTTTTGCTGATGGGCTGATGGCTGGTTGGGTTTTTTTTGGCAGGGCTGGTGTCCTGTTGGGAGCAACTAAATGTTTTGATGTCAGACATGCATCCAATACATGATTAAAAGTTACCCATCTAAGCAACCTTAGAAACTGTATGTACAAGTAGTTGGAGTTGTATAAATACCTAGGGTTAAACATGCAGGCTACCAGCCAAAACAATAATAAAAGCCAGAACAGTTATAAATACCTATAGTAAAGTCTAGAATTTATTTAGGCTCCATTATAAAGCAAATTTTTAGATTTACTGATCTCTGGACAATGTGAATAATTCAACAAAATAAAACAGCCGTCAAAATTCTAGAAAAATAGCTTTATTGTCTTAATTTTAGATACTCAAAATAACTTCATTAATTTAAATGCATGAACTAACATCTACTTACTACCAAGGATTCAGCATGCAAAAATAGATCTAGTAAACTATTTCACTAAAGAAGTCTAACAGAAATTTCATTATGGTTCAAACAAAAGATAAAAGAGGGAATAAAATTAATCAACATAAAAATCCTGTAGATTTTATCTAATTAACCACTCTCTGCTGTCTTGCAAATAAAAGGGCAGGGGAAGGAAAACAGATGAGAGAGAGATGAAAGATCAGAAAATGCAAATACCTTAGCTAGTATCTAATCAGTACCCAACACTCCTGTTCAAATATTTTAACAAAATTTCTGCTTTTTTCCAACAGCATTGTCAGCTTGTGAACATCTCTGATCACTTAACACAAACAGCTGCTTTTGCTAGTCATTTTCCATTTGTGTTTGTGCTGTTAATTATTTCTGTTTAAGCATGCCCTCTAGAGACAAGCTGCAAGCCTTTGAGGATCAGTGTCTGCCAAATACCTCATCTATTGACATCTATTGTAAAATAGATCGTGAAAGACAGTAAAAACTACCAGACATTATGTATCCCTCCAGTGAATTCAAATTACTATTATGTAAGAGGGCAGGAGGTTGCTAGGTGCTACACCTAGACAAGGCAAAGTAAACAAAAGTATTTGTCTTTCACTATAATAATAGTTGTAGGCAAAAAAAAACAACGTGTTTCTGTGCTCACAAACATGCCAATTATCTGCCTATATCATCTTACTCACACAGCTGCCCCAAAAAAAGACACCAGCTACTCAAATAATAAGTTGTGTTAAGTAAGACATGCTTGAGACATTACACAAGTGTGCCAAGTCAACCAAGATTTAAGCTTTTTAAAGGGCAGTACAGAGGGTCAGACCAAAACACTGAAAAGTTAGGCAGAGTCAGAAGAAAATAATAGTATCATGAACTGTAATAAAACAATTGTTTAATCTCACAATACCAGAAACCTCACTGGCATTTCACTTCTTGTCAAAGATAACTGCATACATCTCACATTGCTGCAAGCATCTTTTCAATTATTTTAACTTGACCAGATCTAGAGCATTCAAAAATATTTGACTCACCTAAATACTTATCTAACCTGTTCATCTAAGCCAAGTACTTGCACACTGGTTAACACAGCCCATTGAAACTATCTTTCTTAGTGAACACCAAAAAAAAGAGGTTAAAAAACACTGTCCTTCCCAGTATCAGCCATCCTATAGCTTTCCCTGATGGCTGCTTAACACATCTTTTACCTTACTTCATATTAATGGAGTTCCCAAGGAATATGATTTTCTCCCTTTACACTTTTTTCTGAGCCTTGGTTTCTCCAGTATTGGCTTTACACGTTCAAATTACCTTTTATACCTGTGTAGGTTGAGCTACCTTCAACTTTCTGCACTACCTTTTATATTTCAGGTCATTCAGTTCTTGCAACACTCTCAGCCATTCATGTTTTAGGATATCACGTTTTTTTCAATATTGAGATAGTCCATATTTTTACCCTTTAGTCTGAGGGTTTTTTAACAAGAAAAAAAAATCATTACAGTAATTATTAATGTGTTCATGTATTTTCTGGAGCAGTGTCATCAAACAACTTTACTACACTGATTGAATATAGAATAGCTTTAATAGTGCATGATGAATTCTCTCATTTATCAAAACCAAGGTTAATATTAGGCATGATCATTAAAAAGTCATTAATAATGCTCTGAATTTACAGAGGCTGAAACTATGTAAAATTGGGTTTTATACATAGTCTATGAACAGGCTACTAACCTTAATTCAAAGAAGCTAGCTATAAAAAACTATAAGGCCACAATTTGCTCCCTACAGCCTTCTAATATAAACCATTCCGGTTTTTAATCATTCAGAGGCAAAAAAAAAAAAAAATACATGCCTTTTAAAATTTAAGAATATATATATATATATATATATACAGAGAGAGAACTTGTGCAATGCTCTAGCATCCAAAAAGCAGTGGTGATTTGTTACAGGAAAAAAAAAACAAACAACTTCCCTTTTTTTTTCTTTTCATTTGATGGATTTGGGACAATTTCAATAGTACATGAATCATGTAAAATTTTGCAATCTTATCAAGATACAGAAAGACGAACACTGTAAGAACTTAAACACACAGCTGTAATGGAAATGCTTTCAGAGCACACAGACAAGCATGAACAGCTATTAAGTTTACACAAAATATGAAGGTAAAAATGGTACTTTTCTTAAAAATACCTTAGTTACAGAATTTCAGTAACTAACAAGCTTAAAAAATTATCCATAGACCTTAGGTATACTGTGAGTGTCAGGATCTGATAATCAATTATGCACTCCATATAAACGTAGTCTATATTTTCTACTGCTGCTACTACTAATAGTTGCTGCCTTTTACATAGCAGAATGCAATTTCTAGGTCCTGTGAGATATTTGAAATATAAGAAATATTGTAGATACACATACCATTAAACATTGACATAATTTAAGTCAAAAATGTGGTAGTCTAGGAAAAAATAAAACTCTACAGGTGATGCCTTACCAACACAACACAGAGGCTGCTCTAAGCATCTTAGAGCAAGACATTGGTATACCAGTATATAAACAAGTCAAGAGGCTATGTAGAGAATAAATAATTTTATTCTTATACGTAAGCACTAGAGAAACAAGAAATTTAGTTTAAATACAAATATATATTAAATATATACTAAAGCCTCTAAAATGTGAGAGCTTCTTGAAGATGAAATAATAAAAAGAAAATTAAGTTCCACAGACATGGAAAAATATGACAGCTGAATATCAAAACTTCAAAGAAAAAGTGAGAAGTTTTTTTAGCTTTTGTTTGAGTTGGGTTGTTCAGTTTGTTTGGTTTTTTTTTAATTGAGACAATGTTTATCTAATCTGTTAATAGTTGCTTCACAGAGGCACAAGCTGCCATGACTAACCATCAGCAACCTAGAGAGCTGGGAAAAAGAAGTTTTACCTTTTTTGCAATGTACAGCTATTTCCCAAAACATATACAATGTTCCATATTTTTCATTAAATATTCTGTCTTCACTGAACAGCAAGAAGAAACGATGGTAACTTCAGTACACAAATCATGCAATTAGCTTGACACAGTTCCGCAGAAAGGTGCAATTATCAAACCTTTCAAGTAAGGCTCACCTGATCAGTAAGAGATATGCGATATTAAGCCTTACTGCTAGAGATTAAGGACTAATACATTGTACCCAGCAGTTACAAGAGCTGTTGCTGTGTTAAGACTCCTTATAGAGACTAAACTTTACAGAGATGCTATGAACGCCTTGACTAACTGAAGGAAAATTGCTGCAGAGATGAAACTAAATGAGGACGCCATTTCAGAACATAAGCATGAAAACAAAAATGTCCATGCTGCAAAAAGCTCCAGAAGCTTACAAAATCTGGATAATGTATATGAGTGCCTAGGAATGGATTTGCAGGTAGGCAAATACCTCGAGGATGTTTCACACCTACTGTTTGAATGTACCTGTAAAAAAACCTGACCCTCTGTGTTTGCTTTTGCTGATGCTGCAGATACCACGGATGTACATTCAAAACTGAGCCAGCACAGATCACTGCATAGGCATCCGTTCATGGTCTGTGTCTGACAGACCTTTGGTGCTGTTTTCTTGTAAGTACCTTACTAAGGAGACCTCAGGAGCGCACACTCAAACAGAACACTTTACTGCCTTCAGAACTGGCATGATCATTTAATTCTACAAACCACTGCTTACATTGCCTAGTACAGCTAGGCACCGCCTTTGCAAACACCTAAGGCAGTATCTACTCCTGGTTCTTTAAGGCTAAAAATAACAAGTATTCCAGACCTACAGATGACAGCGCCAAGAACGAATGGGATGTCACTGCCGCTCGCGGAGAGGCCACTCACCCCCACAAGAAAAAACACCGTCAAAACCCCTTGGCGTTTAAACACGGCTTATTTCCGGGCGTGGAAAACGCCCGTAAACCAGTTCAGTTTCGCATTCCCAGAACCAGGCCAGTCTCCCGCCTCCAAACTGCCCGCCCACCAATTCCCAAACTTTCCGCGAACACCACAGACACTGCGGTCAGCCAAGGTCCGTCCCCATTTAGGAGACAACACGGGAGGCTCCACATAGAAAAACAAAACAGAAGCGGCCGTTCATGCGCCTCCAGGACTTGGTCCGGTTTCTCTTATCCCGGTTCTGCAGCTCCTCCCGCTCCGCCGCCGCGGCCCCCGCTGCCGGCTGCTTCGCGGGCACCACCTCCCAGCCCGCCCCCGCGGCTATTTTTAAGCGGCCAGGCAGGTGGGAAGGCAGTAGAGCTGTCGGGTGGGCCGGTGGCCCGGCCCGGCCGCGCCCGGGACACCGCCCCGGCCTCCTCCCTTGTGCGGGCGGCAGGGCGAGCCCGGCCGGGCAGGAAGGCACGCGGCCGCATGAGGGAGGGCGGGAGGGCAGGCGGCTCCCCCGCGGCGCGCCAGGCCCGTACCTCCCCAGATGCCCAGCTTCAGCTGGGAGCTGTCCAGGTTCACCACGTAGTCGCCAAGGAAACGGTTCAGGACGTCCACGACCAGGGACTCAAACACCATCCTGCCGCACGGCCAGCCGCCGCCCGGCAGCAGCAGCAGCAGCGCCGCCGCCCCGGCTCCGGCCGCTGCGCCAGCCCGCCCCGCCCGCGGCCCGAGGGGCGGTGCGGCGCTACCCCCGCCCCGCTCCGCCCGGTGGGCGGGCCAGGAAGAGGCGCGGCCTGGCCGCGACTACGGCGGCCGGTGGGGCTGCGCAGCGCCGCCTGCCGCCGGCCCTTCCCTCCGGAGGCGCTCCGCACGCGTGCTGGCTGCCCGCTGGTGTAAAGGTACGAGGTACCCCAGAGTGGGTGAGGCTGGAAGGGACCACAGGAGATCTGGTCCAATCTCCTTGCTCAAGCAAGGAGAGCAAATGGCGCAGGATTGCGGCCCTGTTCTTGAATGTCGCTAGTTAGTTGTCAGCAACTTCTCTGGGCAGCCGGTTCCAGTGCTAAGTCGCTGCACAGTAAAGAAGCTATTCCTCATGTATAGGTGGAGCTTCCCGTACATCATTTTCTGCCCATTGACCCTTGTGCTATTGCTCGGCACCACTGAGCAGGGTCTGGATCCTTCAGGTACTCACAGACATTGTTAAGGTTTCCTCTCAGCTCTTCTTGAGGCTGAGCAAGCCCAACTCCCTCAACCTAGGGGATTCCAATCCCTTAATCATCTTTTTGCTCTCCACTGAACCCATTAGTTTGTCCAAGGGATTTAAATGTGGCATAGCCATAACAGGTTTTGGAGTATTTTTCTCTTCCCCAGCCTAGGCAGATATAGAAATTACTGCATGTCTTGAGCTGTTCAAAAGTGGCTGAGCTATTACTGGCATAATGACTGAAACAAACTGAATTGAATTTATCTCTCCAAAGAGCTTGACTCCCAGGGTGTTTTCTGGCTTGGGTGTCAGCTGAATCGCATGGAAATAACTGGGCCGTGTTTGCCCTGAGTGGCTGTGCTGAGTACCCCTGCAGTCACAAGGTTTTTTAAGGAAACTTCCCTGTCTGACCATTCACAAGGCTCGCAGGCAGTTGCGCTCCTGATGCCGGAGACTTTCACTGCTAGGACCAAAGGCCCTTCACAGCAGGTGGCTTTAGTGAGTCACTGAAGTGAGCCACTGGACTTCTTACACACTTCATGTTCTGTCAGTGTTGCTGAACCCTTGTATTCAGTATAAAAAAATAAACCACTGAGGGAAAAGGAATGAGAAAACTGCCAGATATTATACACCTTTTTGTTCCTTTTTACAGAAATAAAATAATACTGCCTACCACTTCTGACATTTCCTTTTACTATGGGGTTTATAAGCCTGCTTACCACAACCTGCCACACCAGCAATTCCTTGCATCCACCCAATATGCAGAATAAAATAATTTGGAAAGAAGTATCTTGATATAAAGAAATAAATTTTTATGTATATAAAAATGAAATTGTTTCTTAATAACACAAGGAAGTTGGAAGAGTAAGACTGAAGAATGATAACAGAAGATGTAAAATGCACAGTCTTACGTTTCTCTGAAGTTACTTTGTATTGTTTGGAAAAATTACAATCTCAGCATTTCCAGTTCTTGGGTTTAGCATCTTTTCTATTGAAAAACAGCAGAAATAAAAAAATGTAAAAAAAAAAAAACAAACACCCCACACACACAACAAAAACCACAACCCACAACTACATTAGAAATAGGTTAATTGGATCAATAAACCTGAATGTGATCAGCAGCTTGTGCACATGAAATGTAACTGTGTCCATGCACTAATACACATAGATGAGACTCTCTATAGACTCTCTAGCTGGCTTTGTATAAATTTCTTGCACAAAGCCAGACATACTTCTTTTAAGCTATCTCTAGAGAAAAGTGTGAACAAAAGGCTTTATTTTGTGACTCAAATCACACATCTTCCTATTTAGTTTTAGAAAAGCTAGACGTCAAATCTATTTCTGTCCAGTTACTATTCCAAAATTGGGCTTTGGCACTATATGTCTTCAGGATTATCTTCTACCAATTAGTTTTCCAAAGTAACTTTACTTTGCAAGTCTACTGCTCCTTAGGGTGTGGGTAAAATTTCTTTGTCTTGTTCAAATATTCTGGAGAAGGCTTTCTGAAGTCAGGGAGGCAGGAGTGTCCTAGGTCAAGTATGATTTCTTTTGATCACAGTGATACAATTTTTATTCTGTTACAGCAAAGAAAATTTTATGGTACGATGGATATTTTTGAATGCACAAAATATGGGTGAATCTTCTACAGCAATCAGTGAGGCTTGAAGCTCTCCACCTGAGAAAAACTGCTTACTGCTGATGAACTGCTAGGCCTAGGGTATGTGACCACAGACAAGCATGTGTGTCCTATTAGTGACTCTTACCTACTTAGAAATCCATAATATTTGCAGACTCATCAAGGCAGAGGGTTCTATCTTATTCCCCTTCATTCCTCTTCATGTCCCACAGCTCATTAGCACTGGCAGGAGCAGTGTAATTTCAAGCTCAGGCTGGAGCAGTAATCTGTGAAGTAAGGAACAGAGTGCACCAAATAGTGGACCATCTTGGGGCATCCATCCAGTCCCATTAACCAAAGTTTCTCCCAGGCATTTCCACAAAATTTGGGAACTCTGTCTACATACACAACGCAGTCAGAGCCAACATGACAATCAGAGGCACCTGGACAGCAGTTTTTCCACTTGAACTCTTGTCCTGTATGTTCCTGCAGTCTCCATTGAAATCAATTAGTAATCACTCTGCTTTTCCCATTTTTGTAACCAAAGCTTCTGAAGTGCCTGATGGCACTTTACACCTGTGACAAAGCTATTTAATATGTGGCACTTTACCCCTGTAACAAAGCTGTTTAACATGTGGCAAGATGTTAGCAATCAATTTTCTGGGTTCACTGCTCATGGAATTTCTGCAAGCTGAGCCTGGAGGCCGCAGACTTCTTTGAGACGGTGAGGGATTCCATGTGAGCTTTCTGCTACCTTCTGTGTGAAGACTGCTAAGACTTCTACTGAAGTGACTCAGAACCTCACATGTCTGCCAGGATGGCAGGCCATCTTCAGGGTAAGTGTTGTCCTTGCTTCAGGACAATCACAAACATCCTTCTCAGCCACATATTAGAATTCAGGAAAGTAAATTTGTCATTAAAAAAAAAAAATAGAATCCAGTGTAAAAGATGTTTCTTCTTAGTTTACACTCTCCTTAAAAACTTCTAATTTCCACTATCTAATAAAGTTACATAACTTTAGGCATATTGCTATGATTCTATGCATTTTCATGTTCATAAATATGAATGTTCTTATCATTGTTTCCTCCATGTTGCAGATAGTGCTTTCAAAATGGTTTTAATTCAAAGAAGCATGAAGTGCAGTGAATAGAGCAGGAGGAATTGTGAACCTTCTTATTGTGTCCCTGAAAACCTAAAAGCCTAATCTTACAGGGCTTTCAAAATTGTTGAGCTAGTTGGAGATTTTTAGAATATAACTGCAGCAAAACCACACACCACAAGGGTGCCTTATTTCCTAAATCTTTCAGTGTCACCTGGTTTTGAATCTCCTTCAGAATCAGCTGAATCATGGTGGAATGTTTGCTCTGCTTACACAAATTTTTCCTCAAGACAAGGTGAAATGTGTAAGTCATACAATCCTTCAATTACATATGCAGCAATGTAGTTACTGCTGAAATGTATAGTAATCTTAGTAAATCAGTCTTACTGAGCGTGAGCTGCTTAAGGACTTTGAAATCCAAAGACAAAATCAGAATTTTTTATCTGCTCAAGCTATGCAATAAAAACTCCAGGATCTTCTTATCAATAAAACACTTCAGCTAAATTTTAAAGCCAGTTCTTGCAGTTCGAGGAACAAACTAGAGAGTAATTTTATTCTTCTTGTCATCATCAAAGGATTCATTCAGTGATTTGGTAAAATAGAAGCTTTAGAAGTCCAGTGGTCTTTTTAACACCGTCCCTGAGAAGACTCTGATATTCAAGCTTTGTTCAAAATTGTAGTCTAACATGGCAGTAGACAAAACAGGCTGTACCTCAGCAGCAGATATCTCGGTATAGTACCAGATATAACCTTGGGACGGGGATATGTGTCAGTCCAAGGAGAGTGAATTCACCATAGCCGCTGATGCAACAGCATGACATGTTTCTTTATCTCAATTTGTTTTCAGCTGCTATGCAGCTTATCAGCTAGAAAGTACCACCAAGTTCCTCCCTCTTCTGCAGGGGTGTCAACAGAGCCTGGTCATGGTGTCCCACTCCACCCTTCCTTTAATTCCCTTGAGACTGTGTTGTGTGTGGGAGGTCAGGTATGCTGGCCACATTCCATCCAGGGAGGAACAACTGTATTTTCCCCTGTGTTTTTCATACCATTATCTTTTTATCCCATCATCTTCCCACACAAGCAGTATTCATGGATTTTACAGTTTACCTATCCTTCTCAGAGTAGGCATATATCCAGGGTTTACAAGTGATGGAAGGAGAGATGTTTTTGTTTGAGGGAATTATGTAGAATTGTTGTAAATTAAGAACCTGCAAAAGGGGGAAAAACAATCTGAGTGGAGACTGAGACAATATGGAGAGGTCCTACAGACATACAGTTGGGGGTTTTTTTTCAAAAAAATTAATACACAAAAAAAAGCCATGCTGATGTACAGTTCCAAACCTATGGATTATGATTTCAGACAGAAACAAAAACTTTTGACACTTTTTTAGTAGTAGCAGTAATTTTTTCCATCAAATAAGTTTAAAAGGATTTACAGCTTTATATATTTATATGTAAAGAAAACCATTATTCTATCAAAAAATTCACACATAAAGGATCTCTTCTTTCTTTTATACCATTTGAGAGATTAGTTCTTGCTCCACTATTTTTCTAGATCTTTGATTACTGAAGCCTATCAAAGCATCTTTTACTTTTTTAAAGTGTGCAGTTTCACTGAAAGCCCAAGTATTAGCATATAAACAAAAAATTGGAGTTGGCAGTGAAAAGGGAATGAGAGAAACAACTACTCAGTTTGAACACACATATTACAACAATTGCTTCAGTATTAAAGCACTTGAAATATTGAGACCTTTCATCCTTTGAATTGTTAGACCCATATCAAACCTATTCCTACTGTATTTCTCGAAGGATTTTGGGAGCTCTATCCTGAT